CCGAACGATTAAACGCCTGCCAAAGGTACCATCGCGAGCGTGCTGCATATGTTGGAGGCTGACGCCGTCCTTTGTTTCTGTTTGTCGCTCTAGTGGGAGAAACGTCTCGTCGTCAGTATCGCCAGAGAAAAAAACCTCACCCCTCCCCCCCCCCTCCAAAAAAAAAAAAGAAAGATCCAGCCGATTTTATACACCCCCCCCCCCCCCCAATCCTAAAAAATAAAAAAAAAAGAAAAAAATATATATATATATATATATATTCTTTACTCCGCGCATACCTGTCGTCAGCGCGGATGACAAGCAAGTTTAATTTTCAACAAAAGGAGGCCGGAGGAAGGCAAACGAACGCCTAGTAAATAGATCTGTCCAGATAATCCGAATCCACAATTTATTGTTACATGTGAGTGCCCACTGTCCACAAGTGTGACAACAGTGGCACACGCAGTGGCGGACTCAGGGAGGAAGGAGGTCCAGATGTCCTGACGCGGATTCAGGCTCAGGGCGGGGCAAAGGGGAAAAGGAAGGGGGGGGGGGGGGGGGGGGGTTGTTTTTTCAAACTTTTGATTCACTAAACCCCGCCCCCTCTCCTAGAAATACCTGTATTCGCCCCTGGGCACACGCTTAGATGGAAAATTTTGCCAATGCAGTATGGCCAGTACGACTGCTAGCCCGGGGTATTTAACGTTCATCGCACAGTAGTGATTGCACGATTGCTTATCCGGATCGAAACAAGCAGGGGCGAGAAACGAACGGGCTCTGCATTTGCTCTGCAGTCAGATTTCCCGCCAATTCTGTGACGCTCCATGACGTCACGACAGCGTGGTTCGTCGATCGTAGCTTCCACAAGCTTCGAGCAAAACATGCGGCACCTGCCGGCGGCGTTTGGTTTTTTTCTCGAGCCGAGACGTGCGACATTTACATGAATCTATGGTGAGTTTTTATTTCGTGAGCTTTATTTCGCGACATATCGGCCGCAAATCACCGCCTCAATTTGTAGCAAGGGACGGGAATCGTTCCAGTGTGTCGTACGGACCCAGGAAGTTGGCAGACCCCGACGCTGAGCGGGAGCGAATGTGGGCCCGCGCTAAGCCTTTTCGAGCCACCGTTGCCTTTCTGCGTTTCGGTCGCCATGACCGACCAGGGCGCCACAGCACTGCCATATATTCGGCCTTTTTCAGGCGAAAATTATGAGAATTAATTTTTTTCGCCGCGATGCGTCGCGAAATTATTGCCTAAAGTGGCCCCCGTGGCACGTTCAAAGCGCTCAACGAACTCGACATGGGCGGAAAATCCATCTTTTTTAATTCAACCGCAGCCCGACGGCGCTGGGCGAAGCGGGAGGTCTTTGTTCGTCGTGGGCCGTCTGCAGGGCGCAGTTTCATGTTTACAAAATAGTTTCTTTAAATAAAGAACGCGACTGTTGCCTTCCGTAGATGGGTTCCTAACGCACAACTTATCGCTGTAATTATTTGCATCGGCATTATTCAACTGGCGTCACGCGCTGTTCGAACGGGTAGTGTGACGATTCCCCGTTTTTTTTTTTGTGTTCTTTTTCTTTTTGGCGCCAGTCTTTATGCTGAGCTGGCATTACCGCCAACTTGGCGTGCATGTTCTCTAACTAATCATGCATCGCACCACCGAGCGCAGACGTGTACGGCACGCTCGTCGTGCACGTAGTTTGGGTCTCTGATAACGGCGTGTCAAACTTGGAACGTGGGAACACGCTGCGTAGCTGCCCGTCCAACGGAGCACCTCCTCGCCGCCACTCAAACCTGGCCTAAAAATGTATCCGACGTGGGAATAGAATCCAGTTTACCATGTTGCTTCCGTGGTTTGATGGAGCGCCAAATTCGACAAGGAGTAGCTGCAGTCGCGATGAGATGGCTAACGAAGTTAACCCCTATATACTGTTGGAATGAAGGTTGCCTACCTTCGTAGCATTATCATCTCAGTGGGTAGCCGCTTGGATGTCTTTTTTTTTTTTTTTTTTTTTTTTAATTGTTACTATCGCCGCTCCCTCTGGGCTGATGTTCGTGCTAGTTAATGTCCAGTGCTTTTGGTGGATAATTTGATTTCTTCAAGCTGCCAAGATTTTGTTTTTCTTCAGATATTCCCTTCTTCCTAGAAAATATACTCGAAAGGTGCGTGTTGTTGACCTGCAGCAACATACACTTGCCTTCCATCTGTTAAAAAGGTGCCAGGAAGTGATTTTTGTCCTTTCGCTGAATACTGTTCAGAAAAAAATCCTTGACCTTCACATTCCATAAATCGCTCCTTAGATTCTTCCTCCGTGCACTAGCAGTTTTTGCAACTAACGTTTGTAATGTGGTTTAGCGTAGGCATGTGCTGTTTTGCAGGCATTTTTAAAACGTTGAAATTTATGTCACCACAGTGATTACACACAAGCTCTTACCTGAAGGGTCACCAAAATATTGATTCTATTTAAGTTCTGCCACGGTGCTCGTGCTCAATCCATGTCGACAACCTTTCCAAAGCTGAGACAGAAAAAAAATAATTTACTTCTATTCTTGAGAATTTACACCGATAACCGGGTTCTTTTCAGAAACTTTTAAAAGGTGGACATCTCACATTTACAGGGGAGTAAAAAAAGGGGGGTGGGGGGCGAGATTATTGCAATTTTTGATGCTCTTGGCACTTGTTCCTCCACTTGCTGCTAATCGTGTCTGCCAAATGCCACAATTCGACACATTACATGTTTGCAAAGTCGGCGTTGTTTGGCGGTAAGCTGTGGCAAAGTGTAGAGGTTGTAGAGGTGGGCTGGACATCAAAAAGAGGGGCAGTCAGCCAAACTGGTAAGCATCACTACCACCTATCAGGGGGAGGACCCTGGCAATAACAAAGCCTCTGGCCCGGTAGCATTGTGCACAAGCATGTTTTTGTCACACTTGGGTTTGTACGCTCATATTAAATGCACAATGTATAGACTTAAGATAGTTTCACGGCCCCCTTTTGGAAAATAGCACTACAATGGCAGACCATGCTGCCTTTTTAACAAGCACTTGCAGTGTACTAATGTGATGCAGCATCTTGGTCGTTGCATGATTTTACAAAATTTGAGATCTAGCGTAGCTGTTCAACAATGATAGGGTTGGTTACAAATGAAACTAATTTTCAGATGAACTCGTCGTAACCTTGTGTATGGCCGGAGGAGCGGGAGCCTCGTCTGGAAGTGGATTGCAAAAAGCAAGCAGTGCAGCACCGAAGAAAAAGCCTCCAGAAGGCATAATGGGTGAGCAATCTTCGCAATCATTTGTTCCATTCTTTCTTGGCATATTCCATTTAAATGTTAGATAGTCGAGAATGTATGTGTTCATCGCTTCGAAAAGCGAGCAAAGCACACACCGTACGCATTAATGCCAAAAGTGACTCTGGCCTGAAGATCTTTATAGGGTCTCTCCATGGTACCAACATTTTGTGGCATCTGTGAAGTTCACCTTGTTTTATAGACGTGTCCAGGTCTGCATTGAGTCAATCTGAACACTTCAAAGGGCCATGCAAGAACACATATTTGCTCACAAGGACTTGCCACATTCACAATAATACCCTGAGTCACCGATCCCTAGTTTACTTATTTATTATTCGGTTGTTCCACTGTTCTTCTTAATCTCAAGAGACAAGTTGTGTCAATGTTATGGAACTACAGTGTATCTTTAGCAAGCATATGCACTTGGTGGGTTTCTAGATGTCTAACAAAGATTTAGAATGAGCTAGTATGTACCTTAAACGCTTCGGTAGCAGCGACGCAATAGTACCTTGCGACTTGTTTCCGTTTGTTGCAGACTTTCTCAAATGCGGATCATGCAGCACCATCTTTCACGAGCTCGATAGCTTTATCGCACACAAGCAGCAAGGCTGCACAGGGGATGGCGGCGATGAAGCAGACAAAGAAGGTAACGTTGGCTTCTGCTTGCCCTGACAGCTTTAAACACAAAGACACAATGTTTACGCTATCTTTGCTTTCCCGCAGCCAAAGAAGACAAGCCCGGAAAGGCAGCCCAGGTTAAGCCAGAAGCAGACGCACAGGTGGATGTTGATCTCACCGCCGAAGGTTCAGCAGACGAGGATCAAGATGAGGAAGAGGAGAAAGAGGATGCCCTGACAGACTCTAAAAACAATGGCTTGCAGAAGACCGGCAAAGGTGCCTTCTCGGGTTACCTTCATCAGGTGAGTTATGATGTTCTGTTCATTGTTATTGTTATTGTCACAATAGGTGGCTAGGACAGAGGGCAAATGCTTGTTGATTCTTTGGGGGTCTTGTATCAAAGAAGTGCACACCAAAAATTGCTTCATAAATGTAGAATTTGTGGGTTTGAGCCAGATACTTCTCATTCACTATAGTCACCTGTTCTATAGATAGGAGACATTGACAAAGAGAAGCTGACATTACTGTGTGGCTGTACTTGGCATCAGCTTTTTTGTGCTATATTGTTGCAGCTAGTATAACCTCCACAGCGCAGCAGCCCCTCATTGCTGCAAGAACCCGTGGTTTCATCTCGTGTCTCATTTGCACGTGCTCTCATGCGAAGGAGACACTGAACGACGCTACATGCTCACGCGAGTAGCTTTTGCAGTATTGGAGCACTGTGGAAGCTATGCTACCCTTGCTTAGTGCAAAGCAGCTGATTTCAAGTATACAACACCTCACTGTCGCTATCCGGTTTTGTCGCGCTCATGCAGTATCACAGTACACCTATTTTCTGAAGTGTGTTATAGACATATGGGCATACATAGGTTTTAGGAAGACAATAGCTCTAATCTGAGAAATCGTATTGTTACCCACCCACACGAGGGTTTCTCTTTCTCTCACGCAGTGGGTTGTAGTGTTCACAACGATAGTGCTGGCAGTTAGTAAATGCAGCGATGGTTTCAGAGCAAACCACTGTTCAGGAAATATTTGAATTCCTCAGGCATGCTGGCCAAAGTTACCATGGCCTTGCACCTGAAGATTTCGACCTCTGCGGCAGATAGTTCTAGCGCAGGGGTTCTCAGACCTTTCAGTATCAGTTTCAGCCAAAAAGCAGGCTTTCGGTGTCAGCATTGATGCAATAAAGCAGTACAGAAGCCTACAGACCTAAGGTATTGTCTTTGGTGACGTGTCTGAATGGTTGATGTAGCGCCTGACGGGGTCATGCCACCGTTTCAACTACAGCGACATAAAATCAGCATACAAAAATAAGGAACTTGCAGAAGACCTAAGAGACATAATGAAACATATGAGCTATCAACAAATTTTACATCACAAAAGAAATTAGAGGAATGGGCAGAAAAGATATCAACACATAGTTTCAGCAATTTAAAAAAAAAAAGTCTGAGACATAATACTTATAACAAACTGGCAAGAATTCAGAACAGAGAATAAGCACAGAACAGCCTAAAGACATGAGAAAGATATATATCGAGGAAATAAACGACCAGACTACTAGGTAGAATTATATCATTTTTACTATAATGGAAACAAAATGAACTGTCAAATTGTGTGTCAGGCTGTCTCGTGACCCTGGCATTAGCCTTCCTCGAGGAAAACTTCTTTTATTATGTTCTTAAATTGTGCCTTTGAAATGGAACTGTATAGTAGATCTAAGATCACGGGGTATTTATTCAGCTATAGTCAGGGATTAGATCAGCCAGTCATTGTTCACCATAATTTGTCTATGAACGAGATTTTGCAATCAAATTAAGCTATACATACCAGTGAGTGTGGCACATGGTTATGCATCAGTCAGATCTTTTAAGGGGGGACACTGCATTAAGATTACAATCTAGTTTTTTAGGTCACAATTTTATCAGCTTTCAAATATCCTGATGGACGCTGTCAGAAAGCTTCACTCCTGTAACTAAAGCATTTATTCTGGGATAAATTATTTCCCACATGCCGCACCATCTAAAGTGCAGCTTTTTTTAACTTTCAAACGGGTTTATCTTGGTTTCACTTTTTGGCATCAAATCTTGGTTCAGGAAAGCTGGATGGAATTTGATTATACATTGATGTGTGAAGCCAACTTGGTAAGTTCCTGTACTAAAATTTTGTAGGGAACATGGCTTGGAGTTTACTTTCTGCATTTTTACAATCTTTTGTTATGAAAAGCTGCAGTATGTTAACCTAATGCTAAAAAAAAAAAAATCTTTTTTCACATTTGTTTTTTCTTTTAAAAATGGTTAAATATTTTTAATATCTTTTCATGGCCACGTGACACGGGTGTTACACTGTATGTTTCACCAAGAGAATTGTTCATTATCATTACCTTTTCTAAACGACAGTTGTCCCCAGGGGACACAGTGTTTATTTAATGTACTTTTACATAGCTCTTTAAAGGGTAAGCTTAAAACTTTGCACGTCACCTTCTTTCCCAGCTGTAAATAAGCCCTGCGAACTTAATACAAATAAGACTATCGGTTAAAAAGTTCACCTACTGGAAGAGCCTTCCACTTTGTGGCAGAAATATTCGGAGAAATCTGGGAACCTGGGGAATCCTTGATGGCGCACTAGGAAGCCCCTATGTACCTAGGAACCCAGTTTGAGAACCCCTGTCGGGTTCTAGCCGCACATCAAGACACGCACGAGGACAGTCGCCTGGCGGGTGCACGCTCACCCCGCAGTGTTTTAAAGCAAGCAATGTTTTTGTCGCGTCGTCAGAAGCGCATTCTTCACCAGCGTCTGCGTCAGCAGAAGAAGCTGCAGATGCAGCGGGCCTGCAAAGTGGCGGCGGCGGAGCGTCAGCAGCAGCAGTCGGTGGCCAAGGCGCATCCGGCAAAGCCACAGGCATCTCCCCCGGCCCCCTGCGGCCGCTGCGAGCCCTGCAACCTCACCGAGGACTGCGGGGAGTGCACCAACTGCACGGTAGGCGGTCTCTAGACCAATCGCGTACGGCCCTCTCCTTTCCGAGGAATGGGCGTCCAACGAAACAGAAAATAACATTGACTTTCCCGTCGGGTCGGCCTGAATTTGAGTTTAGGTCACAGGACATCAATTTTCCCGCCAAGTCTAGCGAAGAAGTCATGTCACATAATTTTTCCCGCTAAATTTAGCGGTGAAGATGAATTGGTGTTGAGGTCACGTAACGCTAATTTTTCCGGTAAATCTAGCGAGGAAACTTAAGTCATGTGACGTCACAGGTCGCAGCTTTACGAAATGTGGCTTCACGAAATCTAGAGCAACTAGCCAAAGAATGTTTCTCTCTAATAATAACAGTAAAAACCTATTATAATAAACCAAATAAAAAAAATTCCTTCTTTTTTTTTTTTTAGTTCTCAAACTGTTTTGTTTCCCCCTCCCAGTCTCCGCATTGATCCACTACAGCAGTTCTGAAGTCCAAAGGTTTTGTAAACAATATTGCACGTAGTGGGGAAGTCTGGCTGACAGTTGCGCATCAGTGGTGACTCAGATTCGCTAAAGTAGCACTCAAACCGGGCAGTTGAGAAAATTTGGGGTCCCGTGGAACCCGTGCAGATGCCTGGGAGGACCCCTGGGATCCTAGAAACCCGGCTTGAAATCTCGTGGACTATGGTAAACTGGAAAGGGCTTGTCCAGCACCTCCCATATAGCGAGTGTTAGATTTCCAATGTCATCTACCCGAAACCAGCACGGGGCATGGATTGGACAGAGGTGCCGCATCGGCGTTCAACTGGAGCACATGTTCAAATCGTTGAGAATGCAAGTCCTGGTCGAATGCTAACTTTGTATTGAAGATGTGTTATTTTGCCTATAGTACCGTAAAATCCCAAGAGATAGCCCACCTAAAATTGAGAAAAAAATGGGTCAAAACAAGGAGTGAACTAACTTTCGGTGTGCAATCAATATTGAAAAAAACATTATTTTTGGTCATATGTTTCTGCCAAGCTTGTTATATCGGCGAGGGGCAACAAAGCAAAGATTTCTGAGTTTCCCAGTCAGCAATGTTCGCTTATATCCTGCCATAGCTAACTATAGTCCGTTGCAACCTAAGAACGAAGGGCGAGGGTAAGACGGGCCGGGGAGGAGGAAGCAGACGGAAGGCTGGAGAGGAGAGAGGGAAACCTCCTTCTCTCTTTAGCATTCCGTCTGCTTCCTCCTCCCCGGCCCGTCTTACCCTCGCCCTTCGTTCTTAGGTTGTAACGGACTATAGACACATTTACGCCGAGGTCGTCATTGATCCAAGCACTACGATTACTAGAAATGGGCTATCTTTCGATGTTTAAAAAAAATAGCCAATCAAGCCAAAAATTGGGGTGGTTACCTTTAGGTCGTGGGGCACCTCTCAAGATTTCACTGTAAACTCGAAAAAGATTTGCCTATGGTAGATTGTAAAGGGTTGGCCGTCTTTTCCAAAATAGAATTCGGGGTTTTGGGCTTGTCCGATCCGAACGGTAAACTGGGATGCTGTATACGAACGATTTCCTCTCCGCATTCTCCGCTTCCTCACGTGAATCTCTGTCAGTGATGGACGTGCTTCTTTTTGTCTCGGATGCCACACCCTCGAGGAGGGCATCCGGGTTTGAAGAGAGTGTGATCAACTCTCCAAAGCAGAGGCTTGATTTTTCTGTTTTTTTTTTTTTATTTTTCTAGGATAAGAAGGGGACTCCAAAGGCAAGAAAGCAGTGCGTGATGAGACGCTGTGAGAAAGTAGTGCCTCAGGTTAGCTTCTCCAATCTTTTAGTAACTGAATTGCATTTCCTTTTGAGAGTCGTAAACTCTGCCGCCTGCTCAAAGCAGAAAACGCAACAACAAAAAAACACTCTTTTTGTTTGTTTTGCAGAAGAAGACGGTCTACATAGTTGAAAAAATACTCAAAAAAAGGATCAATGCGGGGAAGGTGGAGTACTTGCTCAAGTGGAAAGGCTACCCAGAGTAAGTTGCTCGCTTCGAAAACTCGCAACATTGCAACAGCGTCACGCAGAAAGTTTCAGGACGACAGGTGTGTTTCGCCTGCATACATTGTGTCTGCGAGAGATTAGGAGCGACAACCCGTGTTTTTGACGGTCTTGTTTCTAGGGCACCGATGTGCTTCTCCACGGTGCTTCGGTGACATCTGAGCTCAGATTGTGTGGCCTGAGTTCACATGTGGCTGAGTCACCTAAGAATTTTGTCTCCTGAACAAACATCAGACACCATTCTGAAACTTTTTGCGGTTTCTGACGTTGTGACATGCATGCTCTGGCTCCACTACAGAGCGGGACTTTCCTCAAGGGCTGACCCGTACCGATGCATTTCATAGCGTGCTGGAGATGTTGCGACAGATAATGAGCCATTCTGACCACGGCGGGAGAGCTAAATGCCCCCTCCCGACAATGTGTGCTCTGTCGTCTGGCACAGTGGAGGGTCAATGTGCCGATTAAAAGTTTGCCACATCTTTCTTCAGCTCTGAAAACTGCTGGGAGCCCGAAGAGAACATCATCAGCAAGCGCCTGATCCAGCTTTTTGAGAAAGAGCAGCAGCAGGGGTCAGACGCCGAGACCCCAAAGAAGAAGGATGCAACCAAGGAGTCCACGGTCGAAGAGCCTTCTAGTTCTCAGGATGACGAGGTGACGTATTCATCGCTTGGAAAAAAACTGGAACTCCAATCCACTTCTCTGGTCTCTGCTTTTGTTTGCTTTGGATGAGCAGAACCCTAATGCCAACCGACCTTGCATATTTGTGTGATGTGCATCCTCTTGCTGTGCAGGCCACTTCTTGTAATGTAGTAATAATAACAATCCCACCTTGAACTTCCAGTACAGTGTGGAAATTGAAGGGACCAGACAATGTGGTAACATGTAGAAAATCCCCTGTCAAAAGTTAAGAAGACCATTTTGACCATAAGGGGAATCAAGTTACTGCTATACCATGTTTCATCTAAAGTGCGAGCAAAGCCAAGGCTGCATGCACGAGACCCCTGTTATGTTATCTTAGCCATTGTGCATGCATGTATATACAGCGCAAGCGCTGTTCAGAACGACATCCTCGTGCCTGTAGTTTCCACTTTGCTTGCACTTGAAACAAAGTATAGTTTCGTCACAAAAACCATTAGACGTCAAAGCCTTGGCAGTTTAAGCTCAGTCTGCCAGAGAGTATTGCGACATTGTTACATGCTGTAGATGAGAAAGTTAGCCGGTGCAGTACTACCGCTAGCTTGGGGTATTTAATGTGCTTCACAAAGTGACAATACACGACCGCAAAGCCGATATGAGGCTAATTCAGATCGAAACTGGTAGGGGCGGGGATTGAGCCCAGGATTCTCTGGTTCTGCACCGTGAGCTGTCGCTCCACAATCTCTGAGCTGCGGTGTGTTAGCTCGCTCGGCCAATTGACTCTCCCTCATCCTCCCCTTTGTCCTGATGCCACATTTTCACACAGGGAACAATGGAAGAAGAGGAAGAGGATGAGGATGCGGAAGGCGCACGCAGTCCTAAACGGATCTTTTCCGCCTTGGGCCTCCATCGCCAAGGTGACGAGCCGCTGGCGCAGCCCCAGGAAAAGACGCTTCGCCGCGGCCGCACCAGCAAATCGGCTGCCAAAGACTTTATCAAGACGGTCTGCAGCAAGCGCCCGCGCAGCCCTGAGCTCCCATCCCCAACCCGCCTGCCCGCTTCCGCCAAAAAGATTGTCACTATTTCCAGCCCGCTCCCCGAAGCTTCTGCGGCGACGGCAGACGGCCAAGAGTCAATTGCCATCATCTACATTCCCAAGCCAGACGACCCCGGCAAGTACATCACCGTGAAGGGTGACCACAAGCAAGTGAGTGGATTGGATGGAGCCGACCTGAATCCGGTTGTAGTGCTGGGGCCGAAGCCGGGGCTGAAGGCAGTGGCTGCTGTCAACGCCGAAGAGGCCGCAGCTGCGTCCGGGTCAAAGAGCAGCGTTGCGGCGTCTACGCAGGAACCAAAGACTATCAACATCGAAGTTGTGCAGCTCGCATCCTTGGAGGAGGAGGAGGAGGGGGAGGAGGGAACTTCGTTCGAGCTGTCCAATCGCAAGCCGGCAGCGGCAGAGAAGGCACGGCTCAAGGCGATGGGGATGTTTCAGTCGCCGTCGCGGCAGATGGCATACCACCGGGGGCCGGGGCGGCCGCGGAAGACGCCACTGCCCCCCGGCGCGCCGGCCGTGCCCACAGTGATAACACCGTCGCGGAGAGGCCGCAAGCGCAAGCGCCCGGCCAGGGAGGACTTCTACTACGACGACGAAGACACGGAGTTTCTGCCGGCGCTTTCTCGCACCACAAAGTGCAAGATGGTGGTTGAGGTGAGTCATAGTTTTTGCAAGCTGGCCTGGCATCCCAATGTTTAGAGATACACGAGGCACAATAACTGGTCTACCTGGCGTTTGCTTCTTTGTTTCGAGCACTTTGTAAAATGTGGCTGTGTTTCCACTGTTTCTCTGCCTACAGCAAATCTCATGGTCATTTGTGTAGCTTTAAATGAAAAGAGGGGACCAGTTTTGTTCTAAAGAGTGCGAAAACATGCAGCTAAGAATGCACAGGTTTGTGGTGGGGGGACAAAACGGTATCTTTGATTTTGTACATTATGAACTCTATGGGGGGGTACTCCAGGATTTTATGTGAACTTAACGTCTCGCAGCTTGAGCAAAGACCATAGCCGTCGTATTTGGAAAAACTGCTGCAACAATGGACTACTCTATCTGGCGCCATGAGGTTCAGCAGATTCATGTCACTTGTGTTTATTTGATGGGAAGCCTCCCAATATCTAGATGGAGGAAAACCGAACCTGGCTTGAGTGCAATGTAGCTTCAAGACACGGAACCTTAGACCCATTTTGCGCAGGAGTGTACGCTTACACTTTCTTGTTACAACATGACCGCGGGTCATATGTGCATTGTATGACACATACAGTAGGATCGTGATAATTCGAACTTGGATATTTCTACTTCTGGTTAATTCAAACAAATTTCAAAATTTTGGTTGTCCTGCTATGTTTTTAATTTATTCTTAAGCCTCTTAATTCTAATGGCGTTTTCGGGTAATTCATACCTTTTGTTCTCGCAGCCCCGTTGAGTGCGCTTCTTTCCAAGCACCAGTGCACTGCAGAGAGGCAACACCCGCAGAGCTCGCTTCTGTGGATGTCGCTTCTCCGCAGTGCACCAGCGCTCAGGGAGAAGTGCACTCAACGGGGCTCAAGCACGGCACCATGAGCTATGAAAACACACACCATGCGAAAATTTCCATAGCAACTTATGCAGACGTGGCGTGGTGGCATGACATATGTCCATGTCAGAGCGTCCGCGCAAGTTGCAATGAAGAGCCCTTTGCGGTGCCCGTTCTCATCGCTCATGTGCCCCCTACTTAATAGTGCACATTAGACAACCTCTTGACCTGATCAATTAACTTAATTTTGCTTTGAGTTGTCGTGTGGTCTAAACAGTCAATAATAAACATCACTTTTGAAATATAAATAAATTTATGTCATACATTTCATAAATGCTTGATGTGTGGCATACCTGCTTATGATCAGTAGACCTATATAGAGGAAATCATCATAGATTTGCTTTGTGCGTGCATCCATTCATATGGCAAATCATAATTTTATCTCGCGTCTTATTTAGATGAATTCCTGATAATTTATACTTACGATAATTCACACAAAATTTATAGCTTTCTGGAGTTTGAATTAATGAGAGTCTACTGTAAAAGCTTCTCCTTGTATGGGTTGCCATGTTGTATATGAAATACGGATATTCCGGTGACTCCCAGTGGTCGTATCGTAACAAAAGCGGACGTAACCTCTCGTAACATAACGCAGCGTAAGCAGACGGTGCTGTGTAAGTGGGCCTCGAGTTGGACATCATTAAAACAGAAACAGCAGCAAAAAATGCATAAGGACAAGAAAGTAGGCGATACAAGGCGGTTTGGCTCATAGTCGCCCAAAAAAGCTAAAAAAAAAAATATATATATATAGCCTCCTGTATCGTCTACTCGCTCGTCTTCGTGTTTCTTTTTTTGTTTTTTTACGCTTTTTAGGCTAGTGTTAAAGGGGTTAGGACATGGAAATTCAAGAAGTAGATCATTCTTGAACTGGAATGCTCATAGGCTACTTAGTGAATGCACCAAGCTTTGCAGTTTTAGAGCGCAGCTCTTAGGGGCCCGTTTCCAGCTTGAGCGACTTCGCCGTCGGCGTAACCGCGAGGTCACGTGACCCCTCGAGGTTGCGTGACCCCCCCCCAGGTCACGTGACCTCCCTCAGGTCATGTGACCCCCCTGATGTCACGTGACCCCCCCCCCCCCCCCCCCCCCCCCCCCCCCGAGGTCACGTGACCCCCCTGACGTCACACAACCCCCCCCCCCCTCCCCTAAGGTCACGTGACCTCAAGGAGTCACCTATCCCTCAGTACGCTTCCATCTGCCTGCTCAAGAGCTGCGCTCTGATCCAGCGTTACAGCCTTCATTTTTTTTTTTTTTTTTGAGCTCTACTAATTGCAATTATCAATTTACGAACGCTGATCATTTTGATCTGGTGACCAGACAACACTGCCCAAGTTAGTCGCACCATGGTGCCCACAAACCACGCGATCGTCGTACGTGGTTGAACGCTCTGCCATTCTAGGCGCCCCCACGCTCGCCCAAGCTCACCTCAACATTGCGATCGTACCCTCTCACGCTACTCCAACGCTACTCCCGCCCTAGCCCACTTGCCGTTTGACCCTCGCCCCGCGTGCACGTGCGAGATTGTTGCGGATGACGCTAGTTCGTCCCGGACGATCTCATCGTCGTCACCGCCAAAGCGTACTGAGGGGGGCCAGTGAATCAAAATCAAAATGACCAGCTTCCAACATCTTTTCGAAACAGTTACTCTCGTCGTCGTCTCGAAACTGCATGCTCGAAACGCAGAACGTAAACGAGGAAGCCAAAGCATGAGACGCCAGAGAGCCGAGTGCAAGCGCATGCAGAAGGACGCCGCGTGGCGGGCGATGTACGTGACCGACCCACCAAACGTGGCGGGCCTCCTGAAAGGGGTGGATCCGAGGGTCCCGCACATAAATCAATTTATCTACGAGGCTATTGCGCCATCGAAACAAATCTAGCAAAAATATATGAATGTATGATGGGCCCTAGCAGTATAGTTATGTCATATTTTATATTTGCTGTGTCCTAACCCCTTTAATGCCCGTCCACACACTTGTGTTTGCTTACGACTGTGCCTTTAAACCTCTTAAATATTTTATGAGAGAACACATTGATGCCATCTATTGAGTAGCTGTAACACGCTTGCAGTTTTCTTTTTTTTTTTGCACATTACAGATGGTATGCACGTTTGATCTTGCAAACACCTCAAAACCTTTGCTGTAGTGATATGCAGTTTCAGGGTCTGTGAGTTCTCTCGTCGTAAGAAATAACAACGACTCTGTCCTAAGTGAATGCGAGTGCCTGAACGGGCCTTAAAGGCCGACAAGCAGCCAGAAAGGAGGCAACTTTCCCCCAATTCCTTGTTTCTATCCGAGGAAGAGGGAGACCCTCCTCCTTTCTGCGGAGAGTTACCCGCTCCTGTGAGGAGACGAGGAGAAAAGAGGAAATTGAGAGAATGGAACCGCTTTTGTTCTCGGCAGTAGATTAATCTGTAGGTCGGGCCTTTAAAGGCCGACTTTCGAAACCATTTTCCGCAGGGTAGGAAAGTGCTCCCTAACGAACTTCGCTCCCTCCCCTCTCGCACTCCTTCCTCCCCCTCCCCTGAAAAGGGCGGGTCCGGAAGCTAGTTTCCGTGGAAAGGAAACGGGGTTTCCTCCTTTCTGGGCGGCAAGGAGGAAACCTCTTCTCCCGCTGAAAATGGTTTTGTAGGTCGGCCTTTAAGTGGTAGCGAACGTGCATAGGAACCTTTAGATGGGCGTCGTGGAAAAGTACCTGCTGCGGGTATCCCCAGGTGGTCGGGGAGGACGGGGACCCCGCGGCGTCCCTGGTCCCCGAGGTGCCCAAGAAGAAAGTAGGGCGCCCCCGCAAGTATCCCCCGCACCCGATGCACCACCTGTCGCCCCAGCAGAAGAAGGTACTGGCTGCCCGCCGGGGCCGCAAGAAGCTTGTCCAGCCCAGGGCGCGCAAGAACAGGGTCTTCGTCGTCATGGCAGACGGCACCATGGTCGAGGTGGGTTGGTGTCAGACTTTTTGTTTTTTTTTCTCCTTTTTATGAATTTTAGTTGCTGTAACTGACGTTATGAGAATGGCAGAGGGCATCTTTCTAACGCCCGGCCTCCAGCACGAGCTTCGTGCCTTCGTCGGGCGCTCCCAAAGCTTTGGGCATGCGCGCGCATGCCCGATGTGTCTTGTTGGTAACTATAGGGTTCCATGTTTTGTTTTGTCTTGTTTTTCTTTGAATTCAAAAGCGTTTATTTGAGACTTATTTTTTCCCGCCCATTCAGAGTTTGTCAATCTTTTTCTGAAATCCGAAACAAGAAAAAACAAAAAAAGCCTTTTGTTAGGGTTTATGTTGAAGAAAAGAAAAGAAGCGTGAGGTTTCTCAACCTCCTGGGAACATGCACGTGCATTAGTGCATTACTTGAATACTGTCGAGACCGGTTATAATGAAATAGTGGCTACAGCGGAGCGATCATGATTTCCCTTTTCTCTTTTCACTTCTCAATGGTTTGTGTCTAGTCTTAGTGAAGAAAATTGTGTGATAATTTAAAAAATAATAAAATTCGGAAAGTTTACTAAGTCTTGGACCGCCGCACTTTGCTGCAATGCCACCCGGGCGGGTTGCAGACGATGCTTCAAAGGCCGGCGGCGGCAGCCTCTGCATCGTTGTGTGCTCCCCGCTCCTTATGTGGGAAGTGGCTTTTCCGCATCGCATGCAGAGAAGCCGTCGTTTCATGCCGGTAGGGGTGTTTGGAGTGCTAGCTACAACGTACCGGCAGAGATGGGGGAGAGAGCCTAGATTTAAGGGCACAGGGTAAGTCCTATACTCCCCATGCATTTGAGGCCATGTTGAGGAACATTTTTCTCGGTGACTACTAGGAGTATTCCTGTCATGTATATATCATTTTGTTCGAAATATTGTGTTTTATCCACTGATCTAGAATTATTTGAACCAATCTAAAATAAGTTTTTTTTAATATTTTTTCATTCTAGTACTGAAATTTTAGTTCTTTTCATCTATTAAAAACTTTGTAACTCAAAAACTGCTAGGTGCACATTCTTAATTTTAGTTCAGTATTTTAGAACACCCATGTATGTGGTAGGAATAAAAAATCAACCCTCTATAATGGAAAAAATGGTACCTTAAGGAAAAAATGGTACCTATGTACTAAAAAACACTGTTTTGAGATAATTGAGTTTAAAGTAAAAAAACTGGTGAATAACGAATTTCTATTGGCACCAACTGCCTCAGAGTCATTTCTTCAATAGCCGCCAGCTTGAAAGGCATTGCTAAAGTCATGTCTTCGCCTTTAGGCTTACCGCCTTGCTTGCCGGGCCTCTTTTGTGACGTGCCATGTCGCTTGGTCCGTAAAGTATATTAGAGTGACGTCAACTTCCCTCAGCCACTTGATGGTTTTCCACACAGGGTTCCATCCACAAAACTTCAGAACATTGGCTTCTGCATTGCTGCCACCATTGAATAAAGGAACAGCATCCAATGGCACCATTTTGTCGTTACGAAAACACAAACGCTTGAATTTACACACGGTACATACCTGGGAAAAACGTGCACAGCGTCTCGTGATTGTCTTGGTTGAAAAAAAGCTATGCAATAGTTGCGAAATAATTTTTTTGAGATTATCTGTTACTGGACAAGCTTTTAGGTCTTGTGTTGATTTTGTTTTGTTGGAGAATTCATCGCTAAACAGGGAGTGTATCCCAAAGGGAGGCATGGTCACCTGCTACTTGCTTTCGGAAGAAGTGATTTTCAGCCCAAAATATAGCTTTCTAAAAACACTGGGACAATGGAAAATGTGCAGAAAGAACTAAACTTTTCAAATTGCGAAAAAAACTAAAATCGATTTTTTTTTCAATTTTACCTTACCCTGTGCCCTTAAGAGAGGGAGCAACTCCAACCATTGAGAGCATTTGGAATTTAATGGCAGACGCCTCCTGGGCAGATTGGCGCAAGTACGCCTGCATTTGGTTGTCGCGTGACCAGTGTGGCTTGGCCAGGTGAACGCTTTTGAGTTTTGACTCCTTGCATGCTGAGCTCGTTTTGCAAACGCAGCCCACAAACGATGTGACCCCAATCGAGCAATTCCCCCCTCTCTTAAATCTAGGCTCTCTATACCGACGAAAGACAAGCTTGAGCGCGAGCTCAGTGACGTGCGCACTTTTTTGCTTCGTGTTCTGTGTCGGCTTCCCTGATCGGTGTGGTCGCCTTTGCACGATAGTCTAGCTTCGCTCAAGCACTGATTCAGCGATTCATCGCTGCTCAACAATGGTCTTCCGCGCCAACACCTTGACGCGAAAGACCAAGGCAATCTCCTTGAAACAAAAGCTTGCCGCCATCCTTGACAAAGTGCGCGTAAATTTAAAGAATACCAACCACTGCTGGCGTCAACCACGCGGCCGTCGCAGGATCGTTTCTTGATCGCGGCTCCGATCTAGCAGATAATGCATGCAGGGAAGCCTTGACTGCTTTCTGCAGGCGCGATAAACATGTGCCCGTGACGACCCGTGTTATTTTCTTTTTTTTAGTGGGTTAATTTTATGAGTCCAGATATGAAGAGGAAGCGGATATAGCGAAGTGATATCTGCTTTCTCCCTCCAAAATCTTCCTATTTGAGCCCCCCTCCAAAATCTTCCATTTTGCTGGGGCCTCCCTCTCCCCCCACCCCTCATACAGCATGTCATGGGTGCCCCCCCCCCCCCTCTCTCTCTCTCCAAATCAAAATCCTGGCTACGTGCCTGAGCGTGGACATAGTATGCCGCACCTTGCATTTCTCCAGCTGTCAGTGATTATAGATGGCGGGGAATTTCGGACAAGGTCCCGCCTGGAGTTACCTTTTTCCTCAATCCTCTCAGGTCTCCGGCACGGACCGGCAGAAAGCGGTGGAGAGGGCCACGGAGAAAGTGCGTGCCATGCGCGAAGGAGGAGCGGAAGCTGCGATCGCGGAGGAGGTGGAACTCATGGAGGACAGCGACTCTCCCGGGACGCCCACTGGCGGCACCGGACTCAAGGACACTTCACTGGTGGGTTCCGCATCTCTTGCCTTACGTCAAAGTGGGAGAGACCGCACCGTTCTAAATGCACAAAACCAAAGCAGCATTGCAACAGATCAGCAGATATGTGTATAATACAGTCCCATTAGTGTGAATCTACCAAATGTGTTTCGATGATTCAAGTGTGCTCTGCATTAGAAAGGGGGAAGAGGAGTATTTGGCCTAGAGTGGAGCACGTCTTGAGGCATATATAGGTGTGAACTCTGCACGTGTCGCAGCAGCCAGATAAAGTCCTCTTTTCGCCTTGTTTGCAAGCGACGCCACCAGACGGCTCCTCGACATGCGGCTAATGGCAGCCTGTTGCGGGCCCGGTTTCCCGTGCTTCTCTATGAGTGGTACACTTGTTTTTAAACTTGTTTTTTGGTGTGCACCACGTCACAAAGGACTTGCCACTTACACTACGCGTGTAGCTTAGACACTGCTTCGTCATTGACCCTAGTTTCGTGCCTCAACGGCGGCGATAACAGTTTTATGACCGCATTGAAGCGGAAAGATCTTCGGCACAGTGTTCGAGCCAGCGTCCATCAAGGTCACCAGCAGATGCTCCGAGTGAAACGAGCCTACACTTGGATTCCAGGGAACGAGGCACTCATTTTGGTTTTGATTGTTTTGTTTGTTTTTTTCTTCTCAGTTGCACCTTCTGAACGTTGGAACACTGTCGACTGAGGCTGCTCAAGCATGTGCCAATATGACTTTATCTGGTCGATCGCTTCGCAGTATTCGCCATGCTGTGTGTCTTCACCTATATATTTCTTACACCGTGGTGTGCAGCACATCCACGGAGTAGATCGATACGTTTGTGTGTGTGGCATTCCACGGTAGTTTTTTTTTTACGAATTGTAACTTTTTTTTTATTGTCATTGTTCTGTTATGTTTGTAAGAACACTCCCGTTTGGGCCCCTGTGAGACTCGAGGCATTGTTAAATAAGGGCCTCTGACACCCCAAAAGTGTTTATGTTTTTGTGCAAAGTGCTAGATTAGAGCATCGGGACACAACCTTATTTAATTATCCATGGCAGAATTACATATCTGCTAAAAAAAGCAAACAGTCGTGCCAAGACCTGAAGGGCAGTGCGACAAAGCGTGACATCAGAGGCTTCGGGAAATCTCTTGGATCACGTCACTTCCCACGGCTGTGAGGCTCGCGGTATTGTTAAATAAAATGAAGGCCTCCAAATTCACAAAAATGTCTACCGTAGTATCCCGAGAGATGCCTCATCCCATAGAGATAACCTGCCCCCTATTTCAATACGATTTGCTATTTAAAAAAAAATAAATCGCCCAAAGATAGTTCATTTCTAGTAATTGCTGGGCCCTGGCCAATGGTGATCTCGGCAGAAATAGTGTTACTTAGCCACGACGGGCGGTGAGTGAATATTGCCGACTAGGAAGGATAGCCGTCTTTGGTTCATCACCCCTCCCTCCAGCAGCAGGTTTCGCAGGTAACAAAATCTAAAACTAGAATTTTTTCAACTTTTTTTGTTTATTGCCCACCTAAAGTGAGCTTACTCCCCGTTTTCACCCACTTTCCTTTCGATTCTAAATGGGCTCTGTCTGGATGTTATGGTATACACATGTTTTAATGCAAAGCGCTAGTTACCGGTGTCAAGACGCAACCTTGTTTAAATTTCTGCCACAGAAAAGCGTACTTGCCAAGAAAAACAAACAGTCGTTCCAAAACCAGAGAAGCGGCTTTGAAGAACGTGACATTGAAGGTTCCGACAGCCACTCTGGTCGCCCTGCTTCCCGCAACGTTTGAGGTCATTTTAAACCGAGGCGCTTTCTACATGCAGGACACGCCCGCCGGAGTGTCGGCGGGCACCCCGGGCCCCGGCCCGAGCCCGCTGCTGTCGTCTGGGGGACGAAGGAGGAGCAGCACCCAGATGAGCCTGGAGGAGTGCACCAACGATGCGGTGGACGACGCCCACACCCTCAAACTGCCCAACACGGTGCAGCTGGTGGAGAGCGAACTGCCCCTCTCCGAGGCTGAGAACTCCGACTCGCTCATCGGCATGTTCCTCTTCCGCCAGGTACGTGGGGGAGTCCCCCGCAGCGTCGTGGAAGGTGCACACGCTCATAAGCCCACAGATGCCCCGGTTGTAGTTGCGGTCATATTCTGCTTGGATTATTGTCCACATCTGTATACATGCTCTCACTCGCTTCCTTTCAGCGCTTCGCACAGCTTCCGATGTGACTTTTTCAATTAGGAGCAGGCCTCGGGGGTTTGGGCTTTACCTTTGATTCGAGAAAAGATTCAAAACTGAATTGCTAATTTTGTAGGCATTGTACTAAAAGTGAAAGATCATTGTCAGATGGAATAGAACAAACTTTGTACTTCTACATTCTGTAAAGGTTGGTTAATTAAAATGTAAATTGCTCACTTGATAGGCCTATTTGATATTTGTTCAACTCAATTCAAAAATTTACTATTTGCACCTGCCCATCTGGAGTCACCGGAAAGCTACATTCAGAGTATCGGCACTTTGTTCCGCCATTGTCTGATACTGCCAAGACGGTCATTCATCCGTTCACATCACACGGTATTTGCTTATGCGCCTATGGCTCATGGGCGCCATATTTTGGTGCTTAAGACTTGAGCAGGTTTCGTGTGTGACAGTTATGTTTCTGAAATTAGACATTTTGAACAGTAGATACAAAGTCAGGAAATCATTGCAGTATTCGCTTGCTTTGTTTCAAATTGTTTTGAGAGCAGGACGACGGGAGGTGCCTTTTGCAACTTTCGTCAGGAGCAATGGTAAAAGCTGGTGACTATAGGCAACATCAATTCTGCGCACCAAAATGGCCAAAATGTTGTTACTCTCAAGCGTAGCTTATTTGGTGGCTCTAGTCCATACAATTCTCTATTTCACGCCTTTTATCGCGTCTTGCGGTCGGAAATGTGCTCCTGGCCAACAACAAGACCCATCTGGGAGAATTCCACACCCCTTCCGGTCCTCGCAGGTTTTCTCCCCAAACGACACGAGCCTGCAGTGCCTCTTCTGCCAGTCGAAGTATGTCTTCCGCTTCCCTGTGGACCTGGAGAAGCACTACCACGTCATCCATGAGATTGCGGTGCACAGCGCCAAGGCGGAGTTCAGCGAGGCGGTGGTGTTTGTCTGCGTGCCTCCGGACGTCACTGAAGACACCACCCTCAACTCGACCTGCCGTTTCTGCGACCTCACGCTCCGCACCCTCTCCGAGGTGGGTGCCGAGCCCCGCATGCTCTTTTGTCTTTTGTCCCACCGAGGCATAGGGAAGTTTCATTTAAATTGTAAATTCTCGAATAAAAAAAAAAAAAAAAAAATTGAGCAATCCTGCGTCATGCGGGATTGCTCAATTTTTGCTCAATTTTTTTTTCTATTCACAGTACATTCACAGCGATAGCTGCAACATCTTATTGGATCCTAATGTGTCCTTTGTAAAACTTGCATTCACACTCATCGGAACAAAGTCTCTTGGCTTGGTCCTCACGAGCACACACCTTACTGTTCTCTCGGTGACGACGGCTAGCTGCTGCTTGCGATGCTTTGTGCTCTTCAGTCCGATGAACCCGATGTTTCCTCGCCACAGTGACAAGTCTAGCTTTGTGCTCCACCTCTTTTGCTGCAAATGGCACCTTACTTCGAAGAGCTTACACCAATGTTCACTTGGACAGCTATACATTCATTCATTTTATATGCACTCTCTAATGGACGCATTGTGAGACTAAGGTGGTTTTATGCAACATTATCGCAACTGCTGCCATCTAGCGAGTGCTGCGCAAGACCCGTATAAGCGGGTGTCCTCAACACATGCAATTATTAAGCAACGCATTGCAGAAGTTGTGATTGCTCTGTGGGTGCACGCTCACTTCACACGCGGCAGACCCGGGATCGAATACTGGCAGTGGCGGTGGTTTTGGGGGATTTTCTTTTTTGTGCATTTGGCCATGTTGCCAACGGACACCCTACGTCTCCAAACATTGCCTTACGATCGCCTACATCAGTGGTTCTCAATCGTGGATATGTCGGAAACCCTTTAGGAACCTGCCAAAGAGATGGGGGACCTCATGCCAGCGGGGGAAGGGGAAGGGAGGGTATAAAATAAGACGACTAATTGCAGTGTAAAAAGGCATCTTTTACTGTTATAGACAGGAGAAGTGACAAGCATCAAGTAAAAGGATGGATGGACGGATAGATGGTAACGGCTGTACCCATTATAATGGGAGGTAGCTTGCATCACCTAACCAATACAACAAAAAAACTTTTTTTTTAGAAAAGATGGAGGGGGGTTGAGGGTTGAGGCAACGGTTTCGCGGACCCCAAAATTGGGTTCGCGAACCCCTGCGAGCCCGCGGAGAACCCCATTTGAGAACTGGGTCTGAGGCCCATTACAGCTATCGCTGTAAAGACTAGAGACTGCTTGATTTACGCTAACAGCTTTGCGCCACATACACGTCGGTGTAGTGATGCCGCGGCTTGTCTCCCAGGTGCGTGACCACTACCCAGAGGTGCACTCCAAGACGGTGCGGCTGGTGCCGGAGTCTGCGGTGACGGAGCTGTCGTCGCAGTTCTACTGCAGCGTCTGCTCATTTGCGTCGGGGGATTTTGAGCAGCACCACGGCCACATGAAGGCGGCCCACCGCATGCAGACGTACACGTGCCGCTACTGCGGCTACTGCACCCCGCGCCCGGGGCGGCTGCGCTTCCACGTCAAGCAGCGCCACCTGCAGGACCAGCCGGGCCCCCACCTGCAGTGCTCGGTGTGCTCGGTGTATGTGCACGGCCGGGAGCGGCTGCACAAGCACATCCTGCTCTCACACGCTGTCCAAACCGGTGAGTCTCCGAGCGAGCTCTCGGGCTGGTTGGGCAAACGTGGCGAGAAAGCACAAATGCTAGCGGTGCCGCGGACGAGGGCAAGAAGCAAACAGGACGAGTGCTAGTTGGTGGGTTAACGTGGGAAGAACACAAGAAGTTTCAATTTGTTTATACGCGGTAATTGAGAAGACACCTTTTGGTTCTATGGATAATGTTGAGACATGTGGAATGTGCAGCATATCTTGAGACCCTTCTACTATTGGCAGTGATGTGATTGCTGCGCCAATAGTGCCAAACTGCGCCAAGGGGCTAATCCTGCTGCATCGTGCTACATTTTGCCAAAATATGGGCAATCTGTGCCAAGCCTGCACCAAAAGACTAATTTCGATCACCTTTCAAAACCGAAACTAAACTGAGTGCCGTAATTGAGCATGCCTAAGCTAGGTGGCGCAAGTGGCCGGCCAAAACAAAGTACCCTGCCTCAATGGTCTATCTGGTCTTGTATGGTTTTTCCCACTGTCTCTCGTTTTGCGCTCTTGTCTCTCGTCATCTGGTGGGTCTTGTCTTGCGTCTTTTTAAAATATTTCACCCATAGACGCGAGCGTGTGCGGACGCTCCAATGGTGTGCCGTTTACCAGTCCAGCCATGCCGTCATGCTGTGAAACGAAACCACATTTGTTCGCGGCGGGAGTTGCTTTGGGAGTTGAAGCACTCGCTCCTGAAAGCAACGGCCGTGGGAAAACTATATTTGGTCCCTGCCGTGGTCGCACTACGTCGAGTGCTGCCATCCACACGTCGCTGCAGATATGGCGCTTTCTAAACTGAAATGTAAGAACTGCCGCATGTTCATCAAAATTCCTGCTCTTGTTTAAATCATACGCTACTAAAAGAATCTCTCTTCAACTCAAAGACCGCTGTGTTGAAGTATTGATTACCTAGGTTTCTCTCCGTAGGCTTTCTTTTGAGAGGGACCCCAATACATGAAAAATCTGCCAAGAAAGTTGGTTTGAGAGAAGTGAGCTAAAGCGAAGAAGGCAATGTCTGCACGCTGAACCCGCACACCGCGCTTGTTTGTCTGGAGTTCAGTCGTTGTACAAAGCGCTCCAAGAACTTTTTGACCCTTGCTCGCAATGTCTTGCATTGATGCGCTAAGGTTTTTTGTTTTTTTTTGTGCGTGCGTGCATTTGTTTGTTTGTTTAGCTTGTATTTTGCCTGCCGGCCTGGCAAGCACGTGCCGCTGGACTGTTTTTTTTTTTTGTCATATGCTGGACAGTCACATTTCGCATACAATTTTGGGAACCAGTTAGCGACAGAGCGGAGTGGTATGGTTTTGGTTTCGATCAAACAGCAATCTCCACTCGCACGACGAAGCACGTGCAACTGCAAGCCTGCCGAAGTTGCCCTCACATGCATGCGAACATGATTACACGACAGAAGCACCAGCCTGGACGCTTGCAATTCATTGTTTTACGTTTGCTTACTTTTGACGAAAATCTGGCACGTCGGGAACCAGTAAAACGGGGGCAAGTGTTTTTTTGGAATTGCTCAGCAATGCTTACAGCACTGTACACTTGTGGGATGTGTCAATGTCTCTTTAGAGACATTAAAAATGGACATTCATTACTATCCGAAGGCAAAGCGAGGCTTGCAGCAGCCTTGCAGAAAGTTTCGAAAAGCATAAAGTAAAGCTCCCGCTAGTCGTAATGCACTTTTCTCTTGTGTACAATTTCGCATTGCACTGCAGTAGTTACGTGCTTTATCAATCGGAGACTGCTTCCATTTATTATAATACACAAGTCAACCTAGTGCTGTGATATTTACTACTAAGCTGGTCATTTTCAAATAAATTTTAATATGTGCAGTTTTGTTCTTATTTATCTAGAGCAGGTACACATAGGTATATGTAATATTTAACTGAAGCATTGCAAAATGTGTCATGTCATTGGCATTTCATTTACTACATGTTGAGACTCCCAGGTGGTCTAACTGGACGATAGTTTGTTTATTGCAATGAGCGAGGTTCCCTTCGTTTGTCTAGCACTTAAAACAAATATTTTTATTTTTCTAAGAATATCTGCTCCAAAAGCCGCTTTTGCTGCTCCGAAACACTGTTTTGGCTGCTCCAGAAGCCACTTTTGCTGCTCCAAAATACTGTTTTGGCTGCTCCAAAGGCCACTTTTGCTGTTTGCTGCTCCAAAACACTGTTTTGGCTGCTCCGAAAGGTGCTCCAAAACGGCTTAGGCCAATCACATCACTGTATTGAGGACACAAATGTTTTTTTGGTAGCACGAATACATGTATACCCAATTATAGCCACACTAACTTAAAGGGGCACTAACACCCCGAAGGTCGTATTTACTTTTATTGTCTAAAACAATGCAAGTTGTAGCCATAGACACAAAAGAAATATTACAACACAAAAAGAAATTTCCCTAAGCGCACGCACACCTTTTTATTTTTGGCGCTTTTCTCTCGCTCTTTTCACCTCCTCGCTGCTTTTTATTTGTGACGTAATCGATTATGAAATTTAGAAGCTTTGTGAGCGACATTTTTATAATGTTTTATAATGGCATTTATAAAACATGTTTTTAACGCAATGGCAAACGCATTACACACTTTTTAAAATATTGAAAATTAGAAGTCCGGAAAAGCTGTCGCCTCCTAGCTTTTTATCCTCCATCGAAAAGCATGGCAGCGCTCGGCACATGTAGCACTGAGTATGATTGGGGAATCGGACGAAGTTCACTTTTCGGTGCCTGACAACCACTCAGACTTCGAAAAAAGAAATTATCAAATGGTCAAAACGACTGGGTTTGGTGCCTGTGCACCGTAGTCTCTGTTGTGACCCCACTGGGGCAGCCTTTCACGCAGCATCAGCGCTACATGTCTCTAGTCTCACGTCGCTCACAGAAGTTCACTGCACGTCCTCTGCAACCTTGCACGGTTCCAAAGAATTTGAGATTGCTGAATGGGCACTAAAAGAACTTCACAAACTCGAAAGCGAAAGAACTTCACAAACTCGTGTTTTCCCGCGGGACACGGGAAAACACGACACTTCCTTCGGCAGTTAGGCAGAGGCAGGAGAGACTGGAGCTACAGGACGACTCAGTCTTTGACGTCACTGTGCTGGTGCAAATCGCAGGAAAACTTGGAGTTCGGCTTTTGGAAATTGTTTTTTCACTTCACAAATTCATAGTTTTGAGGGTAATGTCCAGGCATCGTTTTCATTCGTTTTGGATAATTTAAAACAAAAATATTTTGACCTGTCGGTGCCCCCTTAAGCCGCCCTGTGAGCACAGGAGATAAGGTATCAGATTACTGAGCGAGGGTTTCATGGTCCGATTGCCATTGAAGGAAAGAGACTTTCATAAAGACAACGGGCCATGTTATCATATTTTCGTTCCAACATTTCATGACGCTCTAGGCTTGGAAACTAGCCCTAGGACACATTCCGCATGAATAGCGCTTGTCCCGTTTGGTTCTTCTACTTGTCCCTAGTACCATCTGTATTCTTGGTGCGAGCTCTCCATTGTTTTCTTCGTACCTCTGTCCCTGCCATCCGCTAAGCCTCACAATCTTGCATCTGGTTGATCATTAACAATCATGCTTTTTTTGTTTGAGGAACACTTCGCTACTTTGGCAAGAACCTATGCAAAGAGCAAGTAGTCTGCTTCTTGCACAGGAGTTGCTGTGACGTCAGAACAACACTAAGCTCTGATTGGCTTTGATTGAGGGGATAGTGGGTAGACCTCAATGCTAGATCCTTGAGGTCTACCCACTATTTTTCTCAATCAGCCCATAAGAGCTTAGCACCCTGACATCATCGCAACCCCTGTGCAAGAAGCAGACAAACTTGCCCTCCGTATAGTCTGTGACAAGTAAAAAGTTTGGGGGAACCTTGTCTTACCCCTTTCCACTTTAGCAGAACAAATGCTGGAGAGGAGGTAGAGCCCTCGCTAGGGTTTGCTCTGCTAAAGTGGAAAGGGGTGGGAAGAGCCTCTCCTGAACTCTTGAACCTGTCAGCTACCAGAGTTGAGTACCGTGAGTACCATGTTCCGGTGGAAGTTGTTGACCGGGTGGTGCTCTGCAGGACCTCAGACGTGGTCGTGCGCCAAGTGCCTGCAGCCGTGTGGCAACTCCAAGGACCTGATGGGGCACATCAGCCGCTGCCCGCTCCTCAGGGGGGACAAGGGGAAGGGCAGGGGCACGGGCTCAGTGGCCGGATCGATAGTGGCCGGGCCTAAGGCAAACCTTTTCTACAAGTGCAACCACTGCTCCCTCACCTTCAGCACTGAGGAAGATATCAAGGTGCGTGCAGAGCCAGCAGCGCCATTCACCAAGCTGTGAAGTTTATGGGGAGGTCCTTTTCAAAGGGGTGTATTAGAGCCACTAAATGCGCTACGCTTAGAGTATCAGCACTCTGTTCCGTGACATTGTTGTGGGCGCTGCCATCTTGGTGCTTAGAAAAGAGCATATGCAACCGCCAGTTGTCATGGTTCAAAAGTGTGACTTTCTCAGTGTTAGGAAGCTCGCGTGATATTGCTTTGCTCTGTCGCAAACTGTTTAAACACTTGTGGAGGACGGAAAAGTGTTTCCTGTGATTTCAGATAAAGCTTCAGGTAACTGGCAACCATGATTTTAAGCACCAAGATGGGTAAGTGTCATTACTTTGAAGCGTAGCTTATCTAGCCCTAGTGTGCACCCCCTGTAGCCAGGGACACATTAAGAATGTAGTAGAAACTCTGCCTCTAGCATGCACTTGTTGCTTTCGGTTGTGCTTTGGCTGCCCGCTTACGAGGTTTGGAGTGCTCTTGAAGGTAGAAGGCTCACAGTCAAGGCAGCGATTCTAGTACAGTGCCTGAAACATGTCTTGACGTGTGTTTACTGCATACACAAGTGGTCCCTCCATTTCCGCCTGATGACATCATAGAAGTGTCATGCTGTCGTAGTTCTAGTGCTTTCCTTCGGTGGTTTTTCGAGCTACCCGAACTAAACATATTTCTGGAATACCCGGGCTGTACTCTTTCCGGCACACTATTTATTGTCTCTGAATAGACACTTTTCAAAACTTTGTCGAGCAACATTGGCGGTCGCCATTGCTTGATGTTGGGGTAGGTGGCACAAGCTGCCGCCCGACACGAAGCGTGTGATTGGATCCGAGTCTTCGCCGAATGCTGACACAGCGCTCGTTTTCGATACAAGCTGGACCGAGTTTGTGCCGAACGCTGACGCAGCCCACATGTCCAACGCACACTCAGAGTATGTGATTGAGCAACGGCGGACAGGCATTGGCACGGACTTTTAAGAAGGGTCCATTGAATGTGGCTACGAGGAAACAGCAAACAAAAGTGATGCCAAAACTAAAATTTTAACTTTCCGCGCTCTCCAGCAAGGCGACGTCACACGTTGCATATAGGTGGCTTGCACATGACGGCATTGAAAGAGCGCTCTGATGACCTCCAGAGAAAAGATGAAGAAGGAGCTCCCCTCTTATCAGGATCCTCCTTTGTGCCTCCCGGATATGCACAGACGTCGCTATTCTCCTCCCAGAAGATTAGAAAAGATTAACCTGTGACTCAAAATTCTTACAAAAGCAGCTTCCCTCTCCTCCTTTTACATGGTGGCCAAAAGTATGCGATGTGACGTCAGTGCAAGGAGCCTATAACTTGCAAGCCGAGCGGGCAGTCTAGAGAATACTGCATTTTCCCCGCATTCTTTTTATTTTGCCGGCATGAGCTTAAGTGGCATTCATTTCACGCCATCAAATTTTTCGTAACCCGTCGGGAACAAGCCGTAATGCCTACTACAACATTTGACATCACGTTTTCAGCTTGTCGGTAGAGCCTCTCGGACCAAACTCGAACTTCAATAATTTTCCGAAAACAAATTGTTGTAAATTGTGACTCGGATTTCTAGTTGAGTTGTTTCTAATAATGCATTGAACCAATCTTGTGGCAAATCAGGGACTACTGAAATTTCGGCGCCCTTAACCCCGTCTGCGACTAGAGGAGCCGCGGTTACAAGTTATTTGAGGCTACCCTACTTCGTACACTCTGGGCTCCGAGCCGCGACGCCGCGCCCATTCACAGGCCCCATTGTCGTTTTGCGCAGAAGCACATGGCGGACGGGGTTCACATGCCCGTGGGGCAGCAGCAGCAAACGACGGCGGAGGAGGGGGGTGGGGCCGGAGCAGTGACCGCTCCGGCGGAGGCCCCAGAGTCCTCAGGGGGCCTGGAGGCGAGCAGCGAGGAGGATCCCCTGGACCCCACGTCGTCGAGCACCTGCTTCCTGTGCTGCATGCGCTTTGCCAGCCCCCAGGCGTGCCAAATGCACCAGCACCACGTGCACATGCGCTGGGTGAAGCGCGGCTTGCCGGACTTCGCCAACGAGGACGTGCAGAGTGAGTGCTCGAGAGCGGCGCTTCTTCGTGTCGCAGATTTTCTTTTTATGACGACAAGAATTTTAGAAATTTCCCAGTTGCATTTGGGCCGTGGGCACTGTGCCAGACGAAAAACTTGGTTTCACGTGCACTCGCGTATGCACCACCCCGTGATGCAGGGCAAAACGCACGCACTAAGCTCTTGCCAGGCAGCAGTGCCTTCTGCTTCTTCTATGGTTGGCGGGGGATGTCGCCACAGATTTCTCACTGTAGAACTTGATTTGCGTGCGCTGCCAGATGTACAGCAACCCGTTGATCGTAAATGTATGTGTCTTGGTTTAGTTTTAGGTAAGAATGTTGACTTATGCGTGCAATTTGTTCTCTTTTCAAGAAGTGACAGTGATAGCTGTCACTTCTTGTTTTTTCTTACATCACTGTGCCGCCAGGTTTTCCGTAGACACATCTTTCTGCTCTGTGGATGCCAAGCAGTCAAACGTGCCACCTTCCGTTCTTCGAGAGTACCTATAGTTTGTTTCACTTTGTGTACAAGCGACGCCAAAGCTATAAACACGAGCGTGTTGTCCCGAACAATGGTTGCACTACACGGACGTGTGCGCTCGGCAGGGCCACCGAAAGCTAGAGCTCTCTCTTGTAGCATCTGTTGCGCTCGCATTTAAAGTGAAACGGAGTGTACCATATTTTCCTGACTATAACCTGCAGCCTCGTGCGCATAAAAAATTCTTGTCTACAGCACATCGTGACAAATGCCGTCTTTATTAGCTCACAAAGAAGCTTGTATCATACCTGAATCATCGTTAACCTACTCCACCATTCACAAAATCCGTCATGTCTCGTCATAATGAACGATCTAGGTAAACAAACCCTTGCATGTTCCTCACCTGTAGATAGTCCGCCTTGTGTAAAATTTAAACTTTTAAACATGTGCAGATAGTCCATGAATTATATTTCGGAAAATGTGGCAGTATCAAGAGACCCTTTTACAGCGGAGCTGTTAAGGGCTAGTTTCCCCAGGATAGTGTCCGGTTGCAAACGAATGTCGAAACAACACTCTGGTGGCCGCTGTCGCTCATAGATGGCGGTAGCTGTCCAGAGTGTTGTGTTTGCCGGTTGTCTGCTTGCCGCCGTCGCTCATAGATCTCGACAACCTTTCTAGCCTCGGCAACCAGACAACAGGCTGTTGCCGTCTCTCATAGATGGTGGCAACATTTCTTCAAAGGAAGAAGAGCGGGAACGGAACGAGCGGCGATCTACGCAGCAGTGTGAATGGTTCCGCAACCACCGCGAGGCCGCTGTCGCCTAAAGTTTCACTGCGTCGAATGCTTCAGATTCCCTTGTGAAAGAACAGCACATTGCTCGCATGGAAAGCCACCGCCGAAAACAGAAGTTGCAGCTCCGCTGCTCTTCTTTCTGCACCAGAATGGAAAAGCTGAAAGTTTTTTTAAAACTCAGTCTGCAACTTTGATCACTATCGTCATCTCAGTATGTGGCACCTGTGCCGAACTAATGACAGCCTTCTCCAACCTCATAAAGGAAGAAGCCGAGGATATATGAGGCAAGGCACTTACGAGACGTCGGTACTACATGACACACGTATGAGCACAACGGCTGCATAAGTGTTTCTATTCGGAGTGTGGTCCAATCAATTTCTTGTCACAAGCTTGGATCTAAGGCCTTTTGATGGCGTAACTTCAATCAAGGGGTTTACAGGGTGCTGCTTTCTACTGGTCAATTCTTATGTTCACACTGTCAAAACTGAAACAAATCGAGAAAGAATTATTAGGTGACCGAAGAACCAATTGTTGTCTGCCATTGATGCGCGAAAGGGACAGCGTTCAATGAAATATGGCGTCATGACCACCATGAAGTTCGTCGAAAGTGAAACTGATTTTTGAGCCACCAAAAGGCATAGAATTTTGAAAAAGTTATGGTGCGGCCTACCCGATGCTTGCAGGCGGTCTGTTCAGCATGCCGGTCACGGACAGTAGCGAGACTGAGCTGTCCCAGCAACGAGCAGTGGACAGCATCACGCAGCCCTCGGGCTCGGAAGGAGAGGCCCCCGCCGGAGGAACGGAGAACGCGGCCGTTCCCGCGGAGGAGAGGGCAGAGGAAGCCGACCTCGCAGCCTCCACGGTTTCCGCGGAACAGGCTGAGGCCGCCCCCGCGGAAGTGGCTGCCTTCGAGGATGGCTCTGCCGCAGGCAAGGCCGGCAACCTGAACTCGGCGGACGTGCCATCGGACGCCAAGCTGCTGGAGCTCGGTTTTCCCACCAAGGTGCGTAGGATTTGGGGGGTTGGATTGTCATCATCGTCATTTATTTTTCTCGAGGACCTGCAAGGGGTTTTGCACAAGAGACTGGGCATACATATAAACATATAACTTTAAAAAAAAAAAAATGAACACATTACTAATACATTGCAATCGAATTAGGTTGGAGTAGTGGAAGAAATAGGTTTGGAAAAGTTTAGGTCTGTTTGGGAGCGGTATTATTGTGCCTGGATCACATCTCCGACTTGTCCCTCGATTTCCGTCTGATGACGTCGCAGAAGTGTCATGATGTCGATGGCTGCGACCCTGGCGGCTTTACAGCAGCGGGGTTGGATGTGGCAGAGGCCCACTCTGCTGCAGGTCGCTCCCCAGCCTGACGGTTCGCGGAAGCTTCGACAGCCGGGAGTCGAGATGCCGCGACGACAGCAACGCTCGCATTCCCTCATGCTTTTGTTTTAGAACTTCTACTCCTAAGTGCCAGGATCGCGACATTTGACAGCAGGACGCTCTGGTTTTAGGTGACATCATTTGTTGCCAATTGGGGTCACTCTAGGAGCCATCAGCCGGAGACGTATTCCGCCCATTGTAGCATTGCCGGTACCGCAAATGACGAGCGCCGACGTCGGGACAAGCTGCACCACAGTGCCCGGAATGCATGTTCGGCTGGTGCTTTTGGCCATCCTATCCTGCCCGTGCATTGAAACTAGTCCCAAAGTGGCGACAAATTGCATTGCAGCAGTCGGACGTCACGATCCCGGCGGTTGGCCGTAGAAACGTCGACGAAAATGGCGAGTGGACGACGCAAGGGTTGCCGTCAACTCAGTGTGCCGGCTCGTGTCTGCTACAATTACCGTCGACTGTCTGGCCGCCGAGTCACCCGCAGCAGAACGGGCGTCCACCGCACACAACTCTGGCACCGCGCCACCACCAGGATTGCGACTCCATTCCCCGTTCATCTCGCGGGTGCCGCCATTTTGGTACTTGGTGCTGTACAAACGCAGTCGATCGTCGTAATATGAGAACGCAACATCCAAAAGATCGGGCCATATCGTTTTGCTCTTTCGCAGACCGTTTTTAACGTTTACGGAGAACAAGAATGGCTTTCTGCGATTTCGGACAAAGCTTCGGGTAACCGTCTGCATCAATTTTGAGCACCAAGATGGCCGAAGTGTCGTTACTTTGAAGTATATTTCATTGGCGACTCTACCCTCACCCGAACAACCAGTGCTCGCCAGGTGTCCTGACTGACCGGGCGTTTGCTTCTTTGTGCCATCCGTCGCAGGTGGGGCACTACTGCCATGTGTGCGACGCGGTGATCAAGAGCTACGCCTTGTATTACCTGCACATGCACAACCTGCACCGGCTGGAGAAGCGGTTCCAGTGCATTGTGACGGCTTGCAGCCAGACGTTCTCCTGCCCAGGGGCCTTCCAGCGCCACTCTCTGGGTCACAACCAGAAGTCGGACAGCTTTTGCTCCATGTGCGACATGGTCTTCGACGACAACGACCACCTCCAGGACCACTTCCTAAGCGCCGAGCACGCCAACAAGTACATGAGGGTGCAGGTACTGTATTTTCCGGTGTACAAGTCACTGTCTTTTTTCAAACATTTTTCTTGGCGTGTCTTATACAACGATGCGACTTATATGCGTTTCTTCTTTGCATATATAGACCAACACGCGGCTCTGACGTCGCGCCTCTGCCGTGGTGCTGTTGTCGCCACGGCGCATGCGCAGAAGCTTCATTTCACGTGATTCTGGTTTCTGCGCTCGTGCAGTGCCCACACCTGGTGTGGGCAAACGCGGACTTGTATGGAGGCAGTATGTCGGTCTATGTATATTCACGGTGCAATGATTCCTTTATGCGCCGTGCGCCATCTTTCGTAGAGCACCGTAGCTTTGTAGCCATAGGTGGTATTGTTCCAGGAGGCACTGCTGTCACCACACTTTACTACACTCTCGTAAGTTACTCGGAAAGCGAGAAATTTTACAGTTTCCCCAAAGAGGCACAGTCTGGATAGGCAAGACAGTGAGAATAAAACTTTTGCAGCATGTGATCCTATTCTTTTGCTTCAGTCCAGTAACACTGAAAGGTAAATGGGCTGGCATACATGCATTGCAGAAAATTTTCTCCTGTCTTTCTTAGTTTCCAATTGATGAGCAGTTTTTTTTCCACCATGCTACAACCGCGTTGCTATATGTAAAGGAAATGATGGCGGGTAGCTGATCTTTCAGTAGCACCGAAAGAATTGTGTCAAGATTTACTGTCTATGTGCCTGCGGTTGATGCTCATGTCATCTCCATCAATTGGCCTAGGCTAGGCCTAGAGTGAAATCTCGGTATAACGAACTTCGGGGGGCTGCAGAAAATTGATCGTTATTCTGAAAGGTCGTTATAGTGAAAACCGCGAAATTAACCATAATTACTTATTTTCCAATGATTAAAACGTCCTACCTTTACAACGGTGGGTCCCTGAACTCGTTTTTCACAAAGATGCACAAGTCAACATCAGACAAAGCACATTTATTTAAAGTAGTCGGGTTTTTTCTGGGTTTTTTTATGCGTGCAGCACAAACTTTACAGCACGCCAGCATTGCCAGCAATATGGTCCCTTTGGGACCACCGACGTCCGCGTCCGCCCCTCGTCGTTCCGAAGCGTCCGCAATGCATCGGACCTTTCCCCTCTAGATTATTAATGCGAGAGCATTAACTGTCTCATGGAGCGAGCTGACGTCATCAGTTTGAAGCGCGAAAACGGCTCCTGGTTTCCGCGATCCCAATAGGAGTGATTCGCCTTCGGTTTCATTGGCTGGAGCGTGTCGACGGGGCCTCCCATTGGCCTCTGCGCCATGGCCTCCGAGATCCCGAAGCGCGCACGCGCGCTAGTACGCAGCAGACGACAAACGGCGCGGATGAGCGGCTTGCATGCTTTCGCATTCCCAACTCATAAGAGAGGCTTAGGTGTACCTCAAGCTTTTATATTAGCTCTATGGTTGTAGGTGAGATATCCAGCGCGACTGCGGTCCTGGGGCCTTCAACGCACATCCCGCAGTAGTGGTTACACAACTGCACATTGCTACAATGCTCATCCAGGTCAAAACGGGCAGGAGCAAGGATTGAGCCCAGGATCCCTGGGTTCTGCAGCGCGAGCTTGCGCTCTACATGCTTAGAGCTAGGATGTTATGACGCACTCGGCCACCATACCCCTGGATGCAGAACAGAGACCATTGCAGACCACATCAATAGGCCATTTTGGTGACCGTTTTCTGCGTGCTTCCACCTTTGTCTTCTGGGCTGTGGAATGCGGTACGAGCACGAGCAGTAGCTCCCTTCTGCGGAATGTCGGACTTCTTGCGTGTATCCACAGCCCAGCGACTCTGCATTTTTTGCCTGAGTGATCAGCAACGTGAAGGCGTATAGAAACAATGTTTTAATGCGAAACATTCTTTGCCTCGGCCTCGTTAGGAGGGGGGGCATTTAAAAATTTTGTGAAGTTGCCGGTTATCTCTAAGCTGATTTGGCGAGCCGGATACGTCACATACAACTTCACTCACAAAAGCTCAACACCAACTGTTTCTCTTTCTTTTAACCGCAATTATTGTTGGTATTTCTAATCCAGAAAGTGCTATTTTAAAGGGGCACTGACACCTCAAGGCTCATGTTTTTTTTTTATTGTCTAAGACTATGCAAGTTGTAGTCGTAAACACGAAAAAAGAAAAAAACGCATCGCGAAAAAAAAACTTTTCCACACGCGCGCGCGCCTTTTTATTTTTGGTGTTTTCCTCTCCCGCTCTTCGCCTCCTCACTTCTTTTGATTTGTGACGTCAAAAATGATGAAATTTAGAAGCTTTGTAGGCGACATTTCTATAACATGTAATAGTAACGGCAATCGTAAGACATGTTTTTTAACGCAGTTGCGAAAGCACTACGGCCCTTCTTTTTGAAATACCAAAAATCGGAGTCCGGTGCGATGTCGCCTTCTAGAATTGTATCCTCCCTCGGAAAATATGCTGCCTGGGCAGGCAGCACCACTCAAAACCGGTTTTTCTCGGTCCGTCCAGGCCCTCCTTATCTCCCGCTCGCTCCTTTCCTCCTCGCTTTGGGTTGCGGTGGCAAGTCAGCACGGAATCATGAAACAAAAGTCGACTCTCAGGACTCCGCAATATTTGACGTCAACGCACCGGCGCAGATTGCGCGGAAACTTCGAATTCGGCATTTGGAAATTGTTTTTTTACTTCACAAATACTGAATTTCCAAGTTTCGAATTTTGAGGGTAGTGTCCCGGCACCGTTTTCAATCATTTCGGGTAATAAAAAAAAATATGATTTTGATGTGTCAGTACCCCTTTAAGCTAACAGCTAAACTAACCGACGAAGGGTGGCGAGAGCATAGGCGCCAGTCACAGAAGAACAGGGTCGGACGAAGACAAGTGGCTGAACGGGCCAGGCGAGCTGCAAAACGATCACAGCCGACGCCCGAAGACGCGATTGCAAGCAGCAACATTGAATTAGACACGCACGACGACAAAGTCCCATGCACTACAGCCAGAGCCAAACAAACATAATTGAAGTAGCGAGATGCCAGAACGTCTCACGTGCAGCACAGCTGCCCAGGAGTTTGCCATGCATTTTGTTGTTTTTCGTTGTAGTTGCAGAACACTCCATTCTGTCTGGCAAGCTTTGGGCAGTGTTACCACCAGTCTCCTTTCAGTGATGAAGGAAGCTTCATTCCTCACATTTCGCGTCAGTGTAACTTTTATTGTTACAATATGTTCGTCTTGGGATTAAACGTTTGCAGCGTAAGTCATCTCGACGGTAGTCGAGATGACTTGCGCTTGCTTTTTGTATTCAGAATGCAATGCCCGTGCAAAAAAAATCTAAAACATGTTCTTGTGCAGTTGTGGAGCATGGCAGCACATATAAAAGAGCATAATAAAATAAGCTAGTTTGCTCCCTTTAAGCCACTGAGTGCACTGAACAACCAAAATATTGTATGCATTACCTCATTATTTTAAAATAACTGTAAATTGCAAAAACGCTATTTTCAAAAGGCTAACAAAAGTTTGTTGAAGTTTTCAGAACTAGAGTACAAATATAGGTGCATTTTAATCAGACCTCAGTAGTTGCTTTCTACCTATCGTAAAGCATGTGCATGCCAAACCTGAATGTGATGGGACAATATTAAAAATAAAAATTCTGTGAAGATGCCCCAAAATTAAAGAAGAGAAAAACATGTTAGAAAGTTACCATAAATGCATGGTGACACTTTTTCGCGGCAGAGAGAGAATGTCTTGTTATTATTTTCCGTGCGAAATTGAAGTTATAGAAGAATGCAATAAAGAGGAGATGGCCAAGCCTACTTCTCAAAATAAATTTTATGACGAGCCACTTCACAACTTGAACTGCGCTCACGAAAATAGCTCAAATGTATGCCTTTCTGGATCTATGGGAGGTATGTTATTCAAATGCTTATTTAATTCACAATAAAATTCAGTACTTATTTTTATACATAAAATATGAAGATTCAAAGGTTATAAAACATTCTAAAACCAGAAATTACTTTTTTTTATATTTTGCAAACATTTTTTTTTTTTTTTTTTTAAGGTTGATAATAGTGAAGATAAGAATATAGTAAAGCGAAGTTCAGATATTCTTCTAATACTCATAAAAGCATTTGAGGTACTAAAACATTGAAAACACTGATACATCAAATAAAAAAAGGATTTTTAAAAAATGAACTATCCGAGAGATTGCCCATCCCGTTTTTCTGACTAAATATCTGTAACATAAAAATTCTAAAACATCGCCCACCCCCCGATTCCCATCGGACGTCACGCGATATCTGACGGGGATCGCATCAACCGCCCAATTTGATGTACCGGCACGTCAGACAAGTGAGTTTATAGCGGGTTCCTGTGTTTTTGTCTTCAATCTGCGCGCGCGATATCAGCTCCCATAACACGCTAGTTATTCCCGCGTGTATGTTGCTTCGTGAAATGAGAATCTGTGGCATCCGTTCCTATGACAAAGTTTTAAGTGGATTCCTGCATTTTAATCCCCGTTCTTTGCGCGCGATCTCGATTTCATGCGAGTTGGTTCTGCGTGTATATTGCATTGTGAAAATACAGTTCTGTTGCGTTTGCGATCTGCAGTACTGGTTCCTGTAACATAGGAGTTTGTAGTAGATTCCCGCATTTTTGTCCACGATCTGCACATGCGATCTCGCTTCCCGTGACAGGCAAGTTTGTAGTGGGTTCCCGCGTCTTTATTGCACCATAAAACTTGAATCTGCTGCGTCCGCGATTTACGGTATTTGTTACCGTGAGGTGCGAGTTCTCGGCAGGTTTCTGCGGGTCCTTAGCACTGTGAAACACGCATCTGCTGCATCCGCAACCCGCAGTATCCTTTCCCTTGACACAGGAGTTCGTGGCGAATTCCTGCGTGTTTATCGCATCGTGAAATGCAAATTCGCCATGCCTGCGATCTGCAATATCAGTTCCCATGTCACATGGTTTGTTGCCAGTATCAGGGTGTTTATCAATAATCTTTTTATAAAATTTTGCTGTGGCATTTCCAAAGATAGCCCACCCCATGTTTTTCACCATTTATCTCTTTATTTTTGGTGGGCATTCTTTCTGAACTTTACTTTAGTATACTGTTCGAAGGAAGTTCAGGATTTAACTGACTGCATCGCACGAAATTACGCCTCGTTGCAGCCAAACAAGCGCGACAATCACCGCGAACTGAGAATCGGCGAACGTTTGCCGACACTGTCCCCGGAGGTCTGCAGCTCTTTGTCGTCCTGTTGTCTTCCCAAAGAGAAAAAAGGGGGCCCTCATTCCTCATTTTCGCTGTGTCGTCCGGCGTGCAGGAGAAGTACAACCGGTCGGAGCCCCGGAACTACCGCTGCCGGGTGTGCCACAGCTGGTTCGGCCTGTTTGCCACCTTTGTGAAGCACATGGAGACGGAGAGCCACCAGTACCAGTGCCAGCACTGCGGGCTGCTCTTCGTGCAGCCGGGACCCCGCAGGAACCACATTCAGAGCGTCCACCCAGAACTGGCCAACATCTGTGAGGTACGCCAATAGCCCCCCCTGCTCTCTTCTTTCTTACAATGAGCAAAGTTGTCTTTCGAACTACTGTAGAAAAATGCAGTAGGTGCTCAGCTCTTCACATTTTTTTGTCTCTCCCATACACTAATTCGTTAATTTATTTATTTATTTGATCACCCTCAGGGCAAGATAAGAGGCTTTACAGAGGGGAGTGGGTTGTAAAAAAAGAAAACACACGACACAAGAAATTTTTTTCTTAGTTATTATGGCTTATTACAACAATAAAGGGAAGTTATGGCATTTCTAACACTGTTAAAGTCATGGTAAGGGAAGGTGATTCCAATTTTAAGGAGTTAAAAAAAATAAAAAGTATTTGTGCTCTTTTTTTTTTTTTTTTTGTAGTTTTCCTGTTATAGTTATAATATTGTAGTATCCTGGCGTTGACAACCTTTCTGCCATAAAATCAAACCATATCAGTCCATCAATCAATTGTGTCCACACCTCCCCCTTCTGTCGTTACTCATCCATGTGCAAGCAGCCACGAGCTTTTATACTCCGTTTCACCTGGGGATGTACCCCAGCAATAGCTTCGAGCGCGAGCTCCTTGCTCAAGGGCGCACTTCGGTTGCACAAACTCTCGTGCAGCAGGTGAAACTGCCAGAACTATGAGCTCTGGCTTCTGGGTCTTACTGCAGAACACCTTAAGGTGAGATGGAATATGAAAGCACGCCAGCATAAAGAACGCTTTTGCATGTTAGTTATGAGGTTATCAGCAGTTACAGGTTAGAAGAATGATAAGCACAATCCGAGCAAACCAGTGCAGTATACTTTTTGGGGCAACATGATTGATGCGAAGTTATGTCCCAGCATGAGAATGACAAAGCCAAGCCTTTTCGTCGTCATTGGCAAGAAGCGAGCTTGGATCTGGGATCTTTCACAAAGGGGAACTGCATCATTTGCAGTATACTACATACTGGGTTTCACTGCGGTAGTCTATTACAAGAGTCCTCAATCTTTTCTGTCTCAAGGAGCACCAACCTCTCTTGATATCAGTCTTAGCATATATGCAGTAAAGCAGTACAGAGGTCTGTAGACATTTAGACAATTATGTGCATTATTAGGAATTGTTTGGCAGATAGTTCTGCATCAATGGATGGCTTGTTTCTGCTAAAACATTCTTAAATTAAAAAAACGCTTTACGTAGAGGCACAAATCGTACAGAGGAATCCTCTAGCCAAGAACCCCTAAATGTGCTCTGCAAAACTCCCTTGAAACCCACTTTGAGAACCCATTAGCTTTTGCATCTTTGCAGCAGTTTGCCGATGATCAGGCTTTTGGTTTTCATTTCATTATTGCACGATGCAAAGTGGTCGGATGTGCCATCACCGTCGCTCAGTTGCATCACTGTGTCCACTCCCTTCAAGACATGGAAGCAGCACTCTTGCTTCCACCTGTGCAGATCTGCGGGTCCAAGATGCCCAACTCCCAGGCACTGTGGAGCCACCTGTCCCTGCACAGCATTGTGCACGAATGCAACAAGTGCCACCGCCGCTTCCTGCAGAGGGAGCAACTGATGGCACACATGGAGGTGCATGCGTGAGTCCCTCCTCCTCTCCCTCCTACCGTCTGGTGTGACACAAATTGTGCACGTGGCTGCCCACAAGGAGTGTAGGGAATGCCTGCCCTATTGTCTTCATGGAGGGAATGCGGAATGTAATTGTGTTACATGGGGGTTTTCAAACTGGGTGCCCATCAACCCAGGGGTTCCCAGAGTAATCCCATTTGCTCCGTGAGCACCGAAATTCTTTTGATCCTCCCCAGTTATGAGTAAAGCGTTTTCTGAGAGTAAACACTTGGTATTTTTGGCGTGTCAAAATATTATGCCAGAGAAAAAGCTGCAGGCTATGATGGAATACAATTTTTGGGGTACAGAAATATTACATGTTCAGAAAATACATAAAAAGTAAGCGCACCTCTGCTATAGATACTGTGTGTCTGGTATACAGTCTCTCCTATAATACTTTAAAATAAATATAGAGATAAAATTCACGCAAGAAATGCGAAGAACAAGGTCAGATAAACATGCCAAATGCTATACTGCCGTTTCATAGTTGCATCACATCTACTGTAAACGACTTATTTTTTGCGGGCTCAATATTTCGCAATTTAGGTAAAAGCTGAAGTATTGGAATAATTTGCGGGTTCTAATTTTCGCGACGCGATGGGATCTCAATATAGATTTCGATGTGTTTACATTTAACCGGAATCGTTCGCGGGACCTATTTTTCGCGAATTGTAGACGATTCACAACATTCGCAAAAATTAGGTCCTCGCAAAATTTAAGTGATTTCCAGTATATTGCGATCAAAAAAAATTGTTCAGTAGAAGAGGCAAAAAATAATTTATTTGCTGCTTTCCATAAATTGTTCTACACTTTGGAAGTTGCCAAGGCTGGTGATACTTAAACATGTACCGTATTTACTCGCACAATGAACGCACTGGCGTAATGAACGCACCCCCCAAGTCGGCTCTCAAAATTTTGACTTTTTTTTTTCACTCGCGTATTAAACACACTTCCTCGGACATCAAAATTTTGACCCCCTCCCCCCACGCGCGCGAAATTATCGCACTTTTTTTATCCTGGTGCAGCGAGGTCGCGAATGCATGGGCAGCGTGGGTGAACAAAACGCCTTGCAAAAGTCGTCAAAAAATAAAAAAAGATCCAACGGAAGCAAGAAGAAAAAAAACATGGAGAGGAGCTCTTTTTTTTTTGCACAGCGCAGTTTCGATTTTGGGGTTGCGCGCCGCGCTCAAGGAGATAAGAAAGATAAGCGGAGAAGCCCTCGCCTAAGCAACGCCTAAGCAAACGAAACAGTTTGCCAAAGGCAGCAAAAAAAAAAAACCTACGGTACTAAGAAAAAAAAAAAAAAACAGAGGAGCTTTTTTTTTTTTTTTTTTTTTTGCACAGCGCAGTTTGGTTAGGGGGTCGCGCGCCGCGCGCAAAGAGATAAGAAGTTACGTCGATTTTTCAGGATAAAAGGTCCGTTCATTATGTGAGTAAATACGGACACAAAAATTTTACTTAGCGTAATGACTTTGCATTGATTTTTCGGAAAAAAATAGTGCGTTCATTCTGCGCGTAAATACGGTAATACCTACTTTTCTTTTTCTTTTTAATCGGAAAGTTGAACAACTGTGTTGGAGCACCCGTAGGAGCACCCGCAGCCATCTGTTGATGCATAACAAATGTGACAAACATTTTTTAGTAATATCTGTGTTACTGTTTGTTTACAAGGTGTGTAAGCTTCTGCAGTGCTTCATTGCTTCAATGTGGACTCTCCAGTTGCCATTCAAGAGAGAAAAGCACTCCCCGAGATAGAAAAGTTTGAGAGACCCTGTTCTACTCCAAGCGTTATTTGGTAACATAGCCGCGAAACACTTGTGCTCATTTCCTTAGGACCGCATTGGTTCATACTCGCTGCATCTAATGTGTTGGCAAAGTAACAGTGGCGCCCTCTGGGTTTTGCTCCCCGTGCATGGTGCAGTCCCCCGACGCCCTGCCCGTGGCAGGGCTGCAACCGGAAGCTGGCCACCAAGGTCGGCCTGTACAACCACCTACGGATGCACCGGGGAGATACTGACTTCCGATGCCTGACCTGTGGAAGGGGTGAGCTTCTCCCGAACTTAGTTCGTAAACTGGACAACAGACTTTGTTGAATTTCACAATTGGCGGTGCCTCTGGACCAATGTTTGACATCCCAACGGCCGTCGGTGTCCCGTGCCAAGTGTGTATGCTTTCATAAAGCGATAGCTTAAAGGCTGGTTCACACACTTTCGACTACTTATGACCGTGTGCCTCAAAGCCTCTTAAAATCTCTCACGAGGCGAGAACTACTGGTGCCACCTACTGCGCAGCTGTGGAACACTTTATTTCCGTATATTTCCTACTTTTTTCGCGCATCATTCTTTCTCTTCGGCTCGAAAAAACTTTTGACAGTATTAGAAACGACCGTTTCTCATAGATACTACATACACCTAATATCGCAAAACCTTAGCTTTAGTGAAATGCGGTTCCAAAGTTCCCTCCGAGATGGCGCCATCCTGCAGGTATGTTCTCTCGTCGTAAACAAATGCAAGTGTGTGAACTGGCCTTTATGTGGGAGCCATTCACAGAGCTTGCGTGCTCTTGTTGGTGTTGGTCGCACCGTAGCAAGGTCATGGAGAAGGTATCAGCAACAGAGTGCAGCTGTTGGTTTGACGTCGCAGCAAGCGTGATCAGTGGTGTAGCACTGCGTTGAGTGAGAAGGGGCAAGTTTTGCACTAGTGCCGTTCTCTCGCCGCCACTCGATAGAAACGGGGGCTGCAAAGTAGGGTAGGAAATTGCACATTAGTGGAACAGTCTAGTAGGCGCAGAGGAATTTCATGTCGGATTGTGTGCACAGTGGCATTTCAGAGAAAGTAATACAATGCCGCAAACAAGAGGTGCATCAATGGAAACATTCCTTGCGCATTTACACTTCCTTCGCCACATGTTGAATGGAAAATTATTCCAATTGCAAGTGCTGCTCATTAAAAAAATATATATGTCCCGGGGTGCCGTTTGGCATTTGGCAAGATGTCTAAGCCTGGGTTATTTTTTTTTAAACTGAAACCTTCTTTGGCTAGGTGTTTGGCATTGCATAAAGCCCAAAAGTGAAGCCCGGATAAAAGCGTGGCCGCGAGGCTCGACACCGATTGGTCGGCGGTCGGGAGAGGATGAGTGGGGGGGTGCCCAACGCCGATTGGTGAATGGGGAGGTCATGCGACCAGGGGTGGAGTAGGCAGGGCGGGAGAGGTAGAGCGGGTTAGAAGGTTCTGGAGGACCACTAGGTTTATCATTTCAAGTGTGCACATGCCACGCGTTGAATTATTTGATGTGGAGCACCATGAACATAGGCGTCTGGCTGTGCAGGCAAGACGTGCTGCTAAACGAATTGGCAGGTAGAAGAATGAACCCTTCGCCTTTGACTCACCTTAGCAAGGTCGTGGAGAGAGAGCATTGGCATTTGGGGGTGGACGCTTAGTGTGCAATGGGTGGATGCTCGGTATTTTAGGATACAGGGACGTGACGTCACGTTACCACATCACGTGTGTCATGCTTTGGTCATATGGTGTCAGAAGACCAGCAGGTTGATCCTAGAACATTTCACGTATGCTACACAATTGCCTAGCAATTTGCCATACATTTTTATCTTGTCACTTTATGATGAGCTCCTTGTAAAGAAGATCCAGAGCCTGTAACCTTGTGCGTTTTTGCAAAGAAATCAGGTCTTAGGTAATGTGAACAAATATGTCTGCAGTGCACATATTGAAAAACATTATTTGTAAGCAATAACTCGAGCTGGAAAAGGCCATAGTTGTGTAGCACCATTATGTATTTCAGCAGGGATATTCTGGTACATTCGGCACTGTGTCACGGTACGAGTCTTGTTGGTACGAGTGGCATCAATGCCTATGTATCATTTCGTGTGCATGGCAACCGAGTTTTGAGTGAAAATTCTCGCGCCTCAATCATTCTCGCACCTTGTCTTTACCAGGCTTCTTCAAGAAGAAGGCTTTGGATTCTCACATGCGGCTTCACGAAGAACCCTCTGCAATGGCCAGGGTGGCACAGGCAGAGCTGACGCAGGGTAAGCTCTCGCAACACTTACTCTCAGTCTTGTCCCGTCAAGGACTGCTGCAAAGGCTACAAGCAAAAGCGGGTAGCTTTGGCCGGTGCTCCCACCATGTGGACATCTGTACTACTGGGGCCTATTCAAAAGTGCTTATAGGTTTGTGCATGTACACTGCAGTGTGGTTTGCTTAAAAGAAAAAGAAAAAAAAGCATCTACCGTATTTACTTGATTCTAAGCACTCCTTTTTTTTTCAAATCCGCGGTGCTTCACAAGGGGGGGTGCTTAAATTTGAAGGGCACTAAATGTTAAAAAAATTTCAACACGGAAATATTACTTTATTAAAAGTAAAATAGAACACAAAAAATTGTCGCTCTCCTTGCCGGCACAGCTCACAGCACGCCATGCAGCACGCTTCACTCAATCACTTTCACTCGACAAGGAGTTCTCGGTGCATCCGTCTGAGCTGCTGCTGCTTCGGTTGCTCTCCGCGTCCCACAGGAGGTCGTCCTCAGATCCATCAAGACTGTCCGTTATACAACATCTCTTCAAGGACTTGACCATGACGCACTCTTGAAAATCAGCTCCCGCTGCTTTCTTCATCGAATCACGCAGGACCTGTCCATGGAAGTTCTTTTTGCACTCATGCTGACGTGAGACTGATCAAAAACTGATTAAAAGTCGCCAAAACGAAACAAAGGTGGCTCCTTGCAGCCAACGCTCTTCAAGAGGAAAAGGAGCTCCTCCTCGCCTGCTCACGCGGCTCCCGTCCGCGCGATTCATGTGTTGCGATCTATCGAGTGACGTTGAAACTTATTTCCAGCGATCAAGAGCTCTGCGATTGCGGTCTCACCTTTTGTTAAGGAACAGCAGCGCGCCGCACTCAGATTTTGAATCGCGCTCAAAAAAAAGGGTGCTTACATTTGCGTGCAGACTTTTTACAGTGAAGCTGTTATACGCTAGGGTCTGGGAAAAAATGCGTCCTCGCATGTCGACAGAAAACTCCCCGTTGGTCGTGGCAAGTATAAATAAATAAAAACAAAAAGGGGGCAACCAGCGTGAGTCAGCCTTCCTTGGCATTATTAGATAGTGAGGTCCTGATTCCTTTTTATCATATCTAGGCGTCGTCCTCGAGGTCGTCTTAGAAGTCGTCCTTGAGGTCGTCCTAGGCGTCGTCCTCGAGGTCGTTCTAGATGTCGTCCTCGAGGTTTTTCTAGACATTGTCCTCGAGGTTGTCCTAGAAGTCGTCCTGGAGGTCGTCCTAGACGTCATTCTATAAGTCGTCCTAGGCGTTGCCCTAGAAGTCGTCCTAGGCGTCGTCCTTGAGGTCATCCCAGACGTTGTCCTTTAGGCATCGTCCTAGACGTCGTAAAGATAACAGCTTCGCTGGCCCTCCATCTTCACGTGAAGTGGAAGGGCTCTACAGTTTTTTTTTTTTAATTGTTCTTGGATAACTAGGGGGGGGGGGGGGTGTTGCTTAGAATTGCGTAAATATGTCAATTTGTAGTAGGGGTCTCTTTAAAGCCCAGTCCACTCGAGAACCGTTAGTGCCGTAGAGACATGGCTGTCCTGTCTAGCGTGAAACGCTAGGACACTTTGCTGCCTTTGACACCCAATGGTTTTATCTTGTACAGACCGAAACTGTTAGCACAAACTAACGATCGTTGGGTGTTTTGTTTTAATGGCAGCAGCTGTACATGGCTTGTAATACCAACCAATCAGAGGCGTGCGATCATTATTGTGGCGGAGTAGCTAAATTTGGCAGGGAAATTTAATTGGTGAATAGTGACTGTGCGGCCAAAGGATGTGGTATAGAAGCGCCAGTTGAGCGGACTTGCGTCTCGCTCAATTTAGCACGTGGCGCTTACGTCACACCATAACGTCGTGCGACACATGGATGTGGTCACGTGACGTCACATCCCCGTAGTTCATAATTTGGGGTCGAGTCTAAGTTGATACACGATTGCCGCAAGTTGCACCCTTTCTGAGGCATTCTTTGTACGACCATAAGTCTTGAGCAAGTGCCCACTCAAAATATGGAGATAATCACATCAAACAGGGGGTGGGCGCTCCTTAGGTCAACAATATGTAAAGATATGTGCTTTGTGTAATTTCCGAAGGCTACAAGATTGAGGGGCGGGCGCTCGTGGAATGGGCGGATGCTCAGTATTTTATGGGAAGTCTAAATATGGGTAAGTGTCGTCTCAAGAGAGCCTCTTGGGAACTAGTTGTGTAGAGGTTCTGAGGTGCATTTCCCGTTCTCTTTCAGGAGGCCAGATGCTGGCCGAGCTGCACCCTCAAGAGAGCCAGGAGGAGTCCACGGGAGAGCTGATCCAGCTCATTTGTGCGGGCTGCCTCAATGGTTTTGAGTCGGAGGACCTGTTTGCCGCCCATGTCTGCACCGGACATCAAGGGTGGGTGCCTATCCAACAACCCTTTTAATGTGATAGCATTCTTTAGCTAACCCCCCCCCCCCCCCCCCCCCCCCTCCCCAGATGTTTTGAACTTTCTGGCCTCCTACTGTGCAGTAGATATGCACAGTATATCATTTCAGCTCGCAGTCTCACACTTTTTCACATTCACTTCGAAGGACCTGATGACTTTGACATCTTTGATGTCGTCCTCTAGGACAAGGGTTCTCAAACTTTTTGGCCTCGCGGAACCCCAGGAAGCCTCAAAAACGGCCACAGAACCCCCCCACCCCTCCATATTTGCCGACCGAGAAGCAACAGATGCACAATTGTAGGCAATTTTGCTTGTGTTGCTTCCCATATATCCCCACCACATCAATCGCAATGTCAGTACAAAGTGAGATGAAGGTGCTTTGCATGGTCCTGCCGTGCAGCCTGCGGCATGGGGGGGGGTTGCAATTTGGGTGTTTGCGGAACCCATGAGACCAGCTCGTGGAACCCTTGTGTTCCCCGGAACCCAGTTTGAGAACCCCTGCTCTAGGACATAATCTTTCTGCTCGTCTTTGACGTCGTCCTCTAGGACGTCATCCTCGACATCGTCTTTGAGGTCATCCTTAAGATTGCCCTAGAGGTCGTCTCTGATGTCCTCTAGGGTGTCGTTCTCAATGTTGTCCTCTAGGACATCTTTCTTGACGTCGTCCTAGACGTCGTCATTGAGATTGTCCTAGACAAATGCAATTGCGATTCATAGACAACCAACAATAGTGGTTTCTGCTTCCACTTTTTTAGAGCGCAGCTCTTAGGGGCCCGTTCCCGGCTTGAGCGGCATCGGCGTCGCCGTCGGTGTAACCGCAATCCTCGTAACCCTCGTGAGGGTTACGAGGGTTAATCTCATGAGGGTTACCCTCACGAGGATCACGAGGGCCACGAGGGTTACTTACCCTCGTAACCCTCACGAGGGTTACGAGGGTTAGTTACCCTCAAAAGGGTTACCTTCACGAGAGTTACCCTCACGAGGGTTACTTACCCTCGTAACCCTCACGAGGGTTAGTAACCCTTATGAGGGTAACCTTCACGAGGGTTACCCTCACGAGGGTCACGAGGGTTATGAGAGTTACCCTCACGAGGGTCACGAGAGTTACCCTCACGAGGGTCACGCGAGTTACCCTCACGAGGGTCACGAGAGTTGCTCTCACAAGGGTTACTAGGGTTACCCTCACGAGGGTCACGATAGTTATCCAGGTCACGTGACCGCCCCTGGGGTCACGTGACCTGGGGATACCCCCGAGGTCACGTGACCCCCGTTGACGTCATAGCCACTGATGACGTCATCAGTGACGTCACTGATTACATCACCCGCATCCGCATCGTCATCGTCACTGATGACGTCATCAGTGACGTCACTGATGTCGGCATCCGCATCGTCATCGTCATCATCACTGATGACGTCGTCAGCGACGTCACTGATGACGTCACCGACATTCGCATCGTCATCGTCATCTTCACTGGTGAAGTCATCAGTGACGTCACTAATGACGTCATCGGTACCCGCATCGTCATCGTCACTGATGACATCATCAGTGACGTCAGGGATGACATCATCGGCATTGGGGGTCACGTGACCCCCAAGGTCACGTGACCCCCCCCCCCCCCCCCCCCCAGCGCCCTTCCCTCCTCCTCCTCAAGAGCCGCGCTGCTGTATCCCACCGCGGTAACCAGAGTCTCGATCTCCTAAATACTACCGGTACCGACTATTCACACTTGATGTCACTCCCTACGTCACCTCCGTTTTCGGAGGCCTAGAAACGAGAATAGAGATTGTTCAGTTTCGGTTTCTTTACTTCTTTCGTAGGCACAGAAATACGCGTCACAAATGTCTATAAAAAATTGGACAGCATGCTATGTTCCCAAGAAGCATATAAACACCATTTTAAAAAATTAAATAAAATTGTCTTCATTGTCCCTTTAAGGCCTCCTTAGGGCCCCTGAAGCCCTCGGCCGTCAGTCCATTCGAGCAATAAAACTTCTTTTCTTATTGATGCTGGCTTTTCCTTAAAGCTAAACAGACCAAACGTTCTGTGCCAAGGGGTTAGGGCTGATTATTCTTTGTTGCAGAGTTTTAAAGTTGCTTTAAAGTTGATTTTTGTCATTGTAATCCTCCAATACTCACCCCTCTTCACTGGAAGATGGGGTCTCCCATCGCTTTCACTAATCCAGAACAGGTCCCCAAAACATTAGTGGATGAGAACCACTGGTGTACACTTTCTCTTCGACCAAAGCCGATTATAGTGGAACTTTTCCTTCTTTTAAATCAAGACCCGCTCAAAGCTCATCTTGTCCTTCCAGACAAGGCCAGGACCAGGCCTTCGTGACAGCAGACGACTCGGTCATCAACATGGTGACGGGTGCGGGCACCCTGACCTCCGCCGACCTGGACGGAGGCCATCTGGTGGCCACCACGGAAGACGGTATCACCACCACGGTGGCCATCAACCCGCAAGAGGACCTAGCCACCCAGCTGGCACGAGCCGTAGCCGAAGCCACGGGACCCGGGCAGGTGACGGTGTCCATCAACACGGCCGACGGCATTGCTACCATCAGCCAAGACCCGCGGGACCTGTCAGAGTTCCAAGGCGTGGAGGGCCTGGAGTCCACGACAGATCTGGAGCTCGCAGATCAGCACCAGATGGCCATGGAGGTGCTTCCCCAGGAGGCCATGGACATGGGCAACAACGAGCAGAGCGAGGAGCTCGTCATCCAGCAGTTGGGTGAGATGCCCGAGCAGCAGATGCAGCAGCAGATGCAGCAACAAGAACAAGAAAATCTTCAGGAGCAGGAACTCCAGGGACACCAGGAGCAGCCAGAAGAGCAGCAGATGGAGTGCGCAACGACGGAAGAGCAGACAACACAGGAGGTAGCGATGCAGACATCTGAGATGACGGAGAGGACGGCCCAGCTCCTGATGGCAGCGGCCGCCAACAACCCAGAGGGCTTGGACCACCTGGCCGTGGAGTCGGAGGACGGGGAGGTGATCCACTTCGCCATTGTCCGCCATGGAGAGGAGGGAGAAGGCGACCAGATGGTCCAGATGGTGACCATGGGCAGCGTGGCGGCGGGAGACCAGTCCGCGTCGTACATGCTCTCCTCCGGAGACATGACCACGACGTCAGCGCAGCTGGGCAGCGAGACCAAAGTCGTGGGGGCCCTGAACAGGGAGGCCCCGCTGCTCTCGGTGGGCGGAGACCTCTGCGTCACTGAGTCTGTGGGTCCGAACAAGGGGGACGAAATAGAAGAGTATGCAGAGGTCGCGCAGCAGGACGAATCTGCGGAAGGTCTGCAGCAGCAGGAAGCCGCTGAAGACCCGCAGCAGCAGGAGACGACGGAGGAGGCACAACAGGAGCCAGTCAGCGTCAATGAGGCGGTTGCACGGGCGCTCCAGGGAGAGGAGGAAGCCATCACCGGCATGGCATTTGCAACCGGCGACGGAGACGGAGACCAGATGCCGATCATGATGATGGTGCCGGGCGGTGACCACGAGGGCCTGCAGGTGGTCGGCGAGGGCGGCGACGGCTTCGCCAACACTGCACTGCTCAAGGTCCCGACTTCGGACGGCGGGGAGCGAGTACTGCTGATCCCGATCAGCTCGGATGCGGGGGGCAACGCGGTGTTTCAGCTTCCGAGCGGCCTCTCACTCGCAGGGGGAGAACAAGGGGAGATGAGGGTGGTGGGCGATGGGGAGCAGGGAATCCTGACCCTGCCGATGGACGCCATGACGGGGGAGGTAGCAGTGCAGTTTGCAGCGGAGCCTGCGGAATGAAAGTAGGCCTCGTTTCGAAGAAGGCATTTTTGAAATTGCCCAATCATCAGATTCACACTCGTCAAGTCATTGTCGAAAAGGGGCAGGTGTAGTTTCAGTTGCTTTCTTTGTCTGGGTTTTTTTTGTGTGTTTCTCTGACCGTCATACTGCTTTGTTCCTTTTTTTGCTGTTTTGCTTCTCCAACTGGTTTGTTTCTTTTTTTGCTGTTTTACTTTTTCTCAATCTTTTTTTTTTTTTTGGAGTTGCATTGGGTGGGAGTCTTGAATGCGTGTAAGAAAAGGTACCTGTGGACTGCAAGACAACGGGTTTTGTCGAGACACCTAAGCCGGCACCAGTGATGGCACAAACATGGAGTAACAAAGTTATTTAATTGCAGTCACGTTCATCAAGTAGGCATTTTGGAGCTACAAATTAATGTGGGGTACCATTGTAAATACATTCATGGTTCTCTCCAAGGGGAACGTCAAATCTTTTTGTAGGCTGCTTGTGGCTTGCCGTCGGCACGCAATTACACGAGCGCGTTCACTGAGTGAGCGGACTGGTTTTTCCGTCGTGTACATTTGTCTCGGGGTCAATAAACTATGCTCACCATTTCTTAGCTGCTTGCGTCATATTCCTAAATTTGTTAGCATCTATTGCCCCGATGCATGCAGCCGTCTTCGGTTTGGACCGAACTGGACCGGTTTTCGTGAGGCTGTGGCACAGTTCCCGCCTTGCTCTTGGCGCAGACAAAGAAAAGGCAAGAAGGAAGTGAATACGTTCTCTGTTTAAGCCTGACATTTGTTCCTGTCTAAATCGGGTACAACATAAAGACGGTGCAAGGGGGTAAGGGGCACGCATGAGAAAAGCTGTTGTGGAAAGAGGTCGCTCCTCCCCACTTCAACTTTCTTAGTTTTTGCCCATTTCCCCCTCGCACTGTCTGTCTTATGTTATATCTGACTTTTCTTATAACCCTATTTGATGTCAAAACTGTTGCATGATCAGTCTATGCTCTGTGTGAAAAAGTGGTGGAGGGGGGTTCTTTCCTGTTGTTGTGCTGGGGTCCGCATGAAACTGCCTTGCAGGCCGCGTACGGTAAATTTCAGAACTTGCTGAAAGCTTACTACCATGACATGTTCAATGGCGACATAGAGCTGGTAGCTACTGTCGGTGACCGGTCAAGAACGAAATGGAAGCTCCTCCCACCTTTTCCCACTTTAGCAGAGTGAACGCTGGAGGAGGTGACCTCCTCTCCAGTGTTTGCTCTGCTAAAGTGGAGAGAGGTGGGAGGAGCTTCCACTTATTCTTTGAATTTATTTATACGGGTGTTCCAAGTCATTAGGCTCGATCTAAAATGAACCGTAAAAATCGACGCTTGCACGTAGCAATCTAAACTTTTCGTCTAAAGTGTAATTCACAGGTCAGTTTTTTCTTGTAAAATAGGAAAGCATAGCTCCCTTTCTGTAAAAAATAGGGCCAAGAAACTTGCCAGGATCAACGGCGCGCTGCAATGCAGACGAGAAAGTCGACTGGCGGGGCGCGTTTGGCGCTCGTATTGATAGATGACACTACCTCCTTATCGAGACTGCTCGCAACCACCGTTGTTTATTAAATTGAACATAATCTTTTTTTTAAAGTGCCTTTGGTTTAAAAGTTAGTGCAGACAATAAAAGCAAAACCTAAAGTAAAAAGAAAAAAAAAACTTTCTGCCTTTCTCTTTTGGTGAAGAAGGAAGACCAGCAAACCTGTACTAAGGTGGGACAACCTCAAGGATGACTTCTTTGACGACCTCAAGGATGATGCCTAGAGGACGACCTCAAAGATGATTTCTAGGACGACCTCGAGGACGACGTCTAGGACAACCTCAAGAATGACTTCTTGAAAAACCTCTCGGACAATCTCAAGGGTGACGTCTAAGACGACGTCAAGGATGACCTTGAGGACGACTTCTATTACGACGCCTAAACAAATTCAGCCTTTCCAGGCTGGAAAGGTTGCCGCCATCTATAAGCGACAGTGGCAACCAGACAATTGGCAAGCCGGTTGTCTGGTTGCTGCTGTCGCTCACAGATGGCAGTAGCTGTCCAGAGTTTTGTGTCAACATTTGTTTGCTTGCGGAGGCGATACTGGGAAAACTAGCCCTTAACAGCTCCCCTGTAAAAAAAAATGTGTTTGCATAACGACGGCGCTTTTGCTGCCAACGGATTTCGTCTGCTTTCTTTCGCTGGTCGGCTACACCGAACGTTACTAGATTACCTCAGTTGTGGAACTCCCGCGGAAGGGGGTATCTCCCGTCACTCACTACCGTCGGCCTCCCGTCGTTCGAAGTGCCATCTAGGTTTTCGTTTACGAACTCTGTGTTCCATAAAGTATAGTGGAGCGTCATCTAGACGCTGCGCTTCGATACGTATGTATTCTGTTGAATACACTGCAGTTAACACAGCAGCTGTCCGGCGCGTCGAATGACGGGAGGTGAGTCGTGGGGAGAGGGGGGTTACTGCTCGGGTGCATGCAGCATCTATGAGTAGTTCCATAACTGAGCTAATTTAATAATGTTTGCTACACCTTCGGACGCTGCTCCCGACGCCATCTATCAATATGCGCGCCTAACGCGCCCTGCAACTCGACTCGGTTGTCTGCGTCGCTGTTGACCAGGGCAAGTTTGTTGGCCCTAGTTTTTTACAGAAAAAAAACTACGCTTTGCAATTTTACAAAAAAAAATGTATTTTTGGCGAAAAGTTTAGATTGCTTTGCGCAGGTGCAGATTTTTACGGTCCATTTTAGATCGAGCCTGGTGACTTTAGCATAAGACCTTTCTTCACTAGGCTCCTAGCACGTGCATGCACCCTCCCCTGACCTTTGCATCCTGCTGTCCCCATTTTCGGAGGACGTCGCCACACTGCCCTGCATGACCAACAATAACTGCGTTCGATTTACCTGTACCTCCTACACCAGTGCAGAAAAGTGTAGGGCGGTGTACTTCTGGTCGTATCTTAATACAGATACCGGAAGTAGACTGCCCTGCACTTTTCTGCACCGGTTCAGCAGGAGGGGCAGGTAAATTGAACGCAACTAATGTCACTGTCTGTCTCTGCACATATTTAGTCTTTTTTTTACAATTCTTTTACAGTGGAGCTGTTAATGAGTAGTTTCCCCAGTATTGTGTCCACGGGCAAACAAATCTTGACACAAAACCCTGGACAGCAACCGCCATCTTCTGGCGACGGCGGGAACTTTTCCAGCCTTTCCACTCTAGCTTGCCGACTTGCGGCCGGCCATTACTTCATTCCCACCATAGTACAGCTTCACCGGTCTTCCTTCTTCACCAAAATAAAAAAAACAAAGCTTTTTCTTTTTTTTTTTTTTGTATAGGTAGTTTGGGGCATAAAGCGCAATAAGTATGGCGAATTCGGGTGGTCAATCGCTGGCGAGCTCACGCCGGCGGCACAGGCAACGAAAACCGCGCCAGCGGCGCACCACGTGACCCTCTCCACCCGAACACAAAGCGCCTGCAACTGGCGTTTTCGTCTGCCTGGGTCGCGCGTGAACTTCGTTAACTTCTTCCTCGATTATTTTATGATATAATAGGCACGCTGTAGGCATCAGCAACATATATTCGGACTCTGAGATGTGGGTAAACAAATTATAATATATTTTGTTTAGATTCTCGAAGAACTGTTGCCATCTTACAAGGATCCCAGAAGGCTCACCAGCGTCGCCATTTTATATTCCAGTTTCTTGTTATTACCTTTTTGCTGGAATCCTCAGCATGATTTGACCCAGCCTTTTAAAATAGTAATGCGCGTTCAAGTGTCGAGCTTCAACACTATCAATACATTTTTTTCACAGCGGTGTAATAACACGCTGTGTCCCATAAGAAACTGATCTTGCGGAAGCTTCCTTTAAAATATTTTATCTTTATCTCCGTTGTTTTTGCTGTCTTTTCTCGGACCACAGAGGGGTGTCTGTCTCAATGGCTTCGTTTTCTACTCGAACCCGCTATCGGCGACCATTGTTTCGTTTGGTTCCCTTTCCCGATTCGGATATGACGATACCGGGTACAGTCTGGCAGACAAGCTGACTGACCTCTTGGAGCTCGGGCAAAAATTGTGCCGGGAAATTGCCAGCACACGCCTGAGAAGTGCCACCCGAACGGCGCGCACTAGCCAGCCTTTGACCACGCGAACGCCCTTGGCGGAGATATGGCAAAATATTTTGCCGGAAAATGACCACGCGAATTCGCCACTAGAGTGCCTACATGTCTGTCTTTCTGAGGGTGAAGATATCCATTGTTGCCCTGAATGTGCCAGCACGTGACGCACTCGGTGCGTGACTTGGGCGGTAAAATGGTGTCTATGCATTAGCCAAAGCTACGCGCTCGAGCTGAGTGACACCAGATTGTGCGCACTTCAAAATGCATAAAAAAAAAGATTGGGCGGGAAAATGGCTGAGATGTCGCCACTCAAGCAAAGCGCACATGTGTATGAAGGCACTTCATACACTGGTTACAGTATAACAGCACCATGCCTTCTTTTGATGGGTGAAGGAACGTTGGGCTGCCCTTTTATATGAAGTTGCAGACAACCTTCCAGATGGCGCTCATTACTCAAAAAAGGATCATTGCATATATTGCACCCCAGCTGGTGCCCTAAGGTGCTTTCAAGCAGTTGTGCATGGGCGACGCCATAACCGACCTTCAGTTTTTATTTATTTTTATTTTGTTCGCTTCACTTAATCATTGGCACAGTAGGCCAGGTTATTGCCACTTCAGGTGTCGCTGTGTCCTCCGCAGCATAGGCCTCTGTGGAGGCTTGTCAATGCCCGCTTCAGTGGCTTGGCATCTCGGTAAGACAAGAGAAGGTCGGCAATGGCGGCTCAATCTGACGCGTGTTTAGAGGGTCTATACATGGTTTGCATGCAACCTCAGTGTGCCCTTTTTTTCTTGTGGCCAAAAGCACATCATCAACTCGGCAGAAGCTACGCTCCCTTTCCCCTATTGTCCACCTTTCTTTCCGGTGGCCAGAAGTGTCGCATAAATGCAAAGGAAACTACACTCATACTTTTCCACAACTCCAGCGCCGTATCGCAGGTGCACTCCGAAACATTGCACAAACCCCATCTACCCTGTGTGGTGTGTTATAGGTAGTGTTCCGTTTTGGGTCCATATCACAAGAGCGAATGACATTTTAGCGAACGGTGACATTTGAGCGAATGGTCGTTTTAGCGAATAACGGGGGCGCGCGTTAACCCATCCGTCGCGCTGCGCTTTACGCCGCTTCGCGGCGACAGTCTGCGGCAACTAATTACAAAAATACGAACTCACTTGGCCCACCCGAAAACGCCGCTTCGCGGCGTCCGACTATTCGCTAAAGTGTCGTTCGATAAAACGTGGGCGTTCGCTAAAACGTCATTCGATCAAGTGAGTGCCTCCCTTCCGTTTTTTGGGTAAACCTGAAAAATTCCGGAAAAACTCGTCGGTTAAATTTTTGGCCAATTCAAATTTATCCGACAAACTGAATTTTGATGTGCCATACCCCCTTTCCTCCAACCCCCGGGGTCTACCCCCCAAGAAAGGTGGCATTTTACAATTAAGTATGATCTGCACACAAAATCAATGGTCCTGGGAAAGAGCCACCAGTTATCTTGCAAATCTCGGACCGTTGTCAAAAGGGGTCTTGCAGCTTATCTTGTCAAGGTTCATTCATGACAACAGGTCATTGTACTTTCGGGTCACAACAAAAGCCATTGTTTCAGTTTCGGTCATGCTATTTGTGCTTTAGAGGAGAGGTTATTGTGTTTTTGTAGGAGTGAAAGCTATAAACCATAGAGCTTGCATAAAATGGGGAAGAGGGACAGTTGGACTTCTGTTACATCCTTTACCACTCCACCTCGCGCGACCTAGGGGGTAGGCTGATGGAATAGGGTGGGATGAATACGAGCTTCGTAACGATTAACTCCAGCAATTAAGGCAAAAGCCTTACTTGTCCCATTAAGCGAAAGAGCGTCCAAAAAGCCGATAAAAATGTGATTGTGCGGTACACGCCACTCAATGAACGACCCTACTTGTTCCATTACCTTGGCGTCGTCCTTACGGTCGTCCTAGACCTCAAGGACCTTGCTTGTCGAACGATGGCCATAAAAATGTCATCAAGCATCATCAGCGTGATGTCACCGCCGGAGTGCCATGTGCAAAGGATGCGCTTTGGACTTCATATCTGCTCGTTGTGTGCTTCGGGCGATGGACTGTGAGGCGACCGCATCACAGTCCATCTACGGCGGCTTCCACAGGCAAGCATGACTGCTCACGCAAATACGCCACAGCCTTCCAAGTGTCCTCCTTTACGAGTCATTTTCAACGTCGTCCTTGACTGGCTTTCGCCTTCCTACATGCAAGTGCACTCGCGTAAATTTTTAAGGTATCACCATTTATCGAAGCAATACTTGTGTGCAGCTTTTATCGTGGGACAAATTACTATTGCCAATAGCAATGGCACCAATGCCAAATCCAGCTGAAGAAATACTGATACAAGCACTTTATTTTTTATTTAGCATCCTATATACACCCAATATTTTTTTTTATTTTCAATAGGAAACACCGCGAAATTAAACTCAGAATTTCGGAGAATTGGGAATCGAACAAAAATACTCTGATAAACTGAATTTTCCGGCAAAAAATAATCTCCGATCAATTTGACGAAAACTTAACTTTGAAAACACGAAATCCTAGTTATAGGCCACAGCTGCAGTATTACAGGTAATAGTGTGCATGACAGTAAGTCTGCATGCATATCTGCTCACAAGCAGATATAAGCCCTGCTTGCAGTTGAGTGAAAGTTCACCCATTATGTTGAAATCAATACATAATTCATTTCTCTACTCCAGTCAAAGAATTCCTGGCAGGAGTCAAACCAGTGCTTCTGAGATGCCCAACATATTAAGAAACTGCAGCTACTATACCCTATTCATCTTCCCACCATAAAAGGTTGGCATACCAAGCATTAACACTCGCAGATTCAACATCCCAAAACTGGAACCACCTTTCTGCTTCAATTGGAAGTTATTTTTTTTTCCAGTGTTCCCTCCCATCTGTAATGTACCTGAGGGTAAATAAATAAACTAAAACACCACATCCAGCAAGATGGGGCATGATGCTTTTCCACCCACCATCATATAAAATTGTTTTAGAAGTCAAAAACAAGTCAACAGAACATGTGCAGGATAATATTTTAATGCCCTGCTTGATCTCAAGATAGTTTGCAATAAATAGAAGCCAACAAATACGGGCAAGAGTTAAGTCACTTCCATGTTTAATCAGCCAGCAACCGGATCCGCATCTTTCTTTTTCTGAAGAGGTATTTGTTAAAACTTTTTGCAGCCCTATTGTTTCATTGAAAGTAGCAAACTTCTGTTGTCTTTAGTTACAAAAGGTGGCCAAGAAATGCAGAGCCGAGTGGAGAGACGGGACAAGCTGTGGTGTTCAGCAGCAGCCTCTTAAAGCTCTGCCATTTCCTGGCCCATCCCGCAGCAGAGGTGAGGTCTTCTGTCCGTAGCGGGAACAGTTTACTGCAACCAGAAACGGAAACCCTCGTTAGACAATTGGGCACTGCGACAGAGAAGTCTAATCCCCCACACACTACAAATAATGGCGCTTAAAGGGGTACTTTGCCGATTTCTTCATGGTACCCGATTTGCTTGAAATTTTGCTAAACTTGCCAAACAACATCGCCAAAATAGTATCCCAAATATTGGGTTGAAACAATTTTTTTTCACGAAGTTATTGAATTTACAATTTTGGTCCTCACCGTGTTTTTCAAACTGAAAGTCTCTACTGGCAACAGCGAAGAAGTGACGTCATTGGAAGTGCCGGGGTTCACTCTTTGGACTGTAGAACTTGTTTCCAACTGATTCGAAGCAGTTTCATGGTGTCAAATGAATGCTTTGGAAGCTCGCTCCAGGACCCGCGCTTCAGGACGGAACGAATGATTGGCATATTCCATTTTTTAGACTGCTCGCCCGACTGGCAAGCTGACCTTCCACTGACGTCACAACACTGAAAAGGGCGGGTATATTTGAATATTGGTTTTTGCATCATTTTCATTTGCCGATTTCGCAATAACTATTATGAATTTTACGATACTAAAAAGCATACCAGAAAGGGTAAAGGCCGGGGAGTCAGAAAATATAGTTAGTTGAGGTAGCTCAAAAATCGGCGGAGTACCCCTTTAAGCCGTGCTTTCAACCGGTATGCTAGCAATGAGAGTCGGCATCTTGTGCTGTTGGACCCAGGTGGTTGGCTGGAGAAGTTCCAGCAAAAAGTATAGGCAACTGCAAGTGTCGCCGCAGCAACCTCGTTGTCCCAATTCGCGTCTCAAGTTCCATGGACCGCAAGGCTGAAGGGTGACCTCCTGCTGAACAGGCACTTCTGCGACGTCATTAGGTGGAAATCGAGGAACCACAATCGAGGATGTAGTAAAATCTGAGACATAATTTAGGCACAATACTAATTATGCTTACAGAGAAACAATTTGGAGGTCTGCAGAAACAAATGTTGCCTGACAAGTCCTAGACTGCCTTCCACTACCTCAGGCTTCTGAGAAAATCCAGAAACAGTTTGCCCAGAGACTGCAAGTACAACGAAATCTGGCATCATTCGCCAGTCTTGAACAAAGGTGACAGCAGCATGCATCGCAAAGCGTGCTGTCCCCATTAACAGATGTTGCACTTTCGTGTCAGTCTGGCAGCATTTCGACTGCCTGGCTGTGCCAAACGAGTTGCTGGGCGATGACCCTTCTATTGCACCTTTAAAAATCCAGACATGAACAACAATGGCCCAAGCTGGGAGTACAAGATGCACCAGGCACGTCTCAAGCTCCAGTCCTTTACAGCCACTGAAGAGTTTCGCGCAGGAAAAGGGAAACATACCACATACTACAGATTTGACGATATTTGTAATGTGGACAACAGACATAGCAATCCGATACGAAGTGAAATGGCCTAGCTGTCATTAAACAGGAAGCTTGTACGAAATCGAGCGACAGCGTGCTTGGGTGTCGACCTTCTAAGGTTGCAGTCGCTGACCTTCGTACAAGCTTCTTGCTTAGCGACAGGTAGTCGGACCAAAATCTCAAGTAACCTCACCTGCTTCTCTTCCAAGAGCCCGTGCTTGAAGAACATCATGACTGGCGTCTCGCCACCGCTCTTGTTCGGGCGGTACTCCAAGAGGGCAACAATGCCGTCGGGGTTGGAAGATTCTCCTGCAAGGAAAGCGGAATGTGAGAAAAACAGTCGGGCAGACTGCCACACTTGCCAGCAGGCAAACCATTAAACAGCGAGGCAATGCTTAGAGGGAAGGCTGTTGCACTTTCGTGTCAGTTAGGCGAGACGGAAATGCCATCGTCCAACTGTGCCAAACGAGTTGCTGGGACAGGCTGACCCTTCTGTTGCATCTTTTAATATCCAGGCATGGGCAGGATTGACCCAAGCTGGCAGTACAAGATGCAGGCAGGCTACGAAGCCGGCCCAAACGGAAGAGACCACCGCTAAACCTCTAAAGCAGCAAAAGACAAATGCCAGTCTGCCAACGTGCAAAAACTTTGGCATATTCTGTCTAGGGTCAAAGCCAAACACGGCCACCACTAGAATGGTATTGAGAAAATCTCACCGAGCACATGACCAAAACGGCGACCGGTTGCGGCATTACATCCACACTCGGCACCATTCCATATGGATCCCATGAGGAAGTGCAACGACGTAAACAAAATTATTCGGCACACTTTGGCCGAGGGCAGCGTCCCCTCATAAAGGCAGAACTGACCACTATACAGAGCACCACCGCTAACCACCATTTCGGCCCAGCACTCTGAGAAGGTCTCTTATACGTCATCCGTCTGGAAACCACTTTCAGTGCAGGCATATGTCCTTTTTATCCGTCATCCATTCAGAATACACCCCAAATAATTGTGATAATGTAATAAGCAGCCATTTTTCATGGAGCATACATTTCATCTCGCAGAATACCGGAAAACCCTATGCCTAGCAAGTGTTCCAGAACAGGTGGACAGACGGTGCCAGTGTGCCAGTCGTCGTTGTCGTACGCAGTAACAAGCAGTCCTAACGCACTCAGTCACTTAATACCAATGCGCACAAAAGTACAAATCAGCCTTAAATTGTTTTCCCGTAACACAATGCAATCACTCGAACCATGTTTAGCTTTACTGTCGAAAGTAGTAGTTTCGTACCGAGGAAGAACTGCATGTCCCCGATCCTGGGCAGCACCTTCTTGACGGCCTCGGTGAGCTTGCTCTTGGCCTCGTTGACCTCGGCCTCCGACTTGCCGTCCTCCTTCCACTTGTCCATCAGGGCCTTGGTGTAGGTCTTGAGGTAGTTCTTGTAGTCCGTCTTGGAGAAACCCGTCTCCACCAGGCGCATGTTCAGCACCAGGTCCAGGCCGCTCTCTGTGCCCTCCTCCGTGCCCTCCTCCACTTCTTCGGCAGATGGGTTGGCGCCGTCCAGCGCCACCTCGCCCACCTTACGCGTCACGTGCTGACGGGGCAAGAAGAGAATGCGCGAGGTCGTCGTCGGATGCTCGGAAACAGACATTTTGTACGGTTCTTTCAGATGGTGACCTCTGAAGTTTCCGAAGACCCAAACAAACTGGATAATGCAGTATGGCTATGGCAAGTCTCCTGCATGTATTGTATATAGCTGTGGAAACTAGACAAAACAGGGTGTGCATACTTTACACGAGATTTGAAATATACAGGCACTTCAATTCGCAGCAGCATGATCATGATCGGGAGCAAACATTTTAAGTCATACTTCTGACAACTTTGGACCGCATTAAAGCTAAGTTTACCAGCTTTGGGGATGTCAATTTTCGGTAGCTAAGATACAGTTGACCACGTCCGACGAATACAACTTGGGCCCAAGCTAAAGAACTGGTAAACGTTCTGACTATGCTCAGCACTTCCCATGAAGAAAACAAACCGAGCGCAGAACTGTGACAAGCGTTGCGTCAACGATGTGCAATTCCGATGAGCGGCCCCATGACAACGAGAAATACAGCGTGGCGATAGTGACACTCCCGTAGGAAAAGCGTCGCAACCATGGACTTCATGTCAAGGCAACACAAGTTGAGGTAATTGACTCTTGATAACGTTCAGGGGCGTGCCCCATGTTGACGCTTCGTCGCAGATACCGCCTACCAAGCACGTCTGAATACCAACGCGACATTTATGCATCCAGACGTCGAACTTTTCTGACAACGTTAGAAATAGCGAAATTTTACGAGGATTTTCGGGACCTTGGGGCCACCCTTCATTCATTGCGCAACGCACTCGAAATTGTTGGTTTGACTGGGCAAGAACGTCACACATTAACCGACTCGACACATCACAAAATAACCGTTCTTTTTTTGGTTCGTTTTTGCATCACGACACAGGTAATAGACAAAAATACGAACCTCGCACTCGATTTCGAAGATGCAGTCATCCACCAGCTTGTATTTGACCGAGTCGGTGAACATCTCGTCACCTGCGCAGGACACCATTCGGGGTATATAGTATCACATGGACAAAAAATATTATAGCAAACGTCAAGCTAGGGTTGTAAATGATGTTCTTACCGGTCAAGATATCCTTGAAAAGCAGCATGGTTACTTAGATTAAGTTGGATTGTTCCCGGTGGTAAGACAGTACACCGTCACCTATGGCGGCTGGCGGGCAAAAGGATCCAAGAGAGGTCGCTTTCCGCTTAAATATGATTTTTCCTGACTGTTCCTCTAGCACTTCAGAAGTAGTTATTATTTCACGCTTTCTAATAATTAAATTTTATAAAATACATTACTTTATTTATTTGATATGTAAGTTTAACTAACCGTAACTGCCGAAGGTGCTTTGTGTTGGTCCATCGGTTTATCGGGTCATTTTTACTCTAGAGCACCTCTAGAGCATTCACGTGATCATAAAGATTCCTCTGCTTAAGCTGGTGTAAGCCCAAGTTTTGTAACGCCGCAGGCCATTTTTTACACATTAAGAGTTGATCGTTGCAACTCCACATACATTCCAAGCTATTCCACGTATTCCACCAATCAGAAGTCGCCATGACGCAACGTCACTAATTCAAAGGCGCTTAAATGAAATGGTTGGGCTCGCTTGGCCTGTCATTTCCTCGGTGAAGTCGTTTTATGCTTTAGGACAGTGAAAAGGTAATATTGTTTTACAGATTTCGTTGAGCCCTTGCAAAGTTGTTGCGCTCGGAGATGTCAACTATGTTTCTGTCGTCTGTAGGCCCTTGTTCGCACGAACGCCTTTTCTGAGCCCCCAACGGTTGTCCCGCCGGTCCGGACATTACGATGTAAGCTGGCATTTTGTGTTTCCTAACGTAACATTTGAGACCTTTTGTGTGTTGTCTCTTTTTTCGTCCGTCGTCTCCGGTTTTTTCAAAAATGTGTAACATCAATCATGATGTAGAATACCCGAAACTGGTTAAATGCTGGGAAACTTGGTCGAAGAAGAAAGACAGGGGAAAAGAACGTCTCAAACACAGCTACTGCGTTTATTTCCTCAAAGCCTTATATATCCACAATCAATCACCGACCACCGACGTCACAAAGTCAACCTTTGTTATACAATCCTACCCACACTGGTCTTCACCTCAACCGTAAACGGTGACCTCAATCCCAAACTGAAAACTTGTGCTCTCTGTGCACAATGTCAGTTTGTGACCAAAGTGCCGTACAATCGTTGCACTCACTAATGTGTTTAGCAATCTTTAAACCAACTTGCCTGCCTACTCACTCCATCTTCAACCAACCTTGAAGCCCTCTCATCTCGCTCTTCCGTATTTTTCTAAACCGGGTGCTGCTCTAATCTCGATCCCCTTTTGTTGTCTGTGATGAAGTGAAGTTTTTGCAAGGAAGCATATCACCCTCTTTGTCGCAAGTAAATATCATTATATGTTGTTTTTTCTTTTTTTAATTCTAGTTCATTTAGTTTATTATTGTCATTAAGGGCCCTTGCGGGCACTCCTTTCTTTCTTTGTTTTATCTTAGTTTTGGGTGTTTACAGGACCCCGGGCACGTGTTTCGGCCTTTCTGCGTTTCTCCCGGCACTTTTGAGCCATACGCACGACGCGGAACGCTCTTGCCATTTAAGTCACCCTTTTTGGATTGTGCGTGTATCACTGGGGAGCGTGATTTTACAGACACGCTTCAATGATCAGAACTGGACCTAAAAATGACTGAATACACAGCATATATTTTACATTGGGACTGGCAGAGAGCCCCTTCAGTGCTAAAAATAATTCCCCTCCCACCCCAAGAACAAATCCTGGCTACATGCCTGGCCCATGGGGTGATTGCAACTTTCGCATACCACTTCTCAAACACTCTTTTTTCGGCAGTTTGTTCTCAATTTGGTTCCAAAGCCACTTTAGGAACCCGCTGAAAAAACATGAGTTCTTTTTTCCCCGGTGATAGTGGGACTTAGAATGCCATGCACGCTGGGGAAGGACAAACAAAACTTTCAAACAAAACACAAAGGTAGTCAAAAAGGCAATGCCTTCGGATTTTGGAGTGGCGATCAACACTTTCGGTAAAGCGTTCCGTGAGGCAACAACTTCAGAAAAAACTGAAGGGGCGAGTGAGCGTGGGACGCCTGAAAGGAGCATTGATCCCATGTCACAAAGGACCATGATTTGTGGTAGAGTGGGACTGATAGTTTGTCCCAAAACCCCCTACTCTCAAAATATTTCGATGGCTTTTATAGTCTCTGGTAGAACGAAAAGGGCAGGGCGTGCTCTCAGATTCCTGGACTCTAGCATACTCTCATCGCCTACTGCCGTGCTTTGGCTACGTGAGCATGCTTGAGGCTGACGAGACATTGAAGTCTTACTGAAGGTAGAAAGCTTCCCCTGGAGACAGGACAACTGTGTGGACCTCTCTGCCGGTCTGATCCTGTCAGTAACTAAAATGCGAACCACATACACATTTGTTTGTTGTTTTTATATAGATGCATTACATACTTTGCAATGAAGGAGAAAAGAAGGAAGCACCCAGCAACATACTTTATAAAAATGCCACTAAACCAGCCATATCTTCCTGTGAACAAGTCCCTTTATGAAGAGACAGAAACGAAAATGTCCTGGGAAGAGGATTGGTTGTACAGCCCGCAGTGTGCCTGTTTATTATCTTCAGCACTGTCGGCCCATAATTCCAGATTCCGGTGCTTGCCTATAGCAACCAGCGAGAATCGGAAGTTATCCAAGGTATTGAATGATCTAGGACACCTACACTTCTTAAGCTGCTTCGGCACTGCAGAGGACATTTTGTAGAATAGATTTTGAATGCCCTCCTCTTAAACAGTGTGAAGAAATACTGTCGCACCGCAGTTTTGATGGATGGACGCAGTTACTTGGAGAACCTTGAACTAGTGATGGATATCTTTTTTTATTTGTAATCTAGGGCTGCCAGGCTTCAAATCATGGAGAGACTCCACAAGGTCGATGACCAGTTGGACGTCTACTACCGGTCCATGGCGAATTCTTACCAGTGCGTGGAAGCGGAGCTGAGTGCTCTCCTGCGTGACATTGAGGAGCAGGCAGCAAGGTGAGTGTCGGTTTCATGGCCGGTTGGGGGCTAGAGTTTCTGCCCAGATTGTGCAGTGTGGACGTTGAATTTAAATTTAACCATGCTTGTCCTTTAGACTGGGTGGATGGATATGGATGAACCATTTTGATTAGGTGGTGGCCCGTGCCGCCTGGGCCCATGTGCAGAAAGCGCCATATAGTTAGTGCTTCGTGTTTTCGGATAAATCCGAAAAACACCTGCCGGTAAAATTTTTGGCAATTCGGATTTATCCGATAAACTTCGAATTGTTATGTGCCCATGCCCCCCCCCCCCCCCCCCCCACACACACACACACACACACACACACACAGCAAAAAAAGAAAAGATTTTTTTCTCTTTTTTTTTTACATTTTGAGCAGCGCAGGATCAATGGTCCTGGAAAAAGGACACCATAATTATCGTTCAAGCCTCGGACCGTTGTCAAAAGGGGGTCTTACGGCTTGTCTTGTCAAGGTTGGTTCCGGGAAACAGGTCATCGGAACATTCGTGTCACGACAAAAGCCACTCTTTTGGTTTCCAGTTTGGGCCATGGGATTTCGGATTTAGAGAAAGGAGAGGGTATGTTTCTGGGGGGTAGCAGTGAAAGCTATGGATCATAGAGATTGTAGAAAATAGGAGGAGGGGCAGTTGAAACTTCTTTATTACATCCACCTCGCGCGGCAGCGGGATATATTGATGGGAGGACTATGATCTTCCTTGCGGCTATCTCTGGCAGTATATTGATTTTAAGGTATCGACGTTTATCGAAGCCACACATGTGTGTGACTTTTGTCGCGAGGCAAATTAGTATTTCCAATGACACCAACGCCAAATTCAACTGAAAACATCTTAATTGATGCAAGCGCATTTTATTTTTTATCTGGCACACGTTTGCATCCGGTTATTATTTATTATTTTTATAGGAACCATTGCGAAATTAATTTCCGAATTTCGGAGAATTGGGGATTTACGAAAAATAAACTCCGATAAACACAGAATTTTCGCTAAAAAATAAACTCCGAAAAACACCCTCCAAATTTCACGAAAAATAAACTCCGAAAACACGGAGCCCTACATATAGTTTAGTCTTGCTCAGCTGTCAGGTTTCCGCCACATTGGGAGGGGTTTCTGTACCGATAGTTTCGCCTGTGAGACATTGGTACCGGTAAGGTGGGAGTCGTAGATATAAACTATAATTGCAGATTGCCAGTCCAGTTTGAACCCTTCGCGCAGCATCTTTGATAAAGACCGTTCACTTACCTGGATTGTCCAGTTCCTTGACGAGTCATGCGACCTTGATGCTGACAAATCCTTTTCTGCAATCTCGCCACCGGCTTTCTTTTCTTCGTTGCACCAAAGCCAAACAGCAACCTGCTGAATGCACAAATGCTTTGTCCTAATATCGTGAAAACCAAGTCGAATTCAGACGCACCTCTTCGCAGACGGAAGACAGCAAAAACCCTCCATTGTGGTGGCTCCGAATGGCACAATGATAATAGCCTACAGGAATTTTGCGTATAGCCCATTCACATGCCATTACTGACCGCTTTGTTCGTTGCGATCTGTGCCATACTAGCAGCAGCCTTATGGTGGCTGACAGACGGCAAGCAAAAGTGCAGAGACGCGCTCAAGTGGAGGACCCTAGAGCCACTAAGACAAGCTTCAGAGTAGTGGCATTTTGACCATTTGGTGCCTGGGGTTGCTGTTGTCAGTTATCTGAAATCTCGGAACGCTCTTCCGTCCTCTAGAAAGGTGAAGCGGTCTGCAACGGAGCAATGTCATGTCACCCGAGCTTCCCGCCACCATATCTGCAGCTCGGAAAGTGGCGTCTTCAAATCGTAGCCATCGCTAATTCTGCCCGCTCTGCACAAGGCATCAAAATGGCGGTGCCTACTAGGTGCAATGGGGGAACGGAGTGCCGCTACTCTAAGCGCAAGTTATTTAGTGACTTCAGGTAACCCTAGGGTTCGTGCACTGCAAGTGCCGGCTGAATTTAGAGCATGACGGGTTGGGGTTGACACTCCTCTTACAAAGCAGCTATTTATTGTCGCCATCGAAACTGAGACAATGTTAGCGGCGAAGAAAACGCCACCTCTCGCCGACGACGGTGAACGTTCCCATTTAAATAGCATTTCTGCCACCGCCAAAAGTTGGCACTGATTGGATTGCTGTTTGAGCCACTAGGTGGCATTGAATTTTAGAAGCTGTCTGTTGAGCGACGAGTACAAAGGTGGAAGATAGGGGCGACCCCTTGGAGATTGTCGGCATTGGCAGCGGTCGTTTTACCGAGTGACTCGGCTTCACGATGAGACCGACTGCTGGCAACTGATGCCCTTCTGTTATTTTTTGGTGTGCCTTCTTAGGAATGTTAAAGCCGTTGCTCCAAAATCAAGAAAGAAGTTGAAGCCCAAAGTGAAGCAGGAGAAGCGATCGTCGGGCCCAGCCAGGTGACTTTATTTTGTTACTCTTGCGCAATTTTTCCGCGTGTGTGTGTTCTTCCGTGTGTGGCTTTTATCTTCCCCTCACCCTTAATTTTATTGCATCTTCATAATAAGCTTCTGGCAGTTTCCTTTTTTTTTTTTTTTTTTCCCCACACGAAATAGCAAGTGATTACAGCCTAGCACAGTACACAGGGTGTCTAGCGACCAGGAAAACCGGGAATTGTCAGGGAAATTTTAATTACCGGGAAAAATCGGAGAATTGCCAGGGATATTGTCAAAAAGCCAGCCCAGTCAGGGAGAATAAGCCGGAAACACCATCAAGTGCCTTGAGCAAAGACTTCAGGACTTGGGGGTAGAAAAATAGGCAAAAAATTCTGCTTAGAGCGAAGCACGAGCTTTGATCGCCCGATGTAGAATGTGCTACCCGATGCAAACGGAACAGCCAACAGATCCAGTCCAAGCCTAGGATTGGATTGACGGTGCGACACTAGGCTAGATCCACTTAGCACTACAGTGTAGACCGCATATAACGTATGTCGCGGGAGTCGCGAAAATCCGCACTATAAGCGGTACCGCTCTATAACCAAAATATCAATTTTTCAGGCCAAAATACATGCCATCAGACAACTTACCTTTGTAAAAGAATTTATTTTATGTTAGATGAAAAATAAAGCTTAGTTTGAGGACAGTCTTTATTTCACCAGACTAGCACACTTGTCTCTCAAGTGTGCCACACATTTTTAAAAAAATGAGTGACTTTTGCCTGGTGCAGCCTTTTAACGGCATCGCGGGTTGCGGACGGACGTTGCGAGCGTTCAGGATGGCTAACCCCAATCACTTTTCTCCGGCGATGAAAACTCGTGAAAATTCGCATCCTTTATACGGTACGCGCCAGTAATACCTTCAACTTGAGCACAGGCATGAAATGCTCCAAATAAGAAATCCGGGCGATGTTCGAAAACACAAATGCTTAGAAGGCACCACTGTAGTCGAAGTAAACAAATACGACGACACGGGCGTTTCTGCCGTCTTGAGAGTGCCGCCACAACATCGCCGCGTGAGTAGGTGGATCCTCCCTTCTAGTATGTGCTAGGTTATCATAGCGACACACAACGAAAATTCACAGTCGAGGATAGCGCTTTTACGCAAAACGATGAGCTTCCACCACGCCGTCTACGTCGATGATCACAACCGACGCCATGTTTGCGGATAGAAGCAGCCGGCCCACGACCGGCACGCAACGCGCACAAACACTTCTCCTTGACCTGCAATTGGTCTGTTGTTGCGATTGTTTCCAACGCAGCGGAGGGACGCACGCATGTGAACGACACGTGCGTGCGTCCCTCCGTCGCTGTGGTAACTGAAGCCTCTCTCTTCGCTTTTCCCGCTTCTTCGAGCAACCTCCTTGCCCCGCGAGTGCCGCTTGCGGCCGGCCTGTGCCGTTATCTAGTGTCACATAGGGAAGCATGCTCGCTGCACCGGTCAGTCGGCGCGGTCGGCAGGCTGTTCCAGAAACCGAATTATAACCGATATTTCCCTTCGCACATCTGCATTTTAAGCGATATGTAATTACATGGAGTTCTATGGGAGGCGAGCCGGTGGTTTAAAAAAGCCGCGTTATACCCGGTCCTGCACTATAAGCGGTTACGTTGTAAGTGGTCTGTACTGTACTAGATTTAGTAACAAAGGGAAAAGCCGCTGACCCCAATCCAATCCGAGCCTTAAGCCGAAAGTATTCGAAAGCGTGCACCTGGTGGCCATGCTGCCATTCGGTTATTGATGTGTGTTGTGCGGTTGAGCGTCAAGTTTTTATCGTGTTTCCAGAAGCAGCCTCTTCACTGACGATGTCGGCAGCAAGAAAGTGCTCCTTTAATCCGGGCTGGACGAACTCGAATATTTCGGAATATGCAAGTTGGATTAAGGCCCTGCAAACTTATCATCTCAATGTTCAATACCTTGCATTGTAATGGTCTTGCATATTTAACCGGCTCTACGGTGGTCAGGGAATTCCACCTGAAATTGTCAGGGAAAACCTGGAAAAGTCGGGGAATTTCAAAATAATTGGCTAGACACCCTGAGTACATGTTTTGCACGTGACGGCGTGGCGCCATACCAGCCGCCACTGCTTTGTGCCATGCTCCTGTGCCCGTACCTTCTGCAGCATGCATTTTGCACCATCGAATTTGTTCTTCTCGGTGATGAGACATCAACTAGGTTATAGTGGATGATACAAAAGTACAAAATGTGCGTGCCTACAACTGGTGTGATGAATAGTGCCTCTCCTGGGCACAAACTTTGCAAGCAGCGGCCAAAATGCGTATCGCTTAGTGATAAAAGCAACTATGCTGCAGAAAATAAGGCAGCCTTTTCAGAGACTGTCGCCACTGCTCGGTGTAAGTTTATCAACCTCGCCTACGAAGTCTTTTTGCCACCCTGTTCAGTGCATGATTACGACTGCGTCGCTGTTATCTTCCTAAATACGACAGTGCGAACCACAGCAGAGGGTGCTGTCTATACTCGGCGTAATGGAAAACATGTGAGGCTCATTGGAATGTGATTTTAGAACATGCTATAAAAGCAAGCTTCATGTAAACGCAACAAAAGAACGGACTCGAAAGGCAGCATTTTTGTTTTTATGTTGCACATAAGCTAGTATTGGTCATTGCATCCATACTGCAAATGTAACACTAGAAGGGAACACTGGTGTGAGCTGCTAGACTGCGCCAATGGACGATGCAGGCAGTCTTGCTGTATTTTTGCGTAACGGGTCTTGTGCATTGTTCCAGGCGTTCGTCGTTGCGGCGCACGACGCAGGCTAGCGCGAGTTTGACCAAGAAGAGCAGTGGACCGCGAAAGGTGAAGATGGAACCGGTGTCGCCCCCTTCGTCGGACACGGACATGGGTCAGGAAAACGTGGACCCTCGCGGCGGAGCCTCAGACCAGACGGAGACCGCGGCAGTCGAGACCATCACACCTGTACAGGCGGCAACCCCGGTGGCGCAGACGCCTTCTCGGTTGCAAGGGACGGTACGTGTCCAATGGCTTTTTCTTTGGCACTTTAAGCAGATTGCTCCTTCCAAGTAACTTTTTAGTTATTTGGAAGGAAGGAACAACCCATGTTGGTTTTAAATTTGTATCTCAAGAACTAATGCATATTTTATTGTGAAATTTTACGTATTGATTGTTTACACACCTGGGATTAACTTTGTCTCTTTTTTACTAAAGCATTGTTTATGGGTAGTTTCGTTTGAAATCAAACACGCTTGTCGGGGTGGGTCTTTCAATTATTTTAAAAGAGTATATGTAATCACCCTATTTCTGGAAAGAACAAAACCGCTTTTCAAAATTTTTTTAAAAAATATTTTGTTTCACAAAAAATTATTGAGTGGAGCAGGGTGAAAATTGTTTTTTACTCCGTGATTTTTCTACCCAGTTCTGTACGCTAGTATGTATATGGAAAGCATACAAAACTCACAGTATTTTTTTGCGCTCTTGTATATTATTTTAAATATTTTTTAGTTCAAAGGAAGATACTTTTGTATTTTTGTTTATTGAGGTAAAAAATTCCAAACATTGTCTCTTTCACAACCCGGTGACATCTTCAGAGCCTTGTAACTCGTAAGTTATTATATTTGTTGCTTACCAAATACCATGCGGGTGTAGCCCTATACATGGGCTATCGACGGGCATAAGTTTAGTTTCTTTTATTTTCAATAAATTTTTTATATAAAATTTGAAATATCGTCGAAAATGAAATTAACCAATATTTTGAACCCACTTTATCGAAGAAGGACATTTTTTATTTTGTTCAATTTTTTTATTGCTGATGATCATATGAACTATGCGATTTCCCCCTTTTTTTTCTTATTGTATCTTCTCTAAAAGCAATCTAAACTGCCCCCACGTTCTCCGAACGGCCAAACACAGCTTCCACAGGTCGGCTTTGCTGCAATGACTATACTGCTTATTTGTGTGTTCAAATGCAGTGGGTAAATTCATTTTGATTGAGAACACTTGTGCTTGGCTACATATTGTATTTTCTTAATTTTGTAATGATGGCAACTGACATTCCTTAGTCTGATAGTTAGCGGTGCAGCGGATGTTCCATTATCCGATGTCTAAAGTCAGGGCACAAAGTGCGGATAAAGCGGTGGAGCTCTTCATGTAGCCAGACCGGGGCCATATATCTGTTTGTGCTATACACAGCTCGTAAGACATATACAGCACACCCGGTCCTTCGCGCTATAGGCCCATCTCCGTTACACCCAGGAAGCATCCGGCACGGGCGCCAATCCATGGTGCGTCTTGTCACGTGCGATCAAATTACCTTGTAATTGCCTGTCCTTTATTGTCAACGTGTCTATCAAAAATATTTAACATCACATGCCCCTCTTTAAGAAGGAAATGCACTTTGCAGAAAACAAGTGAGGAAAATGGACTGAGTTTACATGAAGCGAAGACAATTTTTTACAGAGCACAAAACACCAATTAGCGATAAATAGTCACTTTTATTAAATGACGCTAATATACTTAGGATGCACTTGTAAAACAATATGTTGTCTTACCTTAAATAGTCCAGTTCACGAGCTACGCAATATTGGAACTTTTTGACAACGGCATCGGTTTGCCTCTGCGGAGACGATTGAGCGCGCGGGGCGAGCTCAATCGTCTCCGCAGCGGTCAGATGCAGCCGAGAAGTTCAGTCGAGACGGACAGAACGAAGTTGGTAAGTCGAGACGGACAGAACGAAAACTGGAGTCCAAGCGAGCGAGCAGTGAACCCGAGACGGTGGCCCTTCTGTTTGAACGAGTGTGTGCAGTTAAAACTAAAAGTGTTGGGTTTTGTTCAAGACTGATTGATATCTCTGATGCCAAGACGCAACGATTCCCACATGCACAGAAGGCAGCGAAAGCAGTCACTTCATGTCTCTGTAGCCTTTTAGTTTCTTCACTTTGTCGCACCGAGCTTTATGCAAAGATTGTACAGCCTTCAGGAATATGGAAAAGCGATTTGACGATTTTATTTTAGATGGCTAGGCAGACTTGCTTTGGCTAGGCATACATTGCTTTGGTTTGGGAATAAATAAAGGTTTGTTCTATTTTCTCCTTCAAAATAAAGCGCGTCCAGCCAAGGCGGACTTGGCACCGCTGCATAAACAGCATCGGCGAATGTGTCTTTCATTTTGCCGGAGACTGTACATCTCGTGCTAATGTCACCTTAGGTTCCTGGCCCGGCTCGCGAACTGTGCACCACACATGTAAGAAGCGTAATCCAGTGCGAGCACCTACTCAGGCCCGTTCTTCTTTTTTGTGCTTCCTGAATATATTGATTTCTTTCTCCAGTAAGTTGAAAAGCTGAACGCTTCTTGTCATTGTTTTAAATTTTAATCTTTTTTTAATGAAGTCCTTTGTCGTCCACATCAAGAAGCCGTCCTGTGAACGAAAATTGTGTACTGTGGCTAGGTACTTCAATCCTTACAACCTGTGTATAGACAAACAGATATACAATGACCCCGGTCTGGCTACATGAAAAGCTCGTTCAGTTTCCTCCGCCCTTTATGCCCTGATTTTAGTTATCGGAGAATGGTGCATCTGCTGCACCGCTAACGATCGGACTAAGGAATGTCAGTTGCCATCATTACAAAATTTAAGAAATACAATATGTAGTCAAGCACGGGCTCGGGAGCTAACGTCCTTGCATATCTATGTCGGTGCAGTCCTTCATAATACCCCTTTGCTGAGGCAGTATATGCAGCTGTGCTGGGCATGCTTTAGCCGGAGGCACTCTTTTAGGAGAAGGAAGAAAACGAAGGTTTGTTTATGCCATCAACCCATGCAATTGGAGTCTGACCAGAGCAAATCCACCATGGCTGCATAGAACTGCCTCTTTAAATAGCTCTTTTGTATTGTTAGATACTGTACTTTGAGGGAACTGCACCTGGATAAAAATATCCTTTTGGTGAGTGATATAATCTTAAGAATAACGCCCCTAGCTGTTGAGGGATCCTTTATGGAGATGGAGAAGCAAATGTTTCGGGCTGACATTTTTGCCAGGCATTGCCGGAAAACAGTTCTTTAACGCATGACTTTTTAAAGTGTGTATCCAGTGATTCTCCAGGGTAGGTACCCTTATAAATTCCCCATGCTCTAAAATTTACTGAACCGTCCGTCCTCCAAGCAAAGCGTTTTCCAGATTGAGCACTGCTTTAGCAGGCCCCGACCATCCATTGCCACACAACTGTTTACAAGGTCTCGAAGATCCTGCACCACTTTATGGGATCAGTGCCAAGACTGGGACGGGTTCTTTGAGGTCAAAAAGATATAGAACCCCTCTACCGTTGGAATGAGGAGAGCTCCGCCTGGCCCCGAATCTTTCAGTCTTTGACCTTACAAAGAATCCATCAACAACCAACATATTGTCAGTACTTTCAAGTATGGTGGCAAGTTCTGCGCTTGCTACATCATGTCTAATCCCACACGTTTGCAGCCCCTCATGACGCGATCCCAAACGCGGCAGCTTCAGAACGCCCAAGGGAACGCCCAGCACACGGTGCCAGACAGTAGCAAGACCCCGTTGTCGGCGGTGCCGAAGGCAATGCGAGCCCTGCAGCTCGGCTCGCCTGCCAAACACACTCCAACGAGGGCGCGCCAGTTGTTCTCGCCCTATGCCAAGTGCAGCGTCCAAGAGAAGGCTCGGGCCTTCGAGCAGAAGCTTGTCAAGCATGTGCAACCAGTCCCGACTCCATCCAAAGGAACGCCATCAAGGGCTACACCAAAGGCCACCGCAGTTCCCACGCCAGTCGCGACTCCTTCTACCATTACGCGGAAGGCTTTAAAGAGGAAGTCTTCCTTCGCCGAAAAACGGATCATGCGGAGCTCCACGGCATCGCAGCTGGAGGAGAATGAGAAGCAGACGGCCCAAGATTTGTCGTCGACGTTAACGTCGGGAGGTGAGGACGACAGCGATTGGCAGGATTCGCCAGCGGTAAAGAAGTTTGCCCTGCCGCCGAGCAGGCCCAAGGTGGCTCGTGGCGACCCCGGAGCTAAGGCAGTGAGTGCAATGTCCTGTGGCATGCATTTGATTCTCTTAATCTTTTTTTTTCTTTTCTTTCACCTGCTTTGAATATTGTGGCATGAATTTGATTGTCTGGCCACACAAAACTGAGGAAACTTTTTCTTTTCTGTTTTAAGCGTTGCAGTTGCCAGTTTTACGCATATTTTGTTATGCACATGGAATTTCGGAACCTGAACTGCGGGTTGAACAATGCTTTAGTAGACCGATCTCGCCGAGCGTTCAACACGTGCGTAACGCTGCCATGACTCTAGTTTGCAGGACACTGGCAACAGTGCTAGAAGTGGCTCATGTCATCCCCACGTGCAGAGCAGTTGAAAAGGTCATGCACGTGCGAGATGACTAGTTCCACCAACGCATTACGGCAGCATAATCCGAACTGGCCGGTGATACGTGCCTATTAGCTTCTTTCATAGCCAAAACATACCGCAACATTGATCTATTCACCCAAACAATTGGCGATAGTTGCCCCTTTTGTCAGTTTTCCGACGTTTTGAAAGGAAGCCTTGGGACAGGTCCGCCGCCCCAGCTTTCTGCCGAGACTAACGTGAATTGTCTGAAGACGTATCAACCTTCATTATTGAAGCTTTCCGGATAAATTCGAATTGACAAAACATTTCCTGGCAATTGTTCCCCAGATTTTTGTCAGTCTTATCCTTTGAAATCGTCAGAGACGAAAAGTCTCCAAGGATTTAGTTACTTGGAGTTGTTTGTTCGAGTATGATAAGCAGAATCTCTCCATGCCTTCCCTGCAACTAAACAGGGCAAGGCCACCTCCAGCAAGGTCCTGGCTGTCTCCAAACCTGGCATACCGTCGATTCAGCTCGTGAGGCCCTCTACGAGCGAGCCTGGAACGGTGAGAAGCCATGCTCAATCATCCGGGATGTTTGTGGGGCTGCACCCAAAGAGTGTCGCGTCTTAAGGTCTATTCACTCGATGCATCTTGTTGGCGAATCTTGTGTCGCGAAACTAGGTTTCGCGAAGCAGATTGCCCGTGTGAACGCAACCGAAAAAGTGGCGCGCCTCTAGAAAAAAAGTGGCGAGTCTTCCTCACTTCTGGAGCAATTTTTTCCTGAAACCTCATCAAGGCCTGTCAATCACCCGAAGGAGAAACGCGGATGCTGCCAATGGGCCTCTCGACTTCGCTATGATGTCTGACCTTTGAGGCGGAGCGAGTTTTGGAGGAGTGATTTTTGGCCAATTCTGCATCCTGCATCCAATCCAAATAAAAAAAAGAAAAGCAAACATGGCGGCGAGCAACAAGCGGAAAAGCGGTTCGTTTGGGTGATGAGTGAACGACACTCTAGCAGTATGGGTTGGTGGCGCGGTGCAGATTCATCAACAGTCACGACGAGTGCAAGTACCGCATATATAAATATGATGACTGTGTATAACTTTCTTTTAGTGGTGCAAAAATATCAGAGATAATCCGCCAGTTCTTTCACATTCGCGGTCTTTTCCGGGTTTGGCAGGACTAGTAAACCCAGTGAGACTAATCTGGCTAAGATTATTGAGCGGCATTAATAAAGCAGACTGTCTCTTCCCACTGTGCGTACTTCATATCATTTTGATGCAAAACGCTTGATATTCCCGGTACAGATGACAAGGTTTGGCAGAATTCTCGTGAGTCCATATGTCGCAGATTTCGCGCGTCGAGCTCTACGTGGGAATAGGTCGATTTTGCGAAATCTCTGTTTCGCTAAACTCTGGCACGTTGCAAGGATGCGTCGTGTGAATAAGCCTTTAGGCATACAGGGATGAGCCACTAAAGACCCGATCCGGCGACCAGTAGACAGGTGCCATGCCAGGTTCATTCGCTGGCTGTACCCAACATTAATACTACAATGTGGCCCGAAGAAAGCAACAAAAAAAAACAATTTTACAGTGTTTTGTTGTTTTTTTTTTGCAAAAATAAAGTTTCCATTGCCTAACACTCAATCTCCATCCAAATGTAGGGGTAGTGGTCCGGACCAGGTGCAAAAGAATGGTTCATTCTGAAACTTTGGCATCTGGTTCGAACTTCTAGCGCTACATTTCAGTAGGAAACGAGCGTTCGACGATGCATACAGTGAAACCCGTTTAGAACGAAACCACGTACAGCGAATTATTGTCAATATTGAACTGACGGAAAATTTAAATAAAAAGGCATGTAAAAAGTACTTTTTATAATGAACAACGTTTATAACGAACAACTGTTCGTTATAAACGGGTTTGACTGTAGCTCATTTTTGCAATTCATAAAACCCAAAATTGTTGGGGCGGACGCCCCAAAGCGGGGCTTTACCAAATGGTGATTCAGATCCAGCAGCGTTTATTAGAATATGGGTTCTCTAGTTGTACGCCGCGGTCAACCGAGTGCGGGTGATACGCCCCCGATTTCCTGTCAGCCAGAGACAAAGTGAGTGTTGTCGGGGGAGGACAACTGTGGACATTGTTTGTCCATGGTATGTTGAAGGGTCCATGAAACAAATTTAGAACGCAGCTCTTTAGGCGCCCGTTTCGGGATTGAGTGCCGTCATCGTCAGCGTAACTGTGTGCGTTGCATTAGGGGGCGCTTTCCCGCTATGTTTAGCGGAGAAAATGACGTCATGACTTCGCGTCACGTCACCCATAACAAGTTCAGCGGCAGGAGGAGGGAAGGAAGAGGGGGGGGCATAGCCTCCCCTCCGTACCCTCCTCCTTCTCCTCAAGAGCTGCATTCTACTTTTGCATTACAGAGATTTCTCAACGTCTCACTTTTTCTACTTTCAATGATAACTACTCAGAATCACTTCCTAATGTTAATAACTGAATAAACATGCCTCAGTTTTTTCTTTCTAAGCAAAGGCAGTCAACAAATAAATTAGAGAAATATGAGCATGTTCATCCCCTCAACTCTGAGCCAGAACAAGCAGCCACGGAGCCCGATGCCTACCCTATGCCGCCAACACATAGCCACGCGCTGGGGTCGGCAAAGTAGAAAATGCGTGCTGAGCTCCTGGCTTTGCTAGAGTTCGGCTATTCTCATCACTGCAGTGGTTGGACACGGGGCATTACCCACGTGTCCGCCAAGGCATTGATTGCCACGAGCCAAAGTCGTGCTCGCGCAGTTCTTGTGTCCAATCCATGAGCCGCGCTTGACCGTCGTCGGACAGGTAGTTTTGATCCCACAATTACGTCATCAAGCTTTGCAAAGGCAAAACTGGAAGAAATAGTCACCTTTTATCCTCGCAGTTTCACCGCGACCAAGAAGCTTTTGAATAAGTGGCGGTCCGCGTGAGTATATTTGAGCCACACTAGGACCAGTACACCTCTGTAAGATCGTGAACTTTCCAACCCGATATTGTTTCACGACCCCTTTTAAGGGGGAACACTACTCCGGACGGCTGACTTTTGAACCGTTTGTCTTATTTGCATGAAATTCGTAGGGTGTACTCATAGCACTGGACAAGGATGCCGTGGAAATTTTCAATCCTATAAATTTATCCCACGATGAGTTACATAAAAGTTCATAATAAAAAAGTGTATCTGCTGAGGAAAGCTATCGTTTAGAAAGGTTAATGAAAATTGCCATTTTCTTTGCTGGAACATACAGCAGAATACTTGCTTCAGACGATTATGAAAAGAAATTTTAAAAATTATAAAATTTATTCACAAAAAAAAAAAATATGGAAAAAATTTTTTGTGTGTACATTTGATTAAAAGAAATATAAACTTTTCATAACAAAAGAGCAGAAAAATGCAGAAAGTAAGTTCACAGTCGTGTTCTCCAGAAAATTTCGATATAGAAAAACCAAAATATATCTGCACGCATAATTTGACTATGAAATGATGGCTTCCCTGAACTGATATTTGACACTGAAAAGTGAACCTGAGATAAATGCACTTGAAGTTTCGTGATGACATTTTTAAAATTTATTTTTGCTTCTTAAATGTCAGAAGTTCTTTCCACCATTGTAGGTGATGTCTTCCTCAAACGTCTTCTGATATACTGACATTGCTTTCAGCTATTTTCACTTGTGGATGACGAGTGCTACGCAGTGCAGCACACCTCACCAACATATAAAGAATAATATTTTGTGACATTGTTTGTTAGCGCACGTTGACAAGGCTTTGTGAGATTGTTCTTTGTCATCCATACATGCCAAAAGTTTGAAAGTTCTAAATATGCATTTTTTTAAAAAAAAGGTGCAATTCAAGGTAGTGTCCCCCCTTAAAAGCCAACCTCCCCGCCACTCGAAAGCAAGCTCCCTCACTCTGACCGGTTTTTCAGAAAAGGTAACTGGCCGATACGTGCACCAGCGTTGAAAGTTTTGTTTTCGTTACAGTTCGGTTCAAGTTTCAAATCTTCGTCCGTCTTTCCCTAACCGGACAAGTCTCTGTTGAAGATGTTTACGTTTGTGTTTGTTTGTTTATTTATTTACCTATTTATTTATTTGTTTATTTATTTTTATACTTCGAACGCTCGTTTGTGGGTGTTACACGAGGAAAGGTGTGAACTATAATTTGTCAGTTCTGTGAAGTATAACAAACAGTGAGAACAAAGCATGGCATGCACATAAAATCGAGAGGATAGCAGGTTTACAGCTAATTGCCCTTTCCTATGGTCCGCCCTCTCGCCTGAACCCCGAGCAGTCTCGCAAGCGGCTCCACAGCAAGAGCCCGGATGTGGCGCGCAAGAGGACCCCCAGCAACAGCTCGGATTCTGAACAGCAGCGTAAGCAGGGCCTGCTGAAGATGAAGACCGAAGCCATGAAGAGGTAAGGCTTCGTTTCCATGTGGCAAGCTTGATGCTAGTCACTTCTTCTCTGTGTGGGGCTGCGGTCTTCAGCGGCACATTTCCAAACTGCTGTTTACGATCGGCAAGGTCTGGCCCTGCCGTCTCTGCCGTGGTACTTCACACTATCTGCAGATTGGATAGGAGTACGCAATTGGGCTATTGCCTCGTGCTTCATGTTCCTGAAATTGGTGCTGTTACTGTTTGTGTGCTGTCACAGATTCTGTGTAAAGGAAAGTTGATCTCTTAGGTTTGTTATTTTTGATAGGTTGCTTTTTTTTTTTTTTTTATGCTTTATTTCTGTCAATTGTTGCGATTGAAAAATGTGGCAGAAACTTGTCCTCAAACAGACTTTTGGGTGTCCCCAGGAAGTTTTTTTGCGCTCACTGTATCCATCTTTTGCATCCATCTGTCTGCTAGGCCAGCCGAGATGTTACAAAATGTGGAAGCCCTTTCGGTATCATCTAAACAGAACTACAAATATAATAATGGGAGCCTGTAAAAGTTATTGGTCAAACAGTGCTGCATTCAGTGGGTTGCTGCATATAGTGTTCTCTCATGTTCTGCAACTGGAGATGTAAGGAGGTTGCAGAAAATTTTTATTCCCAGTAGTATGATCGCGTTCGACTGAAACAAAGTGTCATGAGGTGGCTTGATAGAGTGGCTCAATCAGGTGGAGCCCTAGTACCCTCCGTACCAACACTCCTCAGATTGCCAAAACTTTCCTGATCTGGTGGATTGTTTTTATTTGGCTAATACAACCTGATAGGTATTCATAGTTTCAGCAAACTAAAATTGCTGCATTGTCTGCTTCTTGATTTAATGGCGCGTTCACACTGGAAGCGGATCTGCGCATTCTCAACCGCCACACGGTTGGGGTTGAGCGCGTTTCTGCCAACAGCTTCGAGGCCCATTTGCCCCAACCACTATTGCGAAGCAGCAACCAATCACAACGCGACGCTGACGTGACGTTGGTGGCTTTCAAAACAAGATGGCATCTGTTGCTGGTGAGCCATCCAAGGTGCTGTAGTCCTAGCCCTGCAGCAGACAAATCAACGAAGAAATGTGATTTTCATGGCCGGCACTTGAATTTGCCACGAAAAGAACTGTCTCGTAATAATAACGGGCTTCGCTCCGATGATTTGGTTCAGGTAACAGTTTATTAATTTTTCGGGCTGCCAAAGCCCATGACTCACTCTTTGCCCGTAGAGCGTCGGAACCCACCCCTGGTCGACTTTTGTCAAACTTTTGTCCAGAGCAGTAAACGAAACATAAAGCTTTATTCTTCTTCAAACTACTTTCAAGCTATCCGAGTCATAAGCAGTCCAACTGTACATTGGGTGGCAGTAGCACAACACTACCAAACCGCAACCTGTCTTTCGATTTAAAACGCGTTCCATTTTGCTCGTGTGACCGGGAGGGAGGCAGGGGAGTGGGGGTGGGGGGTAGGGTAGAGGAGGGAACCGCGAGCCACACTGTAACATGTGAAGAGCCGCAGCTTGGCCACCCCTGCTCTATCCCATTAATCGAGAGTTTCTTTTTATGCGGCTCGCTTCTTTTTCTTTCTTTTTTTTTATTATTATTTTCATGTTTTGTTGCCAGCGCTCTGTGGAGGTCATGGCGAAGCGTAAACACAACGGTGTTTGTGATCTTCACCAGCTGAGCTCTATTGTATTTAGTGGCTCTTAAAGGCTCTATATTTGATAAGATCCCGTTTGTCGCGGCCTTCGGTATTAGCAGAGATGCACGAAGATTTCAACTGGAGCTTAAGGTAGCATATTTTTGTATATCAAATTATCGATATATCAGACTGTTTTACGATCCCCTTTGAATTCAATGTATTCGGGTTCGACTGTATAGTTCCCTGGAGATGTAGCGGAAAACAGCACTACCTGGGGTGCGGATGGTTTCGCGTTTAGGTATGAACTTTTAATGTGGAACCGCCACTACTTAGGGTGCCTTCATGTGCGCTTTGCTTAGGGTGGAGACATCTTGCCATTTTGTCCCACACTTTTATTTTTATTTTTTGTTTAGAAGCGCGTGAAAGGGCATGTCCCTGCACGCATTTGTGGCGCTGACTGTGCTATGGCGACATTTTGTTTTCGTCGATTTCTTTGTATTTTACCCTTGAGCGCGTGCTGTTGGCATTGGGTACTACAAAGGGCGGCATCACTCTAAACAGAAAGACATTGAGGCACCCTACCACTACTCATGTACAGGGGCAACCCTTAAAGGGATACTACAACGAAATTTCGGCGCTCATTTTTTGGCCTCTATGTGTTCAAAGGAGCAGTATCACACGGAACATACCAATTTCTTGTTAAGAAAGTCTCGAAAAGGAATTTTAAAACGAATTAAACAATTAGCAAAGAGGACCTGGTGGATGTCGCTAACGCCTCGTTTGTAATGCTCATCCAGGAACCTTGACAGCTAGTGACGGAGGTTGTCTCGTCTCCGGCCACGACGAGAGAAGAGGGGCAGGAGGAACTCCCCTCTTCCCGAGAATGCCTTTTGTGTGTCGCAGAAGTCGCTATTGTACCCCTAGAAGATTATAGGAGATTAACCCGTCACTCAAAATTCGTACAAAAGCAGCCGCTTCAGTGGCTGGAACGACTAGGCCATAAGGCGTCAGCCTCGCCGTAGCTTCGCTCGTCTTGAGACGACCTACGTCACGATTGCGTTGGATGTCATGTGCTCTAAGCTGGGCCTTCTCCGAGCGCTTGCCAGAGTAGGCCGTTTATAACGAAAAAGACAGCCACCAGGATCAAAATACAAACGTGCGATTGTCATTTACGGATATTGTGGATCATATTCAACCTATTTTTGAACACGACGGGAATATTTCAAATTTCGTTGAAGTATCCCTTTAAAGGGGCGGTGCAACGATTTTTAGACTTTGGCCAATTAACTGCGTAAATTAATCTGCATCGCCTATGGAACAAAGTGCAGAAAACCATATTTTCTTGCGAGCGCTAGTTTTTATTTTAAAAAAGAAACAAATTGAAGGTCAAAATGCCTCTCAACTCTCCACGTCGCCTTTCGATTGACATACTCTGGGGAATCATGTGGTTTCCCCTTGGATTCTCTCTTTCAGAGCTCCAGCTGCTTCCACAATTGTCGACTTTGAAAGGATTAGCGTCGTCGAAGGTCGCAGAGAGCGATCGACATTAAAGACGGTTAGCCACGGGGCTGACGGCGGGTGTAGCAGCAGAGGGGGACAGGTTTTGCTCACTTCCGCGTATCCCCCAGTGTACGTCACACATCAGTTCTGTTAACCACCACAAGCGGCTGCAGATCCGCAAATATTTTGTTTTCTTCTTTGCAATTACGCACCGGAATAGCAGTTTTTTGGAACAAGTTTCGGGGCGTTTTCGGTTCCTTGTGCTTGGATAAGCAATATAAAAAATACAAATTTCCAATTCTTTCATCATTAAAATCTTTGCACTACCCCTTTAAAAAGGCTAATAACCTCGGAGATATTGAGTGTCTCGGCGTCTGAAGGTCCGCCGGGAAGGCAGGGTAATGTTCCTCCTCTGGCTTTGCAGGGATCACGAGAAGAAGCTGGCACAGGTAAATGCAGCTCGCCAGCAGAGAGAGGCAAGGAAGCTGGAAGCGGATAGACTTCGAGCACTGAAGGAGCAAGAAAAGGAGGAGGAGCGGCGGAAGAAGCGGGCCGCCTTCCACCAGCGCAAACAGAGCGAGTGAGTGCCCTGCTGGCAAAGGCTGGCTTCTCCGCCTTCTCCTCTGGACACCGGTTGGCACAGCCTTTCAAAGCGTCCAACCCTCCAGGAGAACCTGGAGTTATTTATCGAGAACTTGAAAATGCACAGATGGACTGTACTTAGTGTCGTCTTACGATGGACCGTAGTGGATGCTACGAGCCATCCCGGCCAATCCAGCGCTGTGAAGATATCACGTAACCGGGTGCCCCTCCCGAAGGTCACGCAGCACTCAATCAGCATTGGATTGGCTGGGATGGCTCCTAGCGTCCGCTGCGGTCTGTCGTAAGGTGGCATGGAGTATAGACAAAGTTGAGGAGAGCCACACAGGACAGCCGCTATTCCCATCCTCTGAGATTCTCTTTATAGCGCCTTTCCTGCGTGAGTCCCTTTGACTGTTGTCTCTTTGACTTTGAGCAGCTTACAACAGGTGGCATTTTCACCCCAAGTGTGCCACCTGTCGCAGCCAGTCTGGCTGTCACCTCTCTGTTGGTAACAAGTTCACTTTGAGGGGGCCGCCTGTTTGTGCAACATCGTAGAGCGTCGAATCTTTTGGTGTCCCAAATGTCCCCTATTGACTGCCTTCCCCTTACAAGTGTAGTTGCACTTGCTTGCCACATAGAGCTTGCATCTTATGATTGGCAACAGTGTCGGTCGAACTGGTTCTTGGTGACCTTCTTGAGCCACTCGTGAACTCGCTTATTCGCCAGATCTTTGTTTGTGTTGCTCGTACGCAGTCAAGTAATTGCATGCACGTTTCAGTCGCAGCTTGGACGTCGCAACGCTGGCAGCCACGCACAAGCGGAAAGCGGAGTCTCCCGCCATGAGCCTCCGTCCCAAGTTTCTGTCCCCTGTGAGCTACTCAAATATTGCTTGTCTGCATCGTGCTTGGGAATCTCCTGACACGGGTACTCTACTTTTCAGGCGCCAAAGAACCCCAGAAATCACGGCAAACAGGATGCAGATGCAGCCATGGTTTGTTTGTTTGTCAGTCGAGTCGCATTCGTCGAGACTCCTTGGTCTTGTTGCACAAAGTGCAGAGAGGAATCCTTGCATTCCCGCAGCTCGTCTTCGGCCAGCCAAACACGAGCCTGTCTCAGAAGGCGAAGCTGAACAACAGTCTTCAGCAGCAGGCAATGCTGAACAGCCTGTCGAAGAGCTTCAAGAGCCAGGCGTCATCTGTTGAGGGGGACTCGGCCCCCAAGGCACCCGTCGGCGCGCCAGCGGGCGAGAGCAAACCTAATGCGGCTGCAGACTCTACATTCACAATGAACTCTACGTTCACCGTGGAGGCTGTCTGCCCTGACACACCCGTACAAAGCAACTCCACCAGGCCAAAGTCTGCAGCAACCAGGTGCTTTCGTTGTTCACTTTTTTTTACTTCCATACACTTTGTTACATTGCTGTGGCAGTAGAACCTGATTTGCATACTTTGCGGATCTGTGTCATCGCTGCACTCGCTTAAACAAGCGATTGCAGCGATGCGATAGTTACAGCAATGTGTTTGCCCCGCTATATTTTGCCAAAATATGAATTTCGGCCAACATAGTGCCAAAATATAGTTTCACTTTACTATTACTGAAAGTAGGATAGCTTGGGCCCCGCTAGATGGCTGAATCGTTGCAGCGAGCTCGTGCGAAAGTTTTGAACTTTCGGCTGTCTCCTGAATTGATGTATTGCTCGATTTAATCTCTGTATCGAACGCCGACGTCGCTCGTAAATCTCGCAATATTTCTCGTGTTCGTGGTCTGCTCAGACAGCTTAGCTTTGAGTGCGCCCCTCACCACGCTTTAGCGCACTGCAGTGAAGCGAGGAGTGTAAAGTAGGCATCGCGATTTTGCATGCCTACTTTACATTATATTATTGTATGCCTAGTCGGCTTTGCCGTATCACACATGCCTGCCAAGAGGAAAGCCCTCCTTCAAAGTGAGATGCCACGCAGGCTGGCATTGAATATATGACGAAAAAGAAAAAAGGAGGAGGAGCAAATTTTGTGAGTACGTATATATGTAACAACTCTCTCTTTCAGTAAAAATTTTTGAATAGAACTGTAGCTTATGTGTATGATAGACAGCAAACCTTTTTCTGGCGATTTTTTTTTAATTTGAGATTTATCAAGTATACTTGAGCATGGTCAGGTTTATATGGACTGTTCTTTAGGTCTTCACTCGTTTCGTTTTCAGCTTTACATACATAGGTCCCGTCTGTGCGACGACATACCCTATTTACTCGAGTAATAGCCGCATTGTTTATGAAGAAAACCTGAGGGTTCGCTTTTCCGCGGATTGCCAATCACCGCGATTGACAGCATGATTCCAGCTGCTTACAGGACAGATATAACATCTTCGCTCGAAGGTACCATCTATGAAGATTCCATTTGTATGGAGAATCGTGTTCTCGATATGGTTATTCGCTATGTTATTTATGCGCAACACGGCAATTGGCTGTATATGTGCTTTGCGGGAAAGTAGAAGCAAGGGCCTTATTCATAAATAGTGTGGCTATTACTCGAGTAAATACGGTAGTGAATAAAGTGGAATCTCATTAATTTAAACCTGAGGGGTACCAAAACTTCATTTGAATAATGCAAAGATTGAATTGTCAGAATTTTCCTTCCTGGAAGCACATATAACGGGACCTACATGTTAGTTTGAATTGTTTGCTAGTTTGAATTAACGAGATTTCACTTAGTATAAATTAAAACTAAATTAGCTGGGGCACTTGGTGGAAGCTTTCGAATGACTTCAATGAACATCTTTATTGTTCCCATGCCAGTTTTTGTAATCGTAAAGTTTTACACAATGTTGCTGATCATGACCAAATGGCAAAAGCTTCGCTTTTATCTTAAGTATGGCAGTTTAATTCCAAACATGGCAGTTTGTTAGGCTTCCTGGGGTTCTGTGGGATCAAAAAGTATCAGAATCCCTGCGGTAAATGGTTGTGATTGAGCTGGCAGTCTCTCCCCCTTCTAAACACATTTATTTTATTTTTATTACAAATGGGGAGATTTGTAACAGGAACATGGAAATCCTTCCTACTAAAAAAAAAAGGGGGGGCGATTTTATTTTTTTATTTGGTGTCAGTAACAGTTTGCTATATACTATAGTGCAACCCACTTATAACGATACCAGATGTAACAATGCACTGCTTATAATGATCAGTTTCTGGAGTTCCTAGATTGGAAATGATCAGTTTCTGGTCCAGATACGATAATCGGCTATAACGATTGAAGTTTCGGGTTTTCTCTTTATCGTTAATCGTTAAAGTGGATTGCATTGTACTCCGTTTCTCCTTGCGGCGGACCGCAGCGGACGCTACGAGTCATTCCAGCTAATCCAGCGCTGCGGATGTACCGCACGACTATGCACATCGTTGCACCTCTCTTGAAAGTCGCGGGGCACCGCCACGTGTGCGGCGTTGGGTTGGCTTCGACGACTCCTAGTGTCCACTGTAGTCAGTCGCGATTGGGAACGAGGCGTGTAGTCGCCGGCAAAGTGAGAAGGGCAGGGCGTGCAAGGCGCCAAAGCGTCGTCGAAGGCAGGATTGCTAGTGTTGGAGACGGGACAACCGAAACTCCTCTCTGCCATTCTCATTCTGTCGGTGGCCGTAGCCTCTCGCTTCTCCAGAGGGCGGTCTCGGCGACGAGCTCCTTGGGGGACCAGTGAAGCAGCGACCTACGTTCTGCGAAGACGCTTTGCTCGCAGATGTTGGTAAAACCAAATGTGGGCTGCTGGCCATCCTAGGTGTGTGGCGTAGTGATAAAAGGAACTGGGTGGTACTCGTGATTAGACTTGTTCTGCCTTGTTCTAAATTTTTTTTTTTTGTGTGTGTGTGTGTGTTTTGCAATTTGTGATTAGCTATGACATCACGCCCCATCGCAGCGAGCTTCCTCCAGCACCGAACAAGCATCCAGACAACTACGACATAGAGGACCTCGATTCCGGGGACGAGACAGACGACGACAGCGAGCCGCACAAGGAAGTGCCAGCCTGGGCAACATGTAAGCACGCTGTTCTGGTCCAGTTTCGTCTGGCACCTTCGCGGTTGAGTGCCAGACTTTAGCTGTGCCATAAATATCTTTTCTTTGTTCCTTTTTTTTTTTTATTGTGTTAAATCTGAGTAAACAGACTTAAACAATATAATCTGAAGTAAGAAAAAACAAATTTGGTTAGGTGGCACAAGTCACCAACCAACTGCCGCTATGCATCCATTCTTCCGTCCATCAGTCCTGTTTTAGGGAGCCTAGATTTAAAAGAGGGAGCAAGCGAAACTGAAACTACGGAGACGGCTCCAGTGCAGATTGGTCGTAAGTGCGCATGTGTTGTGTAGTCGCGTGAAAAAAACGGAAGAGCGACGACGCATGCCCGTCTTTTCATCACCTTCTCGCAGTTCGTGATTCAAACGCGGCTATCGAACGGTTGGAAACCCTCTCAAATCTAGGCACACTATTTTTACGTTCCGTTTCGTTCCGAATTGGAATTTGCGGCTTGCGGTTCCGAAAGAACGACGACGACAACTCGGCCGGTTTCATTGGCGCTGTTAACATGGTTTTCTTTTTGTGATCTTACAGTTGCTGATTTCTGTGAGTGTGGCAAGTGTTTTACATCAGTGCTTCAATTTGAAAGCAGGGGCTTTACTCCTGAAATGAACTAGGCATGGCACAGAATTTCAAAAAATCTCAACAATTCCTCTGTGGAAGCAGCACAAACGGGATGTTTCGGTTGGGATTCAAGGTTAGATTGCGTCACGGTCATGAGTAAATCTGCGTGCTATAAAGTTTGTGGTGTTCGTTACTTTTCATTTTTCTAACCTGTGCGTTAGATTTTTGTGGAATGGTAGGACCAAGGTGTCTTTCTCGCATGGTCTGCCGAACATCACGGCGCTAACATCGGGAGAAAAAACTGATCTTTTGTCAGCTCCGCGCCGACCGCACGTTTTTGGCCGAATATATTGAATATTCGAGTTACCAAATACTAGGAATTCGATTCGCGAGTCGAATTATTCGGGGACTTTCTGTTCGATTCAAATTCGAGTATTCGCACACCCCTAGTTTTGGGGGTTGTTTCCAGGGCTTTGTCATCGCAAAATGTTGTAATGAAGTTTTGATAACATGGCTAGTTGTTTCTGCAAAAAACTGTCTCTCGGCGGGAATCGAACCGGTGACCGCTCGCTCCGTCCCCAGTTTTCCCCAGTGCTAGCAAAGTGGTGGCTCCTTTTTTTACTGAAAATGCTTATTTGCACATTTGTGTACAGGATTACAATATTGAAAAATATGTACTGTAGGGAGCTGATATGATACCCATGCGGTGAGCGCGCGCTTTTTTTCTCGACTGCCGTCCCCTCGTTTGCTAGCTCCAACATGATGCGCTCCTGACCGACTTTAAAGGGAAACTCCAGTCAATATTTATTAGTTTGGAATTATGACTGTTTTTAGCTAGAGCTGTGTCCCTGAAGTACAAGGTATGATTATGTTTCGACATTGTGTGTAGTTTTATAAATATCATGGCTCAAAGTTTGGTTTCGAGTGTCTACGGAAAAACCGAAACTATCTGCTAAAAGGATCGCAACACTGATCATCGGCCATACGGCCGTGACGTGACGTCACAAAGGTGCTGGGGTACAAGCAGTCAACCGCAACTTCACCACTATATGACATCACAAGGGTACTGCACCAGTGTTCCTTGACTCAAAGCTAACACGCTTGCCACCCGCTAAAGAGTTGCTGGTCGCATCTTTAAAATCGGTTTTAGTGGAGTATGTGGCTTCATTTTAGTGTAATACTTTGGCTGTGATCATATTTCGTGCCACTAAAGTGATGCCAGTCATTTACTTTAGTTTCATTTTTGACCAAAGTTGCCCTTTAAAACGCCGAAAGGTGCTGCTCTGGCAGTCGCGATTACAGGATCTTTTCTCATCGCCCTGAACGAATGTTCTGGCTCGCGTGGTCTCTGGCCTGAACCGTTCTTGCAACTCTTTCGCACTATCGACTCAGCAACGAATTAATCGTTTTCATCTTTTAGTTATTTCTTAATGCTTCCTATCCACAGTAGATCTGTCCAATTTCACCGGCCGAAACAGTGACCGTTTCCTTCCAAGTGATCAAGCATTATGATGCGCATGCGGTAAAGTGCCGAATAATGAGTGGAGAAGACTGCGTCGGATAAGCACAAAATATTTATTCGAACCACAAATAACTGCATTAGAAATTATGTTTTTTAATGCGCCACCAAGTCGGTTGCACAAGAGTCGCGAGAACGGCCCGGGTCTAACGACAAGCAAGCTCAGCCACTTGTCCAGAGCAATGAGCGAAAGTCGTGCGATTGCACCTGCCAGAGCGGCTCTATCGCGGTTTAATTTGGTCGAGAGCACATCGCACTAAAGCGAGCTAACGAGAGGGACAGCAGACAAGAACGGACCTGTGTGCGTGTCTCGGCAGCAGGCGCCACGCCGTCGGGGTGCATGAAGGTGCAATTAGGTCGGCGCTCCCATGTTATCCAGACTTTTGTTCCCGACAATAGGTATGGGTGTTTCTAACATGTTCAACGAGTGCAGTGAAGAAAAGACAAAGGCGACTAGCTTTAGGTCTACCCACTAATAATTCTAGACCGAGCTCGGCATTCCGACGTGCCCGCACGCTCGTCTCCTTTCCCTCAGTTTCTCGGCGCGACGTTGACAGTATTGCAAGAAATTTATCCCGCGAATATCTTCAAGCCCATGGTAACGAACACATTGTGCATTGCTCTAAATCGAACAATTCTGTGCCCGCATAATATTTCCAAAACTTGCACTACGCAAGATTTGCGAAACCTTGAGCCCGCGAAAAATAAACTCATTTACGGTATTTGAAGAGCAGCGAAGCCTCCCTCTAATCACCTGCCTGCTTTGTTCTTTGCTCTGCAGCTGTCCCACTGTTCAGGATGGTAACGGCGCAGCACCGAGCTCGCCCGGCCGGTTCTCGTATGTTCGGACAAATCGAGAACTTGAACCTTGACAATGTGTTCTCTGTGTCGAAGAAGTACTTCCACAAGAGGACAAGCTCTGCCATCTGGGCCACCAAGGGGCATTAACAGTCCTTCTCTGTTGCCACTTGAGGCAACGTGTATAAAAGTGTGACATTGTGCTCTGTACTCTTAAAAAAAAAAACTGAAAAGAGAAAGAATAAGTTTTTTTAACACTCTGGTTGGGACACGCGTGTCAAGAAATAAATAATGCGCAAAGGAAAAAAAAAAAACATTTTAGAGCAATATTGACGGCGGAAAATTTATTTGAAATTCTGCACACGAAGTACTTGACGTCGGCAGTCATTCCGAAATGACCATCTCGTTTGTGAAAGCGAAGCCGGTCCACCTCTCCTCCACGCGCCCAATATGCCGAAAGAGAAAACAAGTGGAAAGGAGGTGACTGCCAACTAAATCGCGTCTCGCGCCGTCAATATTGCTCTAAAAAATTACTTTTACGCGTAAAATTTATTTTTTGACACGCGTGTCCCAACCAAACTGTTTAAAAAAAAAAAAAACATTTCTTTTCTTTTCAGGTGTCCTTTAAACCGCTTTTATTATTGTGCGTCCATCTTTTTTACCTTATGAACAATTAAAGGCTGCCTTAGCACCTCCTTTATACTATTTTATACTTCTGATTCAGAAATATATGCGTTGAAATTTTTTTTTTTTTTTTTTCGCTTGTATGTTTCTGAAGTCTCGATGCAGTGCTTGTAGCTAGATGGCAATAATAAAGCATAAAGTTAGATGCTTTAACTAAGCTGGTGGAGCATTACCTGTAACCAGGGATTTAAAGTGTGTTTGAAGGAACCTTTATTTGAGAGGGTGGAAAGTGACTAGGGCAGTCTCTATCCGTTCAAGGTGGAGCATGAACAGACGGAACCAGAGCTTGATCCGGTTTGGAGGCCGAAGGCAACAAATTAATCTTTGCCTTCCCAGTGTGTGTATGCAGAAGTGTAATGTTTGTGCAAATAATTTGTGGATTTCTCGGACTATGAAGCAAATGGATCATGTTAGCCATAAGGTGACGAATTTTTAAAAGCCACTTTAGGGCACCTCTAAATTCTGAACTGTTCCAAGAGTGTGTTGAACACGTGTTGACTGCCTTAAACGAGTCAAAATGGTGAGGCCTTCCTTGTAGACATTGGCAATCTGTTGCAACTCCACCTTCCAAATTGTGGCATCGGCTACAAGCACCACATTTGTACCACAAATGCAGGAAGTGTTCAAAGGTGCATTTGTCGGTTGCTTCAAATGCTGTAAAATATTACCTATCACCTCAAGGGGGCAGTCAACAGAACACTTTTGCTTCGGATTGTGTCTGGTTTTAGTCGGGCATTTTAGGCCTTGTCAAACGCTAAACAAATGCTCTTTTTTTTTTTTTTTTTTACGTGGGTTTGTTGGATTTAGTGGTACTATCTTTGCACGCTGTCACAGATTCGCTTTGTGTGGCAGATGAGGATGTCTGTCCTGACATCGCATTGGACAAAAGTTGGCTTAAGCAACAAGCATTCCTATATTTATGTGGGCTGTGACATGGGTTCTCTAAAGCAGAAAACTAAGGACCTTTGACAAACCAAATCCCCTCACCTGTTACTTTCACTAAGGACTTGTGAATGGGGCCAATGCAGTTCATAAACTTGTGTATCCTTGTAAGAATGGCTTTTGTCTGTTTCATAACGTCTAAGGCCTTCTGGTTCATAGAATGGCACCGACCCCCAGAGAGTACTTGACTTGCAAAGTCAACAGTGATGGAAATGCTGTGCCATTTGTGCCAAATTGCACCATGAACGAAAGTCTGCTACATCTTGGGCCAAAGTACCATTTTTGCCAAGATTTCTGCCACACCTGTGCCAAGATTATTTTTGATTATATTTAATTTTTTATCAAACCAAAGATTCAGAGAAGCAGAAGGAAAGAAAAATTGTACAAATATGAATTTCACAGCATCTCTACTCACTGCAATCCAAAATAGTTGGATTGCTGAGTGCGGCTACTGTGATAAAACGGAACCAGGTCTATTACTCCTGATAAGATCACCTGATTATCGTGTCTGCCGCATGCCCCTCTTCCGTGGCTGCAGAGTAACGTGGCACTAGATCTGCTCGCGTCGACCTTTACCACCTTTCGCCAGCTTGCGTGTGCCGAGCTACACCTTCACTTTGCATCGAAATGCTAGGAGCATTGGCTGACCCACGGGTGCACCTGGTGTAGTGCAATAGGCACGCGAATTATGCTCAGGATTATTACAGGTCGACCTTCTCTCTCTTAATTGTAAGTTAATCTCTAATTTAAAACAAGAAACTGATCTGAAAGGAGACGCAAGTCTGTATATATTTGAATAAATACGGTAGTCTCAGTAGTTCCCGTGCAGCTGTTGATTGAAAGAGCAGCAAACTTTGGTGCAACTCTGATTCCTACTAGGGGTGTCGCGAATCTGCCCGGGTTAGAATTCGACCAAGTTCAACTTTTTCTAACTCAACGTGATGTTCGACTGAAGTTCAACTTTTGTGCACATGCGTGAAAATGAGAAAACCAGTCAATTCCACCTGGCAGAGGTAAAGCACAATATTTGTTGAGTGTATTGGCATCACTGGTTCACAAAATTAACGAAAGCATTAAAAGCATATAATTTTGCTTTTATATAGTGTGAACATTGCTAACCATTTTACAAAAATAAACTACTTTCTAATTCATTTGTTTTCTAGAATTCAAAATAATTGCGTAAGAGCCGGGCAGCACTGCCCACAAGTTGAACTTCTTCGAACTTTAATGAAAGGTCGAAGGTACGGCAAACCAATCGAACCTTGAGGTTCGACAAAAGTTTGCGACACCCCTAGTTCCTATGCCGCTGAAGAGCAGTGTTGCCTTTCAAAGCACAAGTGTGGGCTTTTATAATATTTTTAAGCGGTTTTTGCAGTTTATGATATTAATCTTGAGTTTTGTAGGTTCATTAAACTTACGGGACATTTTTATTGGTAGATGTGTTAGCGGATGTGCTGGTTCTTGCTGGCATTTTACAGAAATCATATTTACAGGCTAAACAAACTACAGAGTGTAAAATGGGGAGAGGAGAGAGGATTTATCTCAATGAAGTGTTGTGCTATGATTCACTTTTCAATTATTTTTTAATACCCATTGTAAATGAAACCCCTGAGTAGAGCCTTGTTAAGGCGAAAGCCTTGTATGTCTCATTGTTCAGTCGACCTTCAAAATCCTTGAGCGAAAACACGTCGGCGACACGAAGGGTACCAAAAAGTTTACGTGACCACTCAGGCAAAATGAAATCATTTAGAGATACAATCACTTTTTCATTCTCAGGTGATGTGCTAACAGATGTTGGCATCTGCTCCAAAAATATCAGTGGCTACTCAAAACCAATATTTTACCTTCTACAGAACCTGCTACAAATAGTCAAATGCCACTTCCATCACTGGGTCAAGTCTAGTCTGTTGATATAACCTCACAAGTCCCAAGTGCTGAATGCTGGCTGCTGCGATTGCTCTCTACCCTTGATGTGCACCTTACCTTTTGTTGGCTTGTCACTAATCTTGTATAGGCACAAGATGGTTCAACCTGTGAAGTTGTAGAGTGGTGTACCAGCTGAAAGGTTTGTCCACAGAGTAGCTGGAGTTCAGCTTCCTCTGTTTGCTAAAAAAAACTTAAGAAAAGGCTGGTGAAAATTTCTTTCTCAAGTGTGGTTGCTAATGAAAAAAAAAAATTGACAACTAGTACACATTAAAAAAAATTTTTTTTAAATATATATGTAGGGTGTTTGAAATAACCAGGCCCGATTTAGAATGGGCCGTAGAAGCCGGCGCCTGCACATAGAATTCTAACCTTTTTGTTAAAGGCGTATTTCACACGTCGGTTTTATCTTGTAAAATTACAAAGTGAAGCTTCCTTTCTGTAAAAAAAATGGGACAAAAACCTTGCCAGGGTCGACGGCGATGCAGACGAACGAGTCAAGTGGCAATGCGCATTTGGCACACGTATTGATAGATGGCGCTAGCCCCTTATCAAGACTGCTTGCAACGACTGTAGTCTATTAAAATTAACAATCTTTTTGCAATGTACAGTCCCCTTCAATATGAAAGAGCCATTTGCATATTCAGTTTATATGTTGGTTTTAAGCCCACACATGCCAGACACACGAGTTTGAGAAGGGAAAAGAACAAAGATTAATTTTTTTGTACTAAGAAATGTCCTTGTCAAAGCAAATTTGGCAGATCCACCTTAAAATGCATTCTCTAGAGGTTCTTTCATACTGCAGCGAGGTGTACCTTTGGTTTAAAAATAGACGTGAACATGAGTGCAAAACTGAAGTAAAAAGAATTTTTAAAAATGGCAGTTGCATAAATGCGACGCTCTTGCTGTCGACAGACTTCGTCTGCGCGTCCTCTGCAAATTTATTTCGCTAGTCTGCTCCACCTTGCTACGTAAAGCCCCTCGATGTGTTTCCATTTGTTGTTCAAGTAGCAACAAATGCGCCTGTGCACAAAGCCCATGTCTCGAGCGACCCAGAAACAAATGGCGGTGGAGCACCGCCATTTGGCGGTGCTCCACCGCCAAATGGTTGTAAAAAGGTTTGTACTTGTAAAAAAAGTGAAAGATGTTTACAATTCTCTGTAATGCCGAATTAGAGCACAGCTCTTGAGGAGGAGAAGGGAAGGGTATGGAGAATTTCCCGGGAAATTGTGGGACAGTTTCCCCGCAAAGTTTAGCGGGAAAAGTTTTCAGCTAAATTTGGCAAAAAGATTTCACCGCTAAATTCAGCGGAAAAAATTAACAAAAATATTTTCCTGCTAAATTTAGAGGAAAAAATTGCCCACTAAATTTGGTGGAAAAATTTCCCCGCTCAATTTAGCGAAAAAAATTCCCCGCTAAATTTAGCAGGAAAATTTTCCGCTTCATTTTCCCACTATATTTAGCGGAAAAATTCTCCACAAAATTTAGGCGCCCTGTGACGTCACACACGTGACTTCACTCGTGACCTTCATGACATCCCTCGTGACGTCACGTGTGACATCTTAATGGGAAACTTCCCATAATGCAATGTGCGGTTACGCCAACTGCGATGCCACTCAAGCCGTAAACCGGTGCCCAAGAGCTGTGCTCTGAAACGCCTTTTCAAGGGGCTTTATTCCAACGCTGCTCCCGACGCCATCTATCAATATGTGCGCCAAACGCACCCTGCCACTCGACTCTGTCTGTGCCGCCGTCTGCTGTTGACCCTGGCAAGTTTTCAGAGTGCAGCTCTTGGGCGCCCGTTTCCGGGTTGAGTGGCGTCGCCGTCGCTGTGGGCGTAATTGTGCGTTGCGTTATGGGACATTTCCCATAATGACGTCACGAGGGTGAAGGTTTCCCCGCTAAATTTAGCGGAAAAATTTCCCACCAAATTTAGCGGGAAAGTTTTATCCTTGTGATGTCACTCAACTTGGGAAAATTTTCCCACTAAATATAGTGGGAAAATTGACGTCGCATGGACCTCAACACAAATTCAGTTTCTCCGCTAAATTTTCACTAAATTTAGTGGGAAATTTAGCGAAAATTTCTTCCTAAATGGGAGGGGAACAGGAGAGGAGAAGGGAGAGCAGGAACATGCCCTCCCCTCCTCCTCCTCAAGAGCTGCGCGCAGAGAATTGTGAACGTCTTTCATTTGAAAGTCCAGCTTTTAGGCGCCCGTTTCCGGCTTGAGTGGCTTCGGCGTTGGCGTAACCGCACGGTGCATTATGGGACGTTTCCCATGATGACGTCACACGGAGCGTCAGGTGTGACATCACAAGGGGCAGATATGACGTCACCCTCGTGACATCGCACGGCACCTAAATTTGGCGGTAAACTTTTCTGCTAAATATAGCGGGAAAATTTTATTTTTGCGGTGCAGAAAACAGCTTTTAGTTTTCTCGCGGACACCCTCAGCATGGAGCTTTGAAGAATGACTGCAAAGTGAAGAAGCGGTCGCCTGAAAAGTTTGTGCTGAATGTCTTCTTTTTTTATGGTTAGGATTAAGTGGGTTCCAAAGATGCGCGAGTCTGACTTGCTCCTTTAAAAACCTTGTTTTGTCGTCAAGATTTATTAACATTTAGATTAGAAACAGTAGGCAAATCTACAACTCCTGCAAAGGAGATGTCGCCTTTTTTTTCTTAATCTGCAGCTCTCTGAAAATCGCCTAACCAAATTTGCGTACCCGTTAAACCGGTCAAACCTCGGACACCTTGTTTCGACAAAAGTTTACGGCATCTCCCACCACTGTACCCAATACCCCTACGTGACCATACGCTGGGTTAGTGTGCGTAGATTTTAGCGTCTCCAACACGTGTCCAACTTCTGTGAGTCATGTGGAGGAGGCGAAAGCGTCCATATCCTCTACAAATACCTCCGGGTTTTGCTCAGTCTCTCTGCCCGCGTGTCCTCGCCACGCGGTAACCTATCTGCACAGGATTGGTTGCTCATGCAAATCGAAAAATGCCCGTCATTAAATTGCAAAAACTACAAGGCGTCCCCGGAAAAAAATTTACAATGTCTTTTTCACCCCAGAAATTAACTACTCGTCGCCGAACTCTCGTTCTCCGCCTGAAGGTTGTGCTAAAGGTCCGAACCAGATAGAGTTCTTTAGAGATCCTGTATAGGCTACCTATGAGAGCCTATATAGGAACTCTAGAACCAGAATTTATGTTTTAAAAGTAGTGCAATGTTTTGGTGTGCTAGCAATGTGCATCGACGCACGAGGCACATGCAATGTGCAGCCTTTGGGAAGATCATGACGGCACAGCGCAGCACTGAGCTAGATTTGAAACGCCATGTTCTTCTCAGAAGTGGTGTGCGGCACGTGTCTCGAGTATTTCCACAACAATGAATGGCGCCACTTTTCCCAGATGCCAAAGTTTCAGCGCAAACCAATACTTATTCAAAAGTTATAAATGATTTTCTGAAAATGTCAATGGGAAAATGGTGGCCAACAGAGCTCTCGAATACATATTCCGTCAACGGGCAAAAACGGTCCCCATTTTCCCATTGAAATTTTTAGAAATCTCATAACTTTTGAATATAATATTGAATATAAAATCTGGTTCTACAGCTCTGTCTGGTTTGGCTTTATCTGGTTCTAGAGTTCCCGTATAGGCTCCCTACAGGAGCCAGAGTTGCGCGTCTGTTTTCCACGTTCCGCCTAGGGTGACCATCCGTCCCGCGACTCGCGGGACTGTCCCGCATTGAGGGCTCGTGTCCCGCGTCCCGCAAGAAATTCCCAAATCTTCATAATGTCCCGCATTTCACATTGTCGTAACATTCACTGCGCAAATTATGGCGCTTCCGAACAGCGGGCAAAGGGGAACTGCGGGGGTCGCTGATAAATGTGTGAATCTCGATGGTATGTTATTTTCTTGCCAAGCACTGCGGGAAGCAACCGTCGTTCTTGCAGGAGACTGACGCGCATGCGCCGTTGTGCCTCTCCCCTTGATCGTTTCCGCAGCCCGCTAAGCACCCGGATAGCACTCTGTAATCCGCCACAAGACCCTGAACAATGCAGATAAGGCTGGTGGCGCGCATGCGTAGGTAAGGCTTTTTCTTCAGGGATAGCGTAGCGGAGGAGAAAAACGGTCTACTACAATTCCCTAATAAAGGCGAAAAGGCAGAGAGGTCGGAGGATTCGTGTACCCGCCAAACGTGCATGGAAGCATTTCTGCGTGGAAAGAAGCAAGCCGATTGGAACGTCTGACTGGGAGCAGTGTTTTATGTGCGGGTACGACGCCGTGAAACTACTTTTCATCGTTTGCGCGAAAGCTGCCATCGAAGTTCGCGGTGTGTTCCGACCTCCGACTTTGAGGGAGCGATCATTCCCATTGTGTTGTGTAGTCTTTGTGCGCACTCACCACTGTGGAATACAACAGTTCTCCATCGAAAACACTCTCGCACAAGTTGCGTGCAGTGTTAAAGGGATACTTCAACGAAATTTGAAATATTCCCGTCGTGTTCAAAAATAGGTTGAATATGATCCACAATATCCGTAAATGACAATCGCACGTTTGTATTTTGATCCTGGTGGCTGTATTTTTCGTTATAAACGGCCCACTCTGGCAATCGCTCGGAGAAGGCCCAGCTTAGAGCACGTGACATCTAACGCAATCGCGACGTAGGTCGTCTCAAGACGAGCAAAGCTACGGCGAGGCTGACGTCGAGAGGATGGCCTAGTCGTTTCAGCCACCGAAGCGGCTGCTTTTGTACGAATTTTGAGTGACGGGTTAATCTTCTATAATCTTCTAGGGGGACAATAGCGACTTCTGCGACACACAAAAGGGATTCTCGGGAAGAGGGGAGTTCCTCCTTCCCCCCTTCTCTCGTCGTGGCGGAGACGAGACAACCTCCGTCACTAGCTGTCAAGGTTCCTAGACGAGCATTACAAACGAGGCGTTAGCGACATCCACCAGGTGCTCTTTGCTAATCGTTCAATTCGTTTTAAAATTCCTTTTCGAGACTTCTTTAACAAGATATTGGTATGTTCGATGTGATACTGCTCTTTTGAACACATATAGACCGAAAAATGAGCGCCGAAATTTCGTTGTAGTATCCCTTTAAAGGTACGTACGCGTAGGCTTTGGGACGCGCCGGCGTAGCACCGTGCTTTGTTTGCACAAAAACGCGGCAAAAGAGCACCTTCTAAAACTGCCCGTTCGAGTCCGTGCCTTTCGCCAATGCTGCATATAACCGGAGTGAGTGTAAACGTATATTCAATCATCACCGTTGTCCATTCAGTGAAGACGGTTGCCTCCCACCGTATCAAGGCAACAACAATCGTGCGAAGCAGACGAATAAAAAAAATTCTGCGTTCTCTCGACAAACGCGAGATTCCCCGAGAAGACGCCGCCGTCGGATGACCCTGTGTGACCACCGTGTGACCAGTGTGACTGCTTCGTATTTTACGACGCCGGCGTCTACGTCGACCGTAACGCGCGTTTTCGCGAGAAGGAGCTTTCGGCCCAACTGGGCCCAACGGTTCGGCCACGCCTAGTTTATTTTTGCGGTGAAAAAAAAAAAAAAAAAAAGCCTGCAATTTTCATTTTTAATTTTTCTTAAACACCCTTCGGAGGGGTTTAGTGGTTTAGTTGCTCCGTCTCTAAAATCCAGTCTTCATGTGCCGTGGGTGCCGTGCCGCGGAGTGACTTTCTCAGTTTCTTCAACGCCGCTAGGGGGACAAGTCTGACAAGTTTTTTTTTTTTTTCTTTCACATCAGACACAGCGCCGGGAAGTACGCCGTCGGCGCATATTTTGTCGTCGTCTTCTATCGTTTCTTCGTTCTCGTGAAGAAATGGAGTCTCTGTTCGCGACCGCCGAGAGACTGTCTGTGTCCACCCCGGGAAAAATAAAAGTGAGTTTCCGCACGGTTTCTCGCTTTTTTTGCGACGCAACGTAGTCGTCGGAAGCCTGTACTTTGTGCTACCAAAATCGCCGAATCAAAGTTCCGGGCATGCGCCGTAGGTAACTTCCGTTGAGCGCGCTGATGCAGCGTGTGGGCTGGCGCTCGCCTGGTCTCGAATAAAATACACACAATCAACCTAACATTCCATTAAACTGGCAGTCGGCGACTGTGTTATGGCCAGGGAAAAAAACCCGAAGGTAATGTTTCCTCTTCTACACCTCACTGCAGCAGCGTTTGGGAGCGTTTCGTTCGCATGTGGACGCGATGGCTTTGTTCCCGTGGGCACACGCCAGCCCCGATGAATTACTAGGCCTAGCTGGTTTTTACCGTAATTTAACGCTTCTTACCGCAGTTCCAGCTTTCGATCGGACCTCGAAGCAAGGCGGTAACGCTCAGAGAACAGAATGTTGTCGTTTGCCGCCCTCGGAGAGCGGTGGCCGCTTTGGATAAAACCGAAACTTGCGGAGCGTTCAGCACCAGCGTCAGACAGTTTTTTTCTTTAAATGCGAGTTTTGTGGAATTTGTTTTCCACCACCAAGCTGCTTTCCGCTTTGTAATTTTTTTTTTTTTTAATTATTATTTCCTATACCTTGACCTTTGACTGCAGAAGCCGTGCCTCAAATTGATTTTTGGCTCGTCGTTTTACGCGTTGTTGAGCCGTCTTGGCATGAAACTTATGGCGACCTCAATAGGATTTCACTCATATTTTTGTCTTTACGTGCGCAGTGTAAACAGTGGTGCTAGTTTACATTGAATAGACACTGACAGCCGATAACGCTGCACAGCACACCTGTAGTTTTTTTTTTTTTTTGTCGTTGATGGAGCAAAGTAATTAATTCAACTAGTTGGTTTATAAATTCAAAAATACAAAGTGCAAAAAAAAAAAAAAAAAAAAAAACAAGGACCGAGATCAGGTAAGACAACTCAAGGCTCCTTGTGTTGCCATACCTCGTTTTCGTCCACGTCGTTTTAGGCGTTTTGCGCTTTTTAAAAAAAGATGGAGAACGTGCGACTTGGTACTCCTTTACTTGTCTGCGGGTTGAGTCATCGTCTGTTGTACTTCTTTTCCAGGTCGAAGAGTACAAGGAAAGGCTAAAGAAAGAAGTAAGAATGCCTTGGGCGATTGATTCCCCCGGTGTTGGTGGCCACTGTCGTGAGCATCAGTACCCTAGGCTCTTCGACGTATGGTACTCACCGTGGCACACGTTTTGCGTGCATAGTGTAGCGCAGAATCGTAGCCCAATGCATGCTCACGTCTTAAGTATTAGCTCCACCATGTTGGGTGTGAAATGCTTGCGTCTTGCAATTGTGTCCTGTTCATGCCCCTGCCCCATATCGTCTTAGCTCGCAGCGTATGTCTCATGTTCGGTATTTGCTGTGGCCCATCCAAAGCTTTTCTAACGTAGAATACGTTTTCAGCAAGGTCAGCTTTGTGAAACACATGCTACACAAAAGCATTATGACTGAGAGAATATAGTGTCACTGCTATAGTAAGGCTCCCTCGCAGGTGGCGTCACGTCAAATTGGCTGGCGTAATCGGTCGTGTGACCGTAGCCCCAACCAATGGTGCACTCGACAGAAGTACTAGTAATATGAGTCTCGGTATGTAGGCGATTGCGCTGAGATTTACCGACCCAAAACCGCATTCTGCGTTGCACAGTTGTTTGTCGGGTATGACCAGAGTGCTGTTGCAGATTTTGTCAATAGGCCATGCGATGTTGCTGTCGCCAAGCTACTACTACAGTACAAGCGAAATTAGTTAATACTGCATTGTTTTTCTTTAATTGCATTTCACAGGCAGAGGAGCTGGTTCTGCACAAGTTCCCTGAGAAGATCCTGGAATTGGAAGCTCTTTTGAAGGTACTGCATTCATTTTTCGTCATTAGTCTTAAAAAAACTCGCCTCCCAAAAATTGTTTAAAATTTTTTTGTGTAAGTATTAAATAATAGTGTCCAGACTCAAAAAAAAAAAAAGAAATTGTTGTACTGAAAAGCTGTGTATTTGCTGAGGAAAACATACAAACTGAAACTGGAGAAGCACCTTGGGGCACTGCAACTTTGGAGACTCCGGTAGTCGTTCCCTGCAACTGCTTGTTGAAAGCTTTGTTTCAGTTGTCGTAAAAACAATGTTTCATACATTGTGTTATTTTTTAGTAATTGATGTGTACCTTAAATAACCTAAAAGCTAAAAAAAAAAGAAATTAGTTTTATTATTGCACGTGATTACAAGAAAAAAAGTGAGAACGGCTCCGAACACCCACTCAACAAATTTCGTGAAAAAGAAAAGAAAAAAAAAAGGATTTTGAGTTTTAAATGTTTTTTCTGGGTGTGTCAGGTGCTTGTTGTTTGCTGGTAAAAATCTCGACGAGTGTTCCTTCAAAACAGGTTGTTCTTGTTTTGTTTTGTTTTACTTTGGTGATGTTGCTTTGCTCGCGTTCCCAGACAGACAAGTTCTCCAAGACAGATCTCGCTGCCGTCCACGCTGACATCAACATTCCAGTGCCTGACCCACCCCTCCAGAATCATGAGGCCGAGCTGGTACGTCTTGCGTTGATCTTACGTTCCCTAGCTCGACGCTTATCTTCCAACCGCCCGGCCTCCGGCACCCGCCCGCTACCGTCTGCCTCGCTTCGGCTGCGCTTGCACACTCAAGGCTTACGAGATGCTGAAGTGCTACCGAAGGTGGAAGGCTCCCGCTGGAGATGGAACAACTAAAAGACGTCCCTGCCACCCTCCGCCTGTCAGCGACTGGGCCGTTTAAGAAGTCGCTCGTGGACTGACAATGGATGTGCTTGTGTGGCGACCACGTGTTACATGTGTCGGGGAGTTTAAGTTTGCGCAAATCGGGGAGTTGGGAGTCGTCGATCGGGCACCTTTGCTGTCTCTGGCAGCCTGCGGATGAGTCTGGGCAGGGCGGTCTTGCAGTGGAAAGCAAAAATGGCAATGCATGTCTGACCCCCTTTTTCCGAGAAAGGCACAGCGTTGTGATCGGGTGAGAATGTACTCGCAACGAGGAACCAGCAGGAGTGCACTGTGGCTCATGAAAACTCTGTTATACCTGCGAAGGTGTTCGCTTAGAAAATTTCAACCTCCTTCGGTGCCTTACCTGTCCCCAATGGTGTGGTCCTCGAATCAGTGTGGACCCCCAAGTGACCGAAAACCACAGTTTGAAAGCAGCTGCTCTGGCTTTTGGCAAATTTAGCGGGTGGCTCCCTTTGTCGTAGTCAATTTACAACTGATGCCAAATGTAACTGCATAGGGCTTTGTTCAGATAAGGTCATGCACGCGTGTCCGAACACATTTCCTTGTTTTTGTTACTTTTTTTCTGTGTTACTCCTCAGCATGTGTAGAAATTGTAATCGAAACAAATTTTGCAAAAACATACTATATAAAGAAAAAAGAAATTTTGAGTGCGCCAGAACGGCATATTTTATTTTTTAAGTTTTGTTTATGTCATGTTTGCTGACACCTACTTTGCAGACTACAAATATCACAAATCTAAAATATTTTGCACTTATAATAGATCATAGGAACTATGGAGTGATATATGTACAACATTGTGGAGGTCATATATTTTGTGTCAAAAATGTGTGCTTTTGACGTTTTCACGTCTGATGTTTTGTCACTGGATTTTTGAACCGTTATTTACAAACATTCAATAGCTACAATATTAAATTTCTTTCATATATTGTTATTAAAACATTCTTTTGAATAATATATAAATCATAGCTTTATCCCAAAGATTGAAATTTTTATGTTCCAAACTTTTTCTAAATTAAAAAGTTAAGAAATACCAAGGGGGAATAAAAGAAAAAAAAAACACCTTCGACTTTCCTGAAATTTTTAGTGATAGTTCTCCACCATACTTTTCTGTTTATTCATAAAAAACACGTTGCATCATTTTGTTTCCTTCAAAGTTACAGCGCTGCAAACTGTACCTTCCACGTCAACATTTTTGCCCAATGCCACAGATGAGATTAGGTATCTTTTGATTCTGTGTATTTGATGACTAGATATATTTTTTTGTGCTGTATTTGGATATTGGGCTCAAGTTCAAGTATTCTAATAATTAATGCAACACCCTCGTTGCTCATTCATTTTATTATATTAACCAATAATCCTGTATAGCCCTTTAAGATGACAAGTTCTATGAGCTTTAGCTAAACTATTTGCACAGAAGCGGGACGAAAACTTGTAATTGCTACCATTCTTTTTTTTTTTACTGAAAGTAGTAAAAAAGTAGGTACTGTGGTGAAAACTTTCTGTATACATTTATACCTATATTCGTGATGAAGCAGGAATGTTTGAGCCACCAAGCTTGTTACACTGCTATTCATGACTGCTGTACGTCCGGCTGACCAGGGTAGACCTGCGACTTCACTGTCCCTTTCAGCAATACGTCCGTCAACATTAAAAATGTCTGGGATTAGTTATTCGAGTAAAATAAAAAATATGATATTGAAAAAGTAAAATAAATAAATCATAATATTGATTAAAGATGTCGAGCACACTAGTTGCCTGCGTTGGCAGGAGGATGTATTAAGAAATCAGCTTTTTGCTCCTCTTTGCCGCACATATATTGCCCGATAGTTCCCATGATCAGTGCAAAATATTTGAGATTTCTAATATTTGTAGTTTGCATGTAGGTGTCACCAACATACATAAATGAAAACTTCAAAAATCGAATATGCCGTTCTGGTGCCCTCAATTTTTTTTTCTTTAAATATTATGTTTTTTGCAACACCTTTTTTTATTATGTTCCCTACACATGTTAAGAAGTGACATAAAAAAAATTTAAAGACCAAATTAAAAATTATGTTTGGACTCGCGTGCATGCTCTTATCTGAAATGAGTCATAGTATGTTAAAAGACACCATGCAAAAAACCTTTTTCTGCACGGCCACAAATTTGCTGGGACAAACTTACAAAATCAAACTCTAGAGGTTGATGGATGCCACTTGCATTGTTTAATACCTCACAACTGTTTTTTTAGATGGGCATATTTTTGTTTTTAAAACTGACACTCTGTTGCTTGAGGTTGTAGAGGCTAGAGGTTTACACATGTTAGTGACATCCATTGTCCCACTTTGCCAGTTTAAAAAGTTGGTTTTTGGTGTTTGATTTCAGACTGCAGGGAAAAAGAGAAAGCTGGAGTGTTTCGAAAATGAGATTACAGGTAAGCGTGCTAGTGTTTCGTAAACTGAAGAACGGTCGGGGCATTTATCACCTGTCCTGTGTTCCATGTCTCACTTTGACGTGGGCTGCAGCAAAAGCTACAAGCTGGGGCGAGTAGCCCTGGTGGGTGCCCCACCTGCGCGCACGTATGTGCAAGCAAACGAGATAGTTTGTGGCAATATGATCCGAGACAGCAGGGTGCTAGCCAGAGAGGGTAAATTATTGCATGGCGTGCCTCCAGAATGGTAGGCCATGAAACCTGCTGTTACGTTACGACGATTTGGAACGTAACAGTCTATTCTTACTTTCCTTTTAACAGTTCAATGCACTGGAGGTCACGCCAAGGAATGTTTACTGTACCAGCTCATGTTGCTTCACCCTGCAAAATAAGGAGCTTCCAGTTGCAATTTTTACTGCTGTCCTCATGGAGTTGATACAGTAGTATAGAAGCATCTTTACTTTGGTTATGCATTCTAAATCTTTCTGTATCTAATTGCTGGGTCATTGTCTGGCAACTTGTGCATAGCATGAGGTACCAAAGTTGCGTCGGGGAACAAAGATTTTCCTCTCTTGCAGGTTAACTGCATGTGTTCTTTTGTCGAATTCATTGTCTGTCATTGGGTATATCCTCCTTGTCCCAAATTTGTCTTATGAGCTCTGAAGCGTTCCTTACTTGAACTAAATTCAACCTAAAAAGTAGGCTGAAATTGGAGACCGCTCGTTTGGCTGCTGGAAGTGTACAGAACTTGTTGCTCTTTCATTTATGCAGGCACTAAAGTCCTGGTGCTGCCCACCGGCTCGGTGCACACAAACAGCCACATCGTGAGCATCGTCGACGTGGTCAAGCCCAAGATCTGGCAGCTTGTGGATGACACCAACATTGTGAGGCGCCAATTTCGCTTCTATGCACTGTTTCTTTGTAGAACAGAGAATGGCGGAGTCTATGGGGCTTGCTGGCTGGCAGCAGACACTAATGTCCAGCTTTTCATTTGCGTTTCTAGTGGGAACTAGGGCTCCAGTTTCGTGGCCTTATGATGCCCATTCCTTTCTTGACGCTCGCAATAGAATGGAACAGTTTGGGGTATCGTTTACCTGGTTGGGTCTCATCAAGCAGCTCTTTGGAGATCCTATTTGTGTGTCCTAATATTAGTGACCAATCTGTTTTTGTTCTTTTGCATTTTTTTTTTTTTTTTTGGTTACTTTATAATTTATATTTTTGTTTCTTGTTTGGCACAAAGTTTGTCCATTGGGTGGTCTCGGGCATGCAGCTTGCACACACCAATTCCGTGTGCGGTGCGTGCATTGTTCTCCAAACATCTGTCGGATGTGATGTATCTCTAGCTTATCTTTAGAAGGACTCGATTTACTGTGACACGATGCTTGTGCCATGTTCAGACGATACACCTCTTTTGTGGAGAGACATCTTTGAAAGAAAGCATTTTTAAAAATATTTATTCTTAGAAAAGTGGAACAGCTGTAGTCATTGACACGGCAGGGATGTCCTTTGGTTGTCCCTCTTCCAGCACAAGCTTTCTACTTTATAGTATGCTTTGATGTCTTGTGTGCTTTGAGAGTATGTGCCAGAGGCCGGGCATCGAAGAAATATGCCCCGCCATTTTCATCCTCTGCGCACATCGACGCTTGAAGGATGACGTCGTCGTTTTGAATCGTGTCGTCACCATCTCGGCAGCGTGTCCTTGGTGGGTGCGCCGATGACACAACTGACGACACGACCTACACAACTATGTCACTCTTCGAAGAGTCATTGTGAGCAGAACTTGAAGCGCTCTTTTTGTGCACAATTTTTTAATTGGGCGAGAAAAAACAAATTCCCCTTTCACACATTTTTTAAACTGGTCTGGCCTCTAAGAGTAATTTTCGTCAGTACTGCAATTCTAAGATGACCCGTAAAACCAATAATTAAAAGGTTAATGGACAAGTTTTACTTAGCCAACTTACCGTGACGATTATTCCTTCTTCTGATGTCCGCTGAGCCCTATATGTACAGGGTGCAGACGGCCCTCATCTAGCTCTCCCCCCCCCCCTCCCTTTTTAAATAAATAGGTTTGGAGTGCATGCCCGTATGATTTGCGGTTTTGTTGAATCTTGGGAACACATAGATGAGGCACACAACCCAAAACGACGTAGTCAAAATCACCTTTGCTGCATTCGAGAAAACAATAAAAATGTCATCCTTGTCTGGTGCTTCTTCCGTGCATACTTATTTCCATCACAGCTTTAATCCTCTACTGGGCTTGCTGTTCCCCTCACTCTGCACAGCTCAAGATGTGGATCCAGTTCCTCATCCCAAGAATTGAAGATGGCAACAACTTCGGCGTTTCGATACAGGCAAGTGGGACATCGCGACTCGCTAAAGTGCAGCGAGAGCCGCACTTTCGTGCTGAGGGCGTAGCCTTATGAAGTTAAAGCAAAGACACGGGTGAGCTGGTTCAATGTCTACATTACGACGCCGGAGACTGAGGACAAAGTGACGTGACTCGTGTGTCGTCCCTTTTGTCCCAACTTTCCTGGTTTAGAATGTCGCCGATTTTATGCGGCCAAATCTTAAGTTGCACACCAATTCTTGCGTCGGCGAGGCTTTTCTAAAGTCGACTGCGGTGTTCACGTGTCAAAGATGGTGCTCAATCTTTAAGCTGCTCTGCTATTTTTTTTTTAGTTCTTTGGCTGCTTATCCCTCTTACACAATTGCCCACAGCTGTGGGCAATTGTGTAAGAGGTTCTTACATTAAGGCCCAGTTTTTTGCTCTTTAGACATCTTGGTTGAACTGAAGGTTTAGCCGATTCCAAAACGGGCTAGATGAAACAATGTTGTAACATGATGCACAGGTGTTCACGACCATGCTTCACAAGCTTTTGAAGTGTTGAAGTAACCAAATGTCCCAGATGTTCAACTTCTTTTTCTTTTTTTATGAGCATTATTTTAATCACATAGCACAAGTTGGAATCGTGGCTATAAAACATGGTCAGTTAGTGCATTTCAAAACTTGGTAGTCCCAGGCCCAAAATCATTCACTTACCAATGAACATGGAAGACACTCCATCTGTGTTGTACTGTTAGTGGTGTGCAGAATAATTTGAGAAGTTGGCAGCCACCCAATGGCTGTTGTGTCGAGGGTGCAACCTCACACCGGGATCTTGATGGCCGCAGGAAGACGCCCTGACGGAGATCCGAGCGGTGGAGGGGGAGGCGGCAGCCTTCTTTGACCAGATCTCTCGGTACTTCCTGACACGGGGCAAGATCATCGCAAAGGTGGCAAAGTACCCCCACGTGGTGAGTTTTGCGCAGCGCACCCTGGTTTCTCCCGTCAAGCAGCAGCCAGTCTTATTGTCGCTAACTTCACCTCTTCGGGACAAGCATCCGAAAAACTTCGAAGTCGGACAATCGTTGGGTCGAAGTCGGAGGTGGCCAGTAGCTTTAACCAGATTTATGCAACCTTGGCATTCCCTTATTATTTTTTTTTCTTTTGCTCTTTTTTTAGACCTCTATGTAGGCACTTCCAGATTTGAAGAAAGGGCAAGTCTTTCTGATGAGAAGCACCAGCAGAGCCTGTCATGCATTAGGGTTGTCTGGCTTCTTCACTTTTAGTTTTTTTATCTGGGTGCCTTTCCCTTGTACATGTACTGCACAGTTGTTAATGTTTGTATGTCTTCTAATAAACTTTCAGTTGAAAGTTGGCCTTGTCCTGTGCTGCCTCTCACTTCTTGTCCCTGTGTCTTTCGGCATAAAACCTCAGTATGAGTTTTTATGCAGTGGCTCGTTGGGCAGCTGACCTGGCAGCAGGGGTGCAGGCGCCGAGTGGGGATTAAAAGCAGCATGAGCTCTATCAAACTTTGTTGTCTTCATTCATGCAATCATAGTCACTGGCAGGATGAGAATGACAGGCCAGCCTCTAGCACGCGCTCCTTGCGTTCTGCCTTATTTTGGCTGCACATGCACGATTGAGGCTCACGAGGTGCCAAAGGAGGTTATCGAAGGTGGGAGGCTTGTGCTGGAGGTAGGATAACCAGAAAGCCTCTTTGCCATCCTAATTGTGTGGGTGACTGTGGTGCATTCAACAATGCGTCTTCCGACCATTCTGTAATGTGCTACGGTTAGCGGAGTGCTAACGGAGATTCTTCGCTCCAGGACGACTTCAGACGCACCGTGCAAGAGCTGGACGAAAAACAGTACGTCAGCTTACGACTGGTGCTGTGCGAGCTCAAGAATCACTATGTGAGTTCTTGCTTCCGGTACTTTCCTTTGGGCATCTCGGTGACGGAGCTCTTTGCTCTCTTCCTCGTAGGCCACCCTTCACGACTTGATCACCAAGAACCTGGAGAAGATCAAGAGGCCGCGAAGCTCCAACGCCGAGAATATGTATTAGTGTACACATTGTAATAAAAAGATGGAAAAGTGGCGCCGGCACCGTGCACTGTCGTGAATCTCCCTTGAGGACGTGGTCCGAGGACTTGCTCCTAAGAAAGAATATGGGCTGCAAGTAAAAGAAAATGGAAGTGTTCCTTCCAAGTTCCCACCATATCCCAAGAATTACAGGATGTATGGAAGTACTCAAACCACAGCATCATAAGACACTTGAATATGCAGTACATGAAAAAGGGCTGGACTTAGTTGGTACATTATTTGCTATCAAACAATAATGAAATGAGGACGGATCTGCTTGCACAGTTTTTGTTCAGAAATTTGGGATGTGTAAACAGTTGTAATCAATTGAATAGCACATTCATAGCCTTCACAATGCAAACGGAAAGTCCCAACAACCGATTCTAAACAGTCTAAGCTCCAAATTTACTGTGGACTTCTTTTACTGCCGTCTCTCGGTGCCACTTGAGCAGGGTCGAAGAAATGTTACCTCCACTCGGATGGGCAGAAGGCTTCAGGGGAGTGGAAACAAACAAGGTGGCTGCGGATTGGTTGGTCGTATTGCATGAAATTGTCCGATCGGGATAGTGCCAAAAGCAAGGCAAATAAATGAGGTGATGCGTGACGTCATGACAACGTTCGAGAGCGAGCTTTGCACTGCCGCCCCGAGATGTCGCCAGCGCCGCTCTTGTTTTGAAAGTAACCTACATTTTTCTTCATTCAGCACGACTGGCTTCTCCTTGGAGCGCGGAGAGAGCAGCTTGCGCATGCGCGCTCGATAGACTTTGAGCAGACGTGTGAACGTGAAATTCGGAATGCCGTAGGTTTTTGATACATACGGTTACGTTTCCCCGTGTTTTTTGAAGTGTGGCATGGGTCCTAGCGCGTGTCGACGGATCGCCGACTTGGACCGAAGACGCATCCAACTGCGGACCCGGTGTTTGTGAATGGGCCGCAAATACGGTGACAACATCGAGTGCAGGAATTGGTCCGGTGCTGCGACGGCTGCTACTGCAAGTACTGCTGCTGGTGGTTGGGCAGACGAAATTCCTAGGCCTAACGACATTCACTCGTCCATCGAAAAATGCACAGTGGTACCGCCGACAGGCTCCGGATAGGCAACGAAGTCAGGGAACTCAAACTCGGACGCAGCTTTTCGGCGACTGGTGGCACGGCATTCCATTCCATTAGGTGTAAGTGGGCATGCTCGCCTTATTTTTTTCCCCCTGTCTCTCGGGTTTTTGTTGGTGTGCTGGTGTTTTTTTTTGTTGTGTTTTATTCTCTGGTGGCACCGGGTTGCTGTTGGAAATCCAGCTTCCTCGCGATAAGTTGGACTGCTTGTCGCGAACGCATCCCGAGATCTTTTTACAGAGGGGTGAAGCGGACGAGCACGACTGGCGACACAAGCTCGTTCTCGAATCGGTCTAAAAAAGAAAAATGAGATACCTTCTCGTCACATGCCTCATATTGAGATGGCACATACGCAGTGTAATCCGTGTGGCGTTAATTCACCGTTTGTTCACACAAAACGGAGCGTTTTTTGTTGTTTTTTTGTTCTTTATTTCTTCGTCCTGTTTCGAACCGGACGTGATCGAATTCGCTCTTGCACCAAAAGCGGTGTAAGAGACCCGTTGCGCTCAAATACGTGGTATTCATTTGACTTTCGAGTTCTCTCGGGCTCTGCGATATTTATACGATCATATTTCGCAGGCTTCGAACCGTCCTCTTGGGGTGAAAGTGAACCAACCAGTTGGTTCGGTTCCCCGTTCGAGAGCGATCTATCTACGTCGGCGTAGCTGGCGATGTGGCAGCGGGCATGCTTGCGGTGACCACTTTTTGTGGGTTCGACACCGTCTTTTTTTCTTTCTTTTCTCTTTTTACCCATTTTAGTTTTTTTTCTTCTTCAACTTACATTTTACTCGGACACCCCTGTAAATATTTACTCAGTTTTTAGGTGTAGTGTTTAGTTGATTAACGAGTGAGTTCCCTTTCGAGCCGACGCCGTCCCGTAGTCGTGCGGTGGTGGCAGAAAGAAAAGAAAATAAGGTCCTTTTAATGTTTATTGTAGTGTGTTTTTGTTTCTGTTTTCGCGACTGATTCTATGAGTGGTCACTTCCAGTTTTATCGCGGACGGCACGCAGCTGCCACTGCGGCCGTGCAGTTAAGCTGGTCGAATTGGGGTCGGACGCGATTAAAAGGCGATCACGACTTGTATGCCGGATGTTAGCGTTCGAACATCGGCTCGCTTTGTCAAAGAAAAGGACAGTATGTTTGAATGCACGTGCGTTGTTTCTAGACGGCTTCGGATTTGCTTTCGAAAGTTGGGTTATTTCTTGAATATCTAACCGTTCTTCCGCCTGTTGCGCATCTGTGATTTCTAGACTGCGCGGTTTGATGCATTTGCCATCAGAATCGGTCCAGTGGTGCCTTTTATGATGACTGCTCACGCCTCTCTGTTGAAAGTGGAACGTTCACTTAAATTACTCAGACGCTCAAGGAGTTGGTTGGTTATCTTCGATTAATTTATTGGTTGTTCTCTGGTGTTGTCAACAATACGGTGTTTGAAACTGCTCTAGATACGAAAAAAACATTCGAATCGGGGATCTCTACTCTTAATCCTCATGAGTAATGTCCGTGTGATGAAGATAATGTAATATCTTGATAGGAATGACATTGTAAAAACTCAACGAACCGAGTCTTGTGACATAAGATTACTGTCAGAGGAACCCACATATTTATTGACGATACTCTTAGTGCCATGAGGATTTGGATTTGTGTTTGCCCTTTGTTCCCCCTTTCAGGGATTATTGTAGTTGATTCTGTCCACAGCTTGCCTGCACCTTTGCATTAATTGCATTAACATCACAATTCTCTAATGTGTACTACTGACATGAGGAGCAGTCCTGTCGAGGCTTGGAGGTACTCATCAGTCTAGCTCCTGGGAGAGATCGGTAGCTATTATCTATCCAACCGCAAGAGCAACAACAAGATGTTTGTCACGGAATATGGGGGACAAAAGATTAGCCATCTTACATTTACCGTTCCCCAGCACGCTTGCAGCTAATGTCAGAGAAAATTACTTTGCTTGTCCTGCGAAAGTTTGTGTATCCCAAAATGGCACGCTGCGAATTGCGAGTTCTCTGGGACAACCGTTGACATTTATGAGCCATTCTCCGTGGTCGCCAGTATAAAAGCACTCGTCCGTGTTATAAATTGAGTGAAGTGTATTACTGCGAATAGAATATCGAATACCGCATGAGGGACAAATACTTTTTTATTGCAGTATTTCTTGAGGTTTGCTCGACGCCGTCAAACATCAACGCAATGTAGATTAACAAAATCAGGTGAGGAAAAACAATTGAAAAACAAAGAACACGAAGGGTGACGGCAGTTATTTTCATTAGCTCCCGAGCCTTCCCCCTTCGTATTAATGGTTTCGAGTTATTTCTACAGTTTAAATCGATCGTCTTCGGATCATCAAAAAACGTTTCCGCTCAAACCAAAGAGCCCGCTCAACGAAGTGGGTTAGTGCCTGAATATTTCATAAAAGGACGAAACGCACACTTACTTCTGTAACGTGGCTCACAGACTTTCGAAAGGCGCGTGTGATTATACGTGTAACTTCTTGCATATATGCAACAACACGTGCGTACGCACTTTAGACGAATCGTGCATAATGTTATCACCTTACATTTTGAAACACTAATAGCTCGGAGGCGCCGTTACGAGCACTGTGACACAAACTGGAGTCGTTATTAAACACGCGTAAAATAATCTGAAAAAAAAAAAAAAAAAAAAAAAGATTTGTTTTGGATATTAGTTTGTGTCATCACAGCAAATCACAGAAAAAAACTAATTGTGTTATCACCATATCGAGGATTCCGTTTCTCGGCCAGGAGAATTCGAAACACGATGCAAAAAAAAAAATAATAATAATAATAATAATAATAATAATGTTGCGTCCAAAGCACTTGGTTTATTCCAATACTATCAGTTTCTCTCCTAAAAACAGATCTCAGAAAACAAAAGTCGTGTTATCTCCTACTGAGCCATTCCGTTTTTTGGACTAGAACTTGGAAGCTCGTAGCACCTTATCCTTTTCACGAAGAGAGAGAAACGCACGCACGCACGCACGCACGCACGCACGCACGCACACACTAAATGCTTCCAGACCTAGCTTTAATCGGGCTTTTTAGCGTTGATCGGCAAGTATTTGTCTGCGCTAGAAATTAGCGAGTAACGTATGCTGTAATCGTACATTTTGACTTGTTACCGTTCCATGAAAGTTGGTGCCCGCCGTCACTGCGACATCGGCCTTCCACGATTGGCCGAGAGTTCAGTGTGACGTCTTTCGTAAGGCTTTCTTTTTTTCCTGCTTTTATCGACGGAATAAAGAGCAACGTCAGTGGCTTCCTTCGTTCCGTTTGCACACACCATCGAACTTGCCGTTTGCAGCTGACGATAACTTGTAGCCAGGGTCACAACTTGCGACGTCACTACTAAAGTGACTAATTGGGTCCCGTCCAGGGAAAGTAGCGCTAAGCTTCCCGTATGGTCGCCATTTCGGTTCTTGAAATGAGCAGTCGCTCCTTGACTTCTCCATTTTCGGGCGAGTCGATCTAAATTCGCCGGTGACGGGTAGCGTTCATCCACACACCGGCGAAACAAGCTTCGTACTGCCACCGCATGCGGCGTTGGTGCTTGGAGGCATTGAAAACTAACTTTCTTGTCTTGAAATACGTAAGAAAAACGATATCGTTGTAAGGAATGTGGAGATAAGCATTTTGGGGGAGTTGATTTCATACACAGTGTCAAAAGACGCTTATATTGGCGAGGAACGCTTTCTGTACGATGAAACTTCACAGCTATCTTGGCGTGACTTGTTCAGAACAACCCTTTCGAAGATTTGAGTGGACCGAAAGGGCGATTGGGGGCCGTGGCAACTGAGGGGTCCATATCACATGAGCGAATGACGTTTTAGCCATTTGAGCGAATCGGCGTTTTAGCGAAAAACGGGTGCGTGCGTTAACGTATACCTCCCGCGCTGCGTTCACGTCGCTTCGCGGCGGCAGTCTGCGGCGGCTCATTACAAAAATGTTAACCCTCGTGACCCACCCGAAATCGAAGCTGCGGCCGACCATTCGCTTGAAGTGTCTTTTGATGGAAAGTCGGCGCTTGCTAAACCGTCATTCGATCAAGTGAGTACATGCCTGCCGGCAACTGAGACCGACCAGCCAACCCCACCTTGCTTGATTTCGTCGTCTGTGTGTTAGCGTTTGTTTGTGTCCGGCCAGCAGACAGGGAAGGCGATGGCGCCACTTTCCCAGGATGCATTGACTATAGTAACGCGGCTAGATAAATCTTGGTTGTTACGTTACGGATAAGAATCGTAAAAGTGCGATACGAAACATATTGTTAATAGGGGTGTTCGTTTCATCAAGGGATGTCACGAACCTGCCGAAGTTTGAGTTCGATCCGTTTCGACATTTTCGAACTTTTAACGCGTAGCTCGACTAAAGTTCGACTATTGTGCGCATGCGCGTATACTGAAAAAAAGCTGACGCCGCGTAGCTCGGCAGGGTACACTATTTATCGGGTCTATAGATTCATATGAACAAAATAACTAAACAGTAAAAATGTGTTCGTGTTTGCCTCGAAAATTGTGTAAAACATAAATAAGCTACTCTATAATTAAAGAGTATTTTTAAGTGATTAATAAAAATTCTGTATAGAAGATGGGCAACACTGTTTAAAAGTCGAAATTCAAATTGCCAAAAGTTCGAATGTTTTGCCGAACCAGTCGGACTTCGATCAATAGTTAGCGACATCATTAATTTCAACAAAGATGAACGCACATGAAATAAATGGCTGTCCTCTATGGAAGCTCTATTTTAAAACCTCTACCAGCGTTTTATTAATTTAATTTTTGTCGTTTTTTTTTTTTTTTTTTTTGCGTATTTTAATGTTTGGCGCGTGAAAAGCGACCTGCCTTTGGAAATTAGGGAGAACTACAACATAAATTATTTCTGTGTTCCTGATGCAGCACTCTTGTCCAATCTGTTCCGTGCTCCATCGAGGTAGATGACGTAAAGAAGTCCTCCGTGTTTGGGAAAAGGTAAAGCGCCCCCTATTTTTCGATCCAGTACATTCTCCGCGCGCCTCCAAGTTTCCTGGAGTCGTTCCCGAATTCCCC